AGGCTCTGAGGTGCTGTCCCTCCCCCTGATGCCCCGACTAACAGCCCATAGCCACCACGACTGCAACAGCCTTTAACTGTTCCTGCACACCGGTGAGGTCACCAGGATAGGCATACCCTCCTCGACCTCTTCACATGTCAGATGAAGAAATAACCAGACAGGTTAGATGGCTCCCCAGTGCTGCACGACAAATCTGCAAGGGTCAGACCAAGCCCAGGAAGTGGGGAGGGTTAAAGGGAGACTTGGGGTGACCCTCTTTGGGCGGAAGAAGAAGTAGCTTATCGCTCATGAGGGTTGGTGGGAGAGGGTTTGGGCCACCCTGGAGGAGGCCTGTGTAGGGGAGTGTCAGGCCTCAGATGGAGGGAACCTTGGAGAACATCGTACAGAGGGAAGGACTGAGGTCTAGAGGCGTAAAGGATTCTGCCCGGGGACCCTCAGCCTATGAAGCGCAGGAGTGCAGCTCCGGGTGTCCGAGGGCTGGCCCGGCTGGACTTCTGGGCCTCCCTCTCAGCTAAGCCCATCTATCTATCTGACAGGTGGGTGGAGCACACATTGGCATAAGGCCCTTATCTGCCAGGCACTGTCTGGTGCTTAAGTTTAGATACATTCATTATCTTACCTGACCTCACACCCCTAGGAATTGCACACACTATTAAGACCCAAGGACACCGGGCACCGAGAATGGACTGGAAAACCCACATTCTCACCTCCTAGAGTAATAATAACGGTAGAACACGTATTGAGTGTTAAGTCTGTGTTGGGTGTTGGTCTAAGTACCCAATATACAGGGTGGGCAAAAGTAGGTTCCCAGTTGCTTGTGACAGTCTTTGGGGTTAATAAAGCTCTTGTAATAACCATAACCTGCTTGCCTTTTTCCATATGAACAACTGTAAATCTGCTCTGCCCACCTCCTGTATATTTCTTCATTTACACCTCAGTACTACCCCAGGAGGTAGGCACACTGAGAAGATGAGGACACTGAGGCACAGAGGGGTCCAGCAACTTGCCCGAAGCCATGCAGCTGGTAAGGTTGCAGGATCGAAGCTTGAACCCAGAGAGTTAATAGAACTGATGCCAGCATCACACAGTTACATCAGGTCAGGACATTCACCGCAGAGTCAAAGAATAGCTAAGAAAGATGTATTGGTTTCCTAGGGCTGCCATAACAAAAGTACCCCACATTGGGTGGCTTAAAACAATAGAAATGTATTCTCTCAAAATTCTGGAGGCTGGAAGACCAAAATCAAGGTGTTGGCAAGGGTGGTTCCTTCTGGAGATTCTGAAAGAGGATCTGACCCATGCTTCTCTCCTAGCTTCTGGTGGCTGCCATCAATCCTTGGTGTTCCTTGGTTTGGAGACACACCTCTCCAACCTCTGCCTCTGTCTTCACGTGGCGTTGTGTGTGTGTGTGTCTGTGTCCACCTTGATTGAGGAATGCTTCTTGATCTGACGTTTGTGGCAAATCTCTCTCCTCTCTGGTCTTGCAGGTGATTTTAATAAAAAGATCTCTGCTATCCAGTTGTTTAGAAATTCTTTTGGAGGTGCAAAGGTCCTGGGGCATACACATGAATGTGTCTTTTTTGACAGTCCTTTTTTTTTTTTTTAGATAAAGACATTTTTTCCCCTTTATTGATTTTCGAGAGAGAGGAAGGGAGAGGGAGAGAGAGATAGAAACATCGATGAGCGAGAACATCGAGTGGCTGCCTCCTGCATGCCCCCCACTGGGAATCGGGCCTATAACCTGGGCATGTGCCCTGACCGGGAATCAAACCAGCAACCTCTTGGTGCATGGGTCAACGCCCAACCACTGAGCCACACCTGCCGGATGACAGTCCTCATTTAAAGAGAAAATCCCTAACCCACAATCTTTAGATTTTCAGGGAAAAAGGGAGCCTGCACCTTTGAGATTTCCAGACAGTTCTCTTTATCTATAGAACTTGGCTGAGGAGTGTTGCAGGGGCCTCAGAGAGTTTAGGAGTAAGATCAAGAGCTTTGGTTCTGGAAGGAGGGAGGGGCTCAGCCTCCCCTGCAGGGCCACCCAGGCCAGCAGAGGTGTTGGTAAATGTGGGGGTTCCCTGCCCTGAGTGAGGTCTCCATGGAGTCCTGGTTAGGGGTGCTCCCTTTAGATTTTTGGGGCTGCGAGGGAGGAGATGTGGGGTGATGGGGAACCAGTCAGTTTGGTTCAGATGGAGGAATGGACCTTCCTTGTTCTGGGGCAGAAACCGAGGCGGCTCCCTGGGCCTGGGGCCAGGGCAGCGAGGCCAGAAGGAACAGGAGAAATTCCTGCTGCTTATCCAGCAGCTTCATCTTCCAGAGGCTGCGCTTGGGCTGGAGGGCGGGGCAGGAATGGGGAAGCCTGGATGCCAGCTAGGCCTGGCCCTCGGAGCCAGCTGAAGTGTCCTCATTTTGTACACACCACTGAGTAGCCCAGGTTCCAGAGGAGGACAGATCTGTGTTCAAATCCTTCCCTGCCCTTTACCCATGGGTGACCAAGAGTAATCATGGGCACATTTCCCTCTGTTTCTGTTTGGGAAATGGGGATAATGAATAGTATTGACAATGAGAGGGTGGTAGGGGAATCAATGAAATCAAAGGGGAGGTGCTTCCCTGAGGCCTGGCACAGAGCCGGAGGGCATAAAGTGGTTATTGTGACCAAGTCGACGAGTAATAATGCCTTTAATTGACAGGTGCATATTTGTAAACCTGAATTGGTCTTTTCTTAATTTCCAGTTCACTGCATTTTCTAACTTCCTTTCAGATAGCTGGAACCAGGCAGCACAATGGCATGGACCCATAAGGACCCTGCTCTAAGTGAAAAGATAATTGTCTGTCCCTACCCTGCCCAGTTCTCACCTGAGAGGGTCCGGAGACCTGCTGCTTTAGGAGTGTCTGTTCTTTAGAACAGTGACCACACCCGGCTCTGGGGGGTCTGGGCCCCACCATGTGTCTGTTTCAGGCAGGTTGCCCTAAGGATGGGGGCTAAAGGTGTGGGAGGAGCCTGTGCTGAGACATCCAGGCTCTGGGTCTTCATGGAGAAGGGCTCTGTCCCCAGCTGTGTGACTGCTGGCAAGGCTCTGCTCCTGGGCCACCTTCCTCACCTGCAAAGGGGGCCCCATGGCCACCTCCAGCCTGTTTGTGCTGGTTAGAGGAACAGATTCTCCGATTCACACCTGCTTCCTCTAGTGCACAGCACCTGTGCAGGGTTTTTCAGCCCTATTTCACAGAGAAGGGAAATGGGGGCCCATTTGCTCCTGAGCACATATTTATTGAGCAGGTATTATGTGCCGGGCACTGTTGGGCACTGGAGATACAGCAATGAACAAAATGGGGTTCCCCATGGGGCCCGCATTCTAGTGGGCGGGCCTCGCCAGAGCTGCCCAGGTGAGCTGCACAGAGAGGGGAAAGTGCTTGCCCAGGGTCACAAAGCACAGGCAGGATTAAAACCCAGCTGGTGACTCCCAGGCCAAGGCTCCAAGTCCCCACACCTTCCCTGCCTGTTGGGGAGGGGGAGGGAGAAGAAAAAGGAAGGTTGTCAGAGGGGCTGCCAAACTCCTGGGCCACTCAGCTAAGGTCATTTTTGTCCTGACTCCACAGGCAGGGGGATGTCTATGGAAGCTTTTCTCTGGGTCTTGGCGGGGCACTTCAGGTGGGGTGTCTGGCAGGCGCCGGCTCTGGCTGTACTCCGGGTCATGAGCTCTGGGGTGTGTGCCAGTTCTGTGTCTGTCCAGGAGCTTGCCACAGCCCATCAACTGGTGTGAGAGGCCAGGGTGACTTTGTCCCCCAAAACCAGCAGCCAGAGGTGAGTCTCGCTCCTGAGTCTCTTCTCTGTGATATGATACTTGGCTCATCTTGGGCCGGTGGCAAGGTCACTGTGAGTGCTGGTGCCACATGCCTGGACACTGCCCTTCCTGTGGGTCTCCATCAGCAATGGAAGCTTTCCCCAGCCCTGTGGTAGACCCTCCCTCCCCTCGATGGCCAGCGAGGCATGCCCAGTGGGCCAGGGATCCCAGAGAGTGCCCCTGTGGAGGAGGGAGAGTGGCAAAGGCCAGGATGTCCTCATGTGAGGAGCTGCTTGTGCCCACCCCCCAGCTTCTGTGTTCCCCCAGGTGCCTGCGAGGGCTGTGTGGAACCCCCTGTGGCCTGGAGGGCTGGGGCAGTTTGTGGGGTTCATGAGCTCCTGGGCCCTTAGCACAGCCCTAGGACGTAGGTATGTGTGGTACTCCTTTGGCAGAACAGATGGCCAAAGCTTGCAGATTTGCCCCAGGTCACTCGCTGCTGAGGGGAGGGGTTTGAGATGTCTCTGGAGTCAATGCTGTTTGTCAGTAGCTACATACACTGTCTGCCAGATGTTAGGGCCCACCTTGCCACATGGGAATGGGGTGACAGACAGCTCAGCTTCTCTTAGGTCCAGTTTCAACTGTAAGGCGGGGATAGTAACACCTGTACAGAGGGGCAATGAAGAGAGTCAGAGACGGTGAGTGGACAGGGTTTGGTGGGGTGCCAGGTGGAGATTACCCAGAGGGCATACACAAGTTGTTTGTTTTCCCACCTCTGGGTGTCTGTCTGTCCCTCAGGGATGTGCTGGTGACTTCATCTTTCTGTCAGCAGCTTTTACTAAACCCCTGGCAGGGCCCGGGTCTTGTACTGGGTGCCTGGACACAGCTATGAGATAGTCATTGTCCTGTCCATGGGGAACTCACAGTCTGGGAAGGAAACAGAATTCCGGTCCTGAGGGTGGGTGCCTGGGGAGCCATGTGAGCACTGAGGTTGTTTCTGGAACCCAGACTGGAGGAGGGGACCCAAGAGCAGGTAACATTTCAGCTGAGGCCTGGAAGGGGGGTAAGTTACTAGGTAAGGGCTTGGTATACAGTGGTATGGAGGAGGAGACAAATAAATATTTCTTTACTAAATGAAAATGTGAAGGAGCCCAATGGCCTAAGGTCTGCAGCTTCTAGCCCAAGTGCTAGGAGCTCTGGGAGACATGGGCCTCTGTCCTCCAGGTGCTGGGGCTGCTGGTGTGGGCCCTGATTGCTGACACCCCGTACCACCTATACCCGGCCTATGGCTGGGTGATGTTCGTCGCTGTCCTTCTCTGGCTGGTGACAATCGTCTTCTTCGTCCTCTACCTGTTTCAGCTGCACATGAAGTGGTACATGGTGCCCTGGCCGCTGGTGGTGAGTCTGGGTGGGGCTTGGGGTGGTTCCAGAATGAGCCCTGTCTGGGAAGTAGCTGTGGCAGTGTGAACTCCCTAAATGGGAAGTGGCGGGTGGGGGCTGGCTGCATCCTCAGTGGCTCTTCACCGGGGATGGGGCAGGGATTGATGGCTGGTGCCCAGTTTTTCTGAGCATTGGGAGCAGAGCCAGGGAGGACATGGATTTTCTCCGGGGAAGGGGGTAGAAGTGAGGGGCTGTTGGACGGAGAGATTGGAGGCCATTTGGAGTCTTGAAAATATTTTTCCTTTTTGGGGGCAGTCGGAGTTTGAACCTGTGCTGCCGGTCTCTGGAGGCTGGGCTGGCCTGGCAGGAATACCCCGGCTGGGCCCCGTGTGTGCAGGATGCTCTCGGGCGCAGCAGGGCATCCACCTGCCACCTCCAGGGTGAAGCCCCTGCAGCCCAGAGAGGGTGGTTTCCAGGTTTACCCAGGTCAGTCTCCTCAGGACAAGGAGCATCTATAGGAAGTACTGGGGCCAGACACACAGAAAGTGCTGGGTTTTTTTCTCTGACCCGGAAAACCCCTGCAGCTGGGGTCTGAGGCTCTCAGTGAGCTGAGAGGAGAGAGAGGCACATGATTGTAAGACAAGCTAGGCTGGGACTAGGCAGCATTGTTTGCAATTCAATGACTTTTCAAACTGAGGAAACGTGAGTCATCCTCAAGACAGAACGGGTTTGTTGCATTGACACCACTGGCAGGAGCCAGGCGGCGTTTGCAGCGGGCAGCGGGCTTGGCGGGAGACCCCGGGCAGGAGGGGCAGCCTGGCTCTGTGGCCAGGGTCCAGCTCCCGCCCCAAGGCTCTGGAGATGGAGGGCCTCCATCCCGAGGGTCTCCAGCCTGTGTCTCACTGTACTCCTGGGCTGGGCCTTTCCAGAGGGAAAATGGGATTTTTGCCAAATTGGGATTTTTCTTTTTCTTTTTTTAATGTTTTTATTGATTAAGGGAGATAGAAACCAATGTGAGAGAAAAATCAATCGGCTGCCTCCTGCACGCCCCCTACTGGGGATTGAGCCCAGGGCGGGCATGTGCCCTGGTCTGGAATGGAACCTGGACCTCTCAGTCCAAGGGACGACGCTCCATCCACTGAGCCACACTGGCCGGGCCAAATTGGGATTTTTCTGGGATGAGGACCATCAGCCCTCTACAGGGCAGGCAAGATATGTGAAGTGGGTCAGGAAGGGGTTCTGGAGAGCTCGGTACCCATCGGCCCACAGGGAGCCATCTCTACTCAGCCCCAACTGTTAGTGGGAAAGCAGGCCCTTCATGACAAATCTTCTGGTATTTTATGATTGAAAGATTTTTATGAAATCTTCAGGTTTTCATATAAAATCTAATTTTACAATGGTAATTAAAATAATCAATGGGATGAATCAAGCATGTCAGAGACCAGTTTGCAGCCTCTGTTAAGACTGTTACCTGGCTCCAGGGGCTGAGGGTTGGAGAAATGGTGCCTGGGCCTGGTTGGCAGCTAAGGGTCCTTCCTGCCAGTGTGGCTCAGGATCCTGCTGCGTCCTGAGCTGGCATTCGATACCGGGCCTTGAGCCTAAGATATGGCCAAAAGAGGAACACATTCCTCCTACTGGGGGCAGAGAGGAACGTGAGCCACACCCTCCCCAAGGCCTGCAGTGGCCCCGGGAAGGGGGCCTGGGCTTGGCCCTGAGCGGACATGGAGGAGTGGCCTGCAGTTCTTTAGCTGGTGCCCTCAGAGACAGGCTGGGTTTAGCCTCTTGCCATAGGGAATGGGTTTTGCCTGCTGGGAGTGTCACTGCTCCTGACCAGCTCACTGCAGGTCTTCCCACCATTCCCTTCCACGGAGCGGAGCCCGGAGCCCGGGAACCTTTTATGCTCCCTGCTCAGATGGCCTCCGGGCAGAGCACTGCTGCCTTGCTTGTGAGGCCCAGGTGTCTCCATCCCCATCCTCAAGTGCCAGCCCATTCTGGCTAGTAAGGGGTGTGCTGGTGGGAACTAGGAGCTTCCAGTTACTGCAAGTCTCAAGGTTTAAGCCTGTTCTCCCTTCTCCCACCTCCCAGTTAATGATATTTAACATGGGCGCCACAGTTCTCTACATCACCGCCTTCATCACCTGCTCCGCTTCGGTTGAACAGACGTCCCTGAAGGGCACCCGGCCGTATAACCAGCGTGCAGCTGCCTCTGTGAGTATGGCTCCCTGGGCATCCTCAGCAGTGACAGGGGACTGGCCAGAGCTAGGTCTGCGCCCCTGGACCCCCCGCTGCTCCCTAGCCCGAGGCAGGTCTCCGGAGCCAAGCTGACTTTCAGTCCTCCAGTTGACATTAAGACCTTGAAGAAGCGGAATGCTGGGGAAATCCCTCATGGTGAATGGAAGCGTGGGTTCACCGTTGATTTGGGCAGTAAATCAGTTGCGGTGCACTGATTTAGGGTCGTAGCCCCCCCTTGGAGAATCTGTTAAAAGCTGTCATCCCCACTCCTAACCTTGAAAAGGGCACATGCAAAAACCTTTTGGTTTAGACCATTTTGGGGGATTTGCTGGCTCTCCTATGAATGGATTCTGGACAATTCCTAGGGTAGCTTTGGAATGTTACCTTTTTATCTTTTTTTTTTTTTTTTTATGTTTGTTAATCCTCACCCCAGGATATTTTTCCATTGATTTTTAGGTAGAGTGGGAAGGTTATGGGAGGAAGGGAGCGAGAAACATCGATGTAAGGGGATACATTGATTGGTTGCCAACCACATGACCCCAAACTTGCAACCCAAGTACATGACCTTGACAGGGAATCAAACCCATGACCCTTTCGTCCACAGACCGATGCTCCAACTGCTGAGCCAAACCAGCCTTTTAAAAACTAAATCCCTGATGCGTGTCTAAAGTACCTCCTACCCCAGTCATGCTTGTTAGCACATTGCCCAGGTACCCTTATCACATACTTTGGTTTTGTGGTTACTGGTCCCTCTGGTCTCAGTTGATTGAGGGGCCCTGCCGTCACCACACCTCTCCCCCATCCCATGCTACAGACGACTCAGCTCTGCTGTCTTCTCTCTTTCAGTTCTTTGCGTGTTTAGTAATGATTGCCTATGGAGTGAGCGCTTTCTTCAGCTTCCAGGCCTGGCGGGGAGTAGGCAACAATGCAGCCACCAGTCAGATGGCTGGTGGCTATGCCTAAACCACCTGTGCCAAGGCCTACCTTGGGGCTAAAGGCTGCGGATGGGTTAGTGCAGGGTGGCCCTGCGAATCAGCCCAGAAGGAACTACACTTGCTCCTCCCAGACCAGCAGACTTGGGCTCACCCAACACTAAGGAATTGGAATCCTTCCTCTAGCTTGGACCAAGTCGGCGCATGAGCATGGGTTGGAAAGAGGCCAACAGCTGAGACCTCCTCTTCATCCCCCTTATTCAGCAGAAGGTGACGGGGGACATGGGGCTCACTGTCTCCGCTTTGACTTTAGAGGAAGGACTTCAGTGTCCAAGGTGGGGCCCAGCCTTCTCACCAGCACTAAATAACTAACAAGGACTCCAGACCTGCAGCCCCTGACCACAACAGAATAAGGCTAACAAGCAACGTGTATTTCTCTTCATCAGTCTTTGTTCCAGGAACACCGAGCAAGCTCATAAAATCATTGATTCCTTTAAACACAATTCCGACCTGACCCTCCCCCAAACCATGTTGCTTGTAGGGAGACATTTCGGACAGCATAGTCTTCCTTTCCTATATTTCACACGTACCTTTTATTTAAAGCAAGTTGCTTTTAAGCAACCTCTCAATGATGAAAACCTATCTCAGAGGCTTCCCATGCCCTTGTTTGTAATAGCCCCTTTGGGGAAAGCTAACATCAATACCGACTACTTCCCTGACACCGTTGATTAGACACATGGGACATGAAGGGGGGAGGGCATCAAGTGCTTGCCTGGTGAGTTACGTGCTTGGTGGTGACTTTGTTATTAGTTTTCTTGTTTTGTTTTTTACAAAAATAAAGATGGAAGAACTTATTTAAAAAGGTGTTGGGGAATCACGCTTGTGGACGCTTGTGAACTCCAGAAAGCTGCAGGGTGAGACAGCACAGAGGTTCCAGATGCCTTGTGGGGCAATTCCAGTTCTGGAGTCACTCAGCACCAACCACTTATGTGACCTGAGGTAGGGCCGACCAACTTCCTGCCTGCTGTACCTGGGGCAGGTCCAGTTTATGCTGTTTGTCCTGGCAGAAATTTAACAGAACCCCTTTTATTCTCAAAAAGGTCTCAGCGGAACAATACATCACTTGGTCATCCTAGCTTTAGGCATGTCAGGTCATCTTGCTGAACTTCAGATTGCTGCAATGTTACCTCCTTGGATGCTCGTGAAGCTCAGAGGTGACAAAGTGAGTGACGTGCTCAACTGATGAGCACAGCTGGCACAAACCAAGGGGGCGGGGTCCCTCCTGAGCTTATTTTTCTATTACCACAGAGCAACATGCTCTGAAGAGTGAGCCAAAGGCATTTCTGGGCACCCCTTGTCCTATTTTGAAAAACTGGGAACAACGAAAATGTAACTAGATTCAAACAGCCGTGGATGAGCTTTTCTACTAGGAGGGAGGGCACCGAGTCACTGCCCATGTTCCAGTTGATGCCAATTGTCCTGGTGTAAATATTAGCAGCATTCCTTTTTACTTTCAAGTGTTTCAAAATAATAAATTACAGTCATTCCAGGATGAAAGCCATCAGAGAGTTTAGTTTTAAGGATCAACCCACTTTCTTTGGAGGCTTAAGAGAGTACAAAATCCTAGGCAAGTCTTACAGGCTTGTGCACCCTAATAATACACACCCTATTTCAGTAGAGATGTAAACATGCTTTCAGCCAGTGCCTCCCTAACCAGCAGACCCTGCAGTCTGGGTGAATGTTGTGTCCCAGAGGGGAGCAGGGGTAGGAGATAGGAAAGCAACTATCTCCTGACGCTGGAGCCAAATGTCAGGCTTCCTCCTTCCAGACCAGGCCGGAGCCCCAGGTGGCACATGACATAAGTTCCTGTGTGGATGGAGACTTCTGGTTTGTTTTAAAAGAAATCAAAAAGCCTGTCTTCTAATATTAAAGTACAAGCTTGACTGGCTAGTGTAGTTAAGTGGATGAGTGTTGACCCATGAACCAAGAGGTCACTGGTTCAATTCCTGGTCAGGGCACATGCCTGTGTGGCAGGCTAGATCCCCAGGAGGGGTCGTGCATGAGGCAGCCGATCGATTTTTCTCATCGATGTTTCTATCTCTCCCTCTCCCTTCAATCAAAATAATTAACAATATAAAATAAACTAAAACAAGCTTGCCTGCTTCTTTCTCCATGTGGGAAATGATGAAAATAACCATTTGCCTTTTTTCCTCATTCCTTTTTCATAATCTCATCTCTGGACGTGTCTACCTGCCTTTTCTCAACCAGGTGAACTGACCAACAGGTCTTCTTCGTACTTCCCACACACCCAGCCTGCACCGGGCGGTCCCGCTGATGAAAGGAACCAGGGGAAGCAAGCCCAGGGGCTGCAGCTTTTAAAAAAGCCAGCTCTGAGTGCCTTTGGCTTCAAGGATCAAAGCAATACTAACGTGATGGCAGCAGTTACAGTAAAGAAAGGGGACGGTTGGTTGAGAATCGGGGCTCTTACAAAACAGCTCAAATATTACTCATGGCACAAAAGTATTTATAAGCGCCACATCAGTACAGAAAACACATAGCCTATATAGCTCATCCTTTAAACCAGAACAGCCAAGTGAAAAGTTAGTACAGATTCTTATTTTTAAAAGAAATCTAAGGTACATACATGTTGGGAACTGAACTGGTTTTCTCTCTCGAGAGGTGATGTCCATGTTTTCTGGTCAGCAATGCTCTCAAACACAGTGCTGAGCGAATGTGCTGAACCGCAGGCGGGTGAGCAGTGAAGCAGCTGCACTTTCCCACTCCGCGGAGCTAGACCAGAACACTGTCTTGGTGGGAAGATTTTGACAGGAAAGGAATTGCAGACCTTCTACCCCAACAGAAAACCTAACAAGCTGATTTATATAGAAAGAGTTTAAGCAAACCTGCACAAACACGCAACATGCTATAAAGAAAGACACGTTTAGTTACTCCCAGCACAAGCACACACTCACTGGCACACTGACACAGCATTTTCACTTTCACGACACTAGCAACTAAAAAGCACACAGCATATAATACTTTGATCTTGAAGTGGGTAATCATGGAACTTTCAAGATTATATCCACTAGGTCAGCCTGAGTATTCATCTATAAAAATATTTTTTTCAAAAATGCTTGAAGAGTTCTAGAAACTGGGGGCTATATCAGGACCAGCAGAAGATACAGTAACACAGGGACAGCAAATGTAAGACTAGGAACTGACTTTGACATGTAGTTTTAGGTAAAGGACATCTCTCTCAGTTGGATCCTCCAGCCAAGATTTGCTGTGACAACAGGAGCTCCAGAACTTTCAAGACAGGCAGCTGGCCTGAGGAATGCCCTAGATAAATGTTCCCAAACAGTAAAACCACTGAAACTTTCGTGCTGATACACCATGTGTGGGGAAGGGCCCCCAGGTGGAATGCTGGATGTGGACTTGTCCAGAGGAGCCTGACTCAAGGCCCTGAGAGAGATGTCCCCTAGGAGTAGGAGTACTAGGGTTACTGAACACAAGGTTTTTCTGAAGAAATGGGTTCCAGGAGGGTCATGTAATTTTTTTTTCACCCATCAACACTTGACATTAATGAAGAGTTGCAGAACAGAGCCGATCGCCCCAAGGTCTATTCTTCCGTCACTAGCAGAAGCCTCTCCCCGTGCACTGTGCACCGGGCTGCTGACATCCACACGAATCTCATTGCCGGGGGTGGGACCTAGTGCCGCAGGTTGTTCTGGGAAGCTGGCAGAGAGGTTGATTTGCACAATGATGTCACCACTAAACCACTGCTTAAGTCTAGTCCTCGGCCTTCTTTTTCCTACATGGGAAAAGAAACAACTTCAAGAGGCAAAAATAGAAAAAAGTCCCCTCTATCTAAGAACCCTGGCCTGGGAAGGAGGCACGCAGGGTGGGACCACCAGGGAGCACAAAGGAATGGGAAGGGAGGTATTTGCATTTTTGCACAGCACTGGCCCTGGTCAGTCTTAAACATGAGAATGTAGCTCCTCAGTAAGGGTCCCAGGTCCCTGCTGGACGAGGACAGCAGCTCACTCCTCGGATACCTACTCTCTGCTACTGGCCAGGCTCACAGGGAGAAGCATGGGAGGTGGTTTATGTTCAACAGTTCTTAGAACTTTCTAAGTGGTTCTATGTGGCTAACTGAACATACAAGAGTGACTTACCACACACACACACACACACACACACACAGACTTACTGCTCTGTAGTCCAGAAACATTTCTTTAAAAGCCAAAAAATCAGTAAACGTGAGCAGCATGTCGAATATGTCACCAGCCACTTCATCTTTATGGTGCCTGTAAAGGAAAAGGGTGACTCCTGCACGAATGAATGATGAAACAGACTGTCTCTTCAAGATTTCAAAGGTTCTGAGGCCCTACTACCTAGGACCTAACCACCAAGTACTCTCAGCCTTGATGTTCAAGCACTGGGGAAAAAAGGAGGGTCTTCTTTTCAGACTGGAGGAAGATGAAAAAAGGTAAAACACAGAGTCAAGAACTCACTGTAAAGTTGTTGTGAAGGCCGCCATGTTAAATCCAGGAATCCGCTCCAGCAGTTGTTCTTCAATATACTTTTCTACCAAAGAAATCTGTAACAGTGGAAAGGATCTGAGTCAGACAAGCCTGCTTTGCACACAGCCTGTCCTAAGAGCTATTCTGAGCCAGGCTCCATGCTGAGTGCTGGGGATACCAAAGAGAACCAAACGCAGCTCCTGTCCTCGAGGAGGACTCGCAGGGCCCACTGGCCCACGGAGGGAGAGCCGTTCGCAGGTAATTACACCGTAACAGAACGGATGCTCTCAGGTTGGCAGAGACAGCAGCAGGGCTCCCACTCCCTGGCAGAAAGTGAGGAATGAAGTAAATGAGCCTTTTCTTCCTGGGCAGATGGACTCTGCAAACAGAACATACACAAAAGAGGCAATCACAGGGTCCGTATAAGCTGAGGCATGGCTAGAGGAAACCCGCATTGACTGTGCCAAGCTTCTGTGTCAAGAAAGTCCTGGAGGCTCGCACCCATCTCAGACAGATGAGATTATTCCAGGAGGCTGCCCCTGACCTTGGCAGTGTGGAAAGACCCAAGGGTCAAGAATTAAAATTCTTTGATTCTAGTCCTGGTTTTGCCACCAACTAGTTAGTGATCTTGGTCTGAGTTTTCACGTCTACCTCGTAGTCATACATACCTGAACTGAAAGCAGCATTATAATAAAGCCAAATATCTTGTGAAACAGAAGCTGATGAAATCATCAAACATTTGAAAAACAGCCCCAAAAGCTGTGTGTAGGAAAGCGACAGGACAGGAGAACTAAATCAGATTCTAATTAGAATTCCTGGCAGTGTAGTAGTGGTGGCAGATTTGAAAAGTCAACCAAATTTTAGCATCTTTTGATTCTAAGTTCACATTTTAATGAAACCCTAATCTCTGGTAAGAGAAGTAGAAATCCACTTACATATTCGTTAAAAATAGGCGTGTAGGTGAGTTTATTCTCTTCTGTGTCATCAAACTCCTGGTAGTACTTGTCCATGAAATTTCTTTGTAATAACTGGAACTCGTCATCTGAACCACAATAAAAAGAATTATTCTTTTTAATGCAAACTAAAAACCATTTTGATTTAATAGGCAGGAATTATATGTTAGAACTGGTTTCTCAATGGTTAATCTCCAGGAGAGAAAACTAAAGGTATTTCAAGCGAGTGTTAAATGACACCAGTGTTGAAATAGACCAATCCAGTTTTTTATTACTAGTTTTAAATTGTAATGAAACATACACAACATAAAATGCTATTTTTTTTTATTTTAATTTTATTTTTTATCCACACCCGAGGACATTTTTCGATATTTTGTTTAGATGGGGGGGGGGGGGGGGGAAACATAGACGTGAAAGGGACACCCACACGACCCAACCAGGCCAGGGACAAACTGCAACCGAGGTACGTGCCCTTCCGAGAACCGAACCCGGGTCTCTCTGGACTGCAGGCTGACGCTCTAACCGCTGAGACAAACCGGCCAGGGCAAAAATGCTCACTACTTTTAAGTGTACAGTTTGGTGGGATTATGTCTCTTCACAATGTTGTGCAATCATTAAACCATCATCCAGTTTATTTTACACACACCCATAAGGGATGGGTTGGGAACTCCCTCACATTATCAAATTCTAAGTTTTTCTCTCCCACATATTTGTCTTAAACCTTTGGTGCCAGTTACTACTTATTACTTAGTAGGACTTATGGATGCCAAAATGAACCCACGAACAGGAAATACAGAACCAGCAAAAAGTATGACACCTTCTTTTTTTCAGGGATGTGTGCTGTTTATGGTATGCTGTGGTCTACGCCATAAAAACGTTAAAACTAAAAAACTAAATTGTTCTTAGTCTTGGAAATAAAGTAGGTCGATGTTTCCTGAAGTTCTGTCAATAGCCCCAGAATTTCTAGGTGTTGGATTTCCTGAAAAGTCCCTTCCTGACTCCTGAATCTGTGGGTATATTAGTTGTTTTAAGGAGTACTGGGCTGTTTGCCTCTAAGACAAATCACAATAAGGCTTAATATTACATTGTGCTATATTAAAAATTATATGCAGTTTGATGTTTTCTCTTTAAAAAATCAGCTCTCCAATTTCATTTCAGTGTTCTTAAAAGCATGGGTCTAAGAACTAAAGACTGGCAAGGGAGCTTACCCATGATAATGTCTTCTAAATATCCAACCACAGCATCAAATTCTGCATCAGAGGCGGAAGAACTGAAAAATATGCCTGGATTAGGTGCTGTTTGAAATAGTTTAAAAAAAAATTTATTATGGACATTTTCGAACATGCCCCAAAGAAAAATGAACTTCCTATCACTCAGCTTCAACAATCGAATGACTGTCTAATCTAGCAAGTCCAAACAGAATAAAACACTGAACACATCTGCGATCAGAGATGAATGTAATGGCTCCACTGTCAGAAAACTTGATGTGACAAAAGGAATTACAAAAGGGGCAAATAAGGGGGGGGGGGGACGGTAGGGGTCGCACTGCACATCTTTAAGGCTCCTCCGCATTCATTTCCGGTGAGGTCAGCTCACCGCAGTTTCGCTACCAGCCCGCACCTATCTGCGAGTGAGCGTGAAGCTGCCGTGAGCGAGATGCTGGCCAGGGCGGGGAGCTGTTGGACCAGGAGTCCCTGGTGGTGTTGGATCCTCTGGCCCGTATCGGGCCTCAGCAGTCAAACCCGCCAGGTTCTGCTGACGACGAGACTGGAGGCGGCCATGGGGCGCTGTGATGGAGGCGTTGATCAATTCGTGACTCCTGCGCCGGACTCCTGTTCGGGCCTGAACCCAGCGGTCGCAATAGCGACAGAATCGACACGGGGAATAGGGGCGGAGCCTTGACGTCCGTCAGGACACCCGTTTCAAAGGGCAGTGGCCCAAACCGAGCGCCAGCAGGCCCAGGCAATGCCACTTACGAAGACAGCGCGAAGCTCTCTTCCTCTAGGGCGTCCATCGCCGCCGCCGCCGCATCCACCCGGCGCGGGCGAGCCGGCCCGTCGGCCTCCTACTCGGCCCGCGGCCCGGGCCCAACCTCCGTTCTGCTTCGCAGAGCTCCAACCAGCATGGAGGAGGCCTTGCCGCCTGTCCGCCCGCCAGGCCTCCGCGGGAGCCGCGGCAGCCGACGCCGGGGCCTAGCGGCGACGACCCACCTCCAGACGCCGCACCCGCCTCCCGTCACCATGGTCACCGCAGCCTTTCCACCGCCTCGCGCCTCCCGACAGCAAATCGCAGGCGCGCGTTGCCCGACGCCAGGGGCGGGGCAAACGGGGAGGAAGTGAGGGAAAGGAAGGGAGAGTCGCGAAGAGGGGGAGGGGGCCTCGTGAGCACCAGGGCCTCGCCGGCGTGTTCCCACGCTGTGCGGCGGTTAAACCTCGCGTCGTCTCCGTTTTATGGAGGAAGTCCAAGCCAAGTGCCTCAGTTTCCTCATTTTGTAAAGTACAAGATTTAAGAAGAGTAAGTAGTTTAAATTGGATTTTAAGAGCACTATAAATTGCAAATCTCTCTCTCGAGCCAATCCTTAGCTTTTAAATCAGGTAACTGCCGACCTCAGATTTGCAAGGCAGTTACTCCCTCTCGTGGAAGGAAAGGCTCACTGAGAGAAGTGGCTGTCTTGTACATCATAAATATTCACATCATCAAGATTATTTGGCAGTAACTGGCTTCTTGGCTAACGAGGCGAGATGAAAGTTGACAAAACCCGTTTGAACAACACAATCAGAAAAAAGCCCCCCTCCCCCCTAAACTGCCAAATTTTGCCAAAAAGATTCCCTGAGCTGATTTCTCTTAATTGGACCAGTGGGCATTGTCTCTTCGGTTGCATTATACCTTTGGCCAAATGTGTGGTACATGATACAGGGATTTGTTATCAAGACACAATTGTATCCAGCGTGAGACAGATTCTCAGAGGAATTAACTCTGCTTAACCCCAAATAGAAGACAGGCATCTGAAAAGGTTTACTGAGTAACCAGGCTGAGTTCTGTTTAAGCACTGGTCACACAGTTCAAAGCAAACTCAGCAAATTTCCTTATGACCTACTTTCTCTATAAACCACTTATTTCTTTTGGATTGAATGAACTTGCCCACCGTTTCTACTGCTAAATCATGTATGGGCTCAAAGTGGAGGAAGAAATGATTTTATCTGTTCTGGTTTTCTATCCCTGTTGCAAGCCACCTGAAAAACATAGTGTCTTAAAACAATTATTTTGCTCACTAATCAGCAATTTGGGCAGGACTTGGTAGGGACAGTTAACCTCTGTTCCACTCCACATCAGTTGGGGCAGGTGGAATGGGGCCAGAGCAGCCTTTTCCCAGCTCACTCACATGGCTGAAAAATTAGTGCTGACTCTTGGCTGGGAGCTCAGTGTGGATGTTGGTTAGAGGATTGGGGTGGAGGAGTTTCAATTCTTCTCCATGTAGGTCTTCCCAGGGATGTTGGGTTTTTCTCAGACCATGGTGGCTGAGTCCAAGAGCAAATACTTCAAGAGACAGGAAGTGGAAGCTGCCAGTCATTTAAAGGCCTGGGCTAGAAACTTGGCACAGTACTATTTCTGCTGAATTATATTGGTCAAGCATAGAGCCACCTAGAATTTTTTTTATCCTCACCCGAGGACACTTTTCCATTTTTTGTTCAGGTAGAGTGGGAGGGAGAGAGAGGAAGAGAGAGAGAGAGAGAGAGAGAGAGAGAGAGAGAGAGAGAGAGAGAGAGACATCGACATGAAAGGGACACATTGATTGGCTGCCACCCGCACGACCCACCAGGGCTGGGGACAAACTGCAACGGAGATACATGCCCTTAGTGGGAACTGAACCCGGGTCTCGAGGGACCACAGGCCGACGCTCTAACCGCTCAGTCAAACCTGCCAGGGTGAGCCACCTAGGTTTAAGGAGAGTGGACATAAACTTTATTTATAGATGGAAGGAATGTTAAAGAATTTGTGACCATCTTTAATCCACTTCACCATCTCTGGCTATAAGAACAAATGGGGATAAAGATAATAATCATAGGTACCCACTCACTTAGGCATAAGCCAAGTACTGATACTAATTAAATATTTATAAATACATTGTCTCTTTTTGAAATTCTTGAAATGTGGGGGAAAGTATGAGATGGAAGGAGACTTGACTTGGGTGGTGAACACACAATACAGTTTACAGATGTGTGTGGAATCATGTACCTGAAACTTGTATAATTTTGTTAATCAGTGTCACCCCAATAAATTCAATAAAAGTGCATAAAAAAACCCAAACTGTGACAAAAAAAAAACAACACCCAAAAACCTCTATGAGGTATTATCATCTCGATTTTACAGATTAGGTAACCAAGGCTTTGGAAGTATTTGCATATTTGTGGTAAGTGGCATCCTGGGGCTGGAACCTGGGTCTAAACTCATTCCTGTTTTACCCATCATGCTATATAGCTCCCCAATCCCTGAGTTGTCAAACAATACTGGAAATCAGAGCTTGATACTTTTCTAAAAACAAAACAAAAAAACCAGAATGATGGCCTTTTTGTAGAAAAATTAATTTACTTGAATATATTAAATATTTTCCATTAATAAATATTTCTTAAATATTTTGATTGTGGATTAGCACTAATTGTTTTAAATGAATAGCAAAAAGTGTACAATCTTTGAAAGAGCTGATCTTAGTTGGATAATTTGTTTCTTGGGTACATATTCAAGATGGCTGAAATTCATGCAAAAGTCATTTTCTGCCAGTGAAATTATTTCTGTGACTGAATCATTCTCCTGGCATTCTGCAAACAGCACCGTGACTTGACCTTGCTTTATCAGTATCATTCAAAAAAGATGGGAATTCATTAAAAACATTCTTTTGGCTGAAATCCTGAAGCTATTTCTGGGAAATAAAAAATGACATGCCTGGCCAGGTGGCTCATTTGATTGGAGCGTCTATGGATTGTGGGTTCAACTCCCAGTCAGGGCATATACCTAGGTTGCAGTTTGATCTGAGGTCGGAGTGCTTCAGGGCTCGTAGAGGAAGCAACTGATTGATCTTTCTCACATTGATGTTTCTCTCTCTCTTAAATCAGGTGAGGATAAAAACAAATCTAATGCCAATGACTTGACAATAAAAAAAATAAAAATTATATAAATTACATATTGTTCTCTCTGGTACAATATATCATCAGCAAAAGTCCAGGTTTCAAGTTCTCTTAAAATGTTTACAAGCCGTGCAGAATACAGATCTATTGTTTACTCTCTTCCACGTAGCTTGCTATTTTTTTTTCTTCTTTGTGGAATAAATGTCGCTCCCTTTGAAGCAGTTCCAAAATTACAACTTTGCTTTCATCCTGAATAACTTAATATTGAAATCCTTGTTTTATGGTCTACAAGTTAAGAATTGGAAAAGTAGACCATTTTATGAACAAAGTTCAAGAGTAGATTTCTAGAAAGCTAATAGGCTTCTGCATTCCTTTGACTATTGACAGATTAGCTATTGATTCCATTTACTTTTCTCTGTCTCCACTGAATTTACAGACTACTTTCACCTCTCAGCTGCATTACTTCAAAGTCTCCCTACAGGTCTTACTATGTTCATTTTTTGCTCATCCTCTATCCTGCTCTCCACCACATTCTCCACATAGAAGCCAGAGCCATCTTTAAAAATTATTTATTAAAGCACTTCTATGCTTAAACTCCTTTACTTTCTATTGTACTTACGATAAAAGACAACGTCCTTCACATGGCTTCACAAGCAGTCCCCTGATCTCTCCACCACTGGAACATACAATTCAACCCACTCACCTCTTATCTTACTAGCTACAGGGGCCTTCCATCAGATCCTGAAGGCCACTGAGCTCCTTTCCTCGTGAGTTAGGGCTGTTGCCTATAATGTTGTGTTCACGTAGCTACTCAGTCCTGGAAGTTTCTTTTCTTTTTTTTTTTAATCCTCACCCGAGGACATTTTTCCATTTTTTGTTCAGTTAGAGTGGGAAGGAGAGAGGGAGAGAGAGGAGAAAGGGAGAGAGGGAGAGACATTGACGTGAAAGGGACACATCGAGTGGCTGCCTCCCGCATGACCCAACCAGGGCCAGGGACAATCTGCAACCAAGGTGCGTGCCCTTAGCGGGAACCAAACCTGGGTCTCTCTGGACCGCAGGCTGACGCTCTAACCACTGAGCAAAACTGGCCAGGGCTAGAAGCTTGTTCTTAGTCTCTCTGCCTGGCCATGTTCTATTTCTTCCTTTGAGTTTTTACTAATATTACTTTCCCAGTGAGGTTTCTTCTGCTCCCTCCCATCTAAACTAGGCCCCCCTCATTCTCTCTCATAGTACCCCATTCTTTTCTTTCAAGGCACTAACAATTTATTACAATAAACACAAATATACCATCTTCTTTCCACTACCAGATGTAAGCAAGCTCCATGAATAGATGTTTTATATACCACATCGGCACAGTGCCCAGAACATAGTAGATGCTCAATAAAGATTTGCTGGGTGGATAGTGATTAACCTTGCTTCTTAATTCTAATACTTGATTCTCTTCTACCCTGCAAAGCAGCCCTTAAACCTGAGAGTATACTGTCTTGGAATTTTAGCAGCAGAGGCACCAATGAAAGTTGTGAAATCTTAGTAAAAAAAGGCAACAAATGTTTTATTTCTCCAATGCAAATTACTGTATTCACCACAAGCTAAAGAAGAGAACATATATATATGTGTGTATATATTTATATATATATTTGAATTTATGGAAGACTAAAGACATGGGAAAAATCCAGCACCCCAACAAGTACGGCCAGGAAGGAAATCAGTCTGTAATAGGACATTTTAATGAACTACAAACAAGAGAGGGTGGGAAAGGAAGAAAATGTGCATTGAGTTTAAGACACTGTAAAACTCAGAAGACATATTTACTATTCAAGTATAAACTCGGTAAGGACTTGGCATAAATTGAAAGGCAGCTGCTGAGGTACACCATTATAAAATAAATTCTATGAATTTACAATTCTACCTTCCAATTTTCTGGGAGAAAAAAAAACAAACTCTTGAAGGTCTTCACCAGAGACCCTGAGAGGGAGTAACACTTTTGATGAAGACGTAGTCAATAATCCGTGATTGAATTTACTATTCAAATACATGTTATTTAAAACAATAGGAATATATGCTCTCAGACTGTCTTCTAAGAGTTTTTGAGACTATTAGTTCAAGAGTTCAAAGTATATTACTTCCAAAAACAATACTGATTAAAAAAAAATTTTTTTTTTAACAAAAAAAACCTGATTTGATGGTATCTTAAAAATACCCTAAATACCACATTTTCTCCAACCACTGCAGTTAATTTAAGAATTCCTCCTGCATTGTTGAAACATTTTCTCGTCACAAAATGTGGGTACTGAAATTGGGTAGCAACACCATGAATGTGAAAATACCACCGATTTTCTGCAGTTAAAAAAAACTAGAATGTTCTTTGGAATCACTGAAATACAAAAATCTGGTTTTTTTTTCTACAGTCTGTGCACCTTCTTTCAGGCCCTCCAAGTTGCTCATGGTATTGACCTGTGTGATTCTAGTTTTATAGATTCAAGTCTTACAGTGCAATATCCACACTTACCACACAGCTATATCTCTGACCAGTGGGAAGTTACACTCAACCCAGAAACGCTATCATTTACTTCTCCATAATGACCTTCTTCTGTCCAAATAAAACTTTAGAATATAAGACAAAACATCCTGTGTTAAATGAACCCAACAAGGAGAATTCCAGTGTGGTTTCAGCACTCAAGAGGGCATTGTCCCTTACTGTTTTTCATGGAAGTACTACAGGCCGGGCTTGTTAGCATTCAGCTTTCCTTGGCCTTGAATGGAATTTCTCAGGGCTGGCAAGTTGGGTTAGGTTCTAAGAGAATTTTGTCTTTGACAAACTACCATTTTTAGCATAAAATCTGGCCATGGCTACAAGTTTCAATGTGCATACGACTGATTAGAGATGGGCTTTTTTCTTTTTCTTTTCAACATTGGCTGAAATTGAGTAGAAATAAGTCCGTAAGTTCGTGATTCCTCTTCACATGTGTCATGAAATATGAGAGATCTGTCTGACTCTAGACATTATTTCTTTACGACACAATGGGCAGGTCTCCAGTTGCAAGGCACAATTCATGCACAGGTCACTGAGGAAAAACACAAATACCAGTTAGGTCAATGTTTCAAAAGGCCAGACTGACCACTGCTACCGACACAATCTAAAATGATAACAAGTTTGCCCTGGTCAGTTGGTTCAGTAGTTAGAGTCTTGGCCCATGGACCAAAGAGTCTCAGGTTCGATTCCAGTCAAGGGCGCGTACCTCATTTGCTGTTCAGTCCCTGGCCCTGGTTGGGGGTGTGCAGGAGGCAACCAGTCGATGTGTCTCTCTCACATCATTGTTTCTCTCTCCCTCCCTCCCTCACACTCTATCTAGGGATAAATCCTCCGGTGAGGATTAAAAATAAATAAATACATAAAATAAAATAAAATGTTAACAAGCTTGAAACCAATAAATGTGATACACCACATAAACAAAATGAAAGATAAAAACCATATGATCATATCCATAGATGCTGAAAAAGCATTCAACAAAATCCAGCACACATTTCTTTTTTTTTTTTTTTTTTATCCTCACCCGAGGCCATTTTTCCATTTTTTTGTTCAGGTAGAGTGGGAGGGAGAGAGAGGAACAGAGAGAGAGAGAGAAACATTGATGTGTGATGTGAAAGGGACACATCGAGTGGCTGCCACCCGCACGACCGACCAGGGCCGGGGACAAACTGCAACCGAGGTACGCGCCCTTAGCGGGAACCGAACCCGGGTCTCTCAGGACCGCAGGCCGATGCTCTAACCGCTGAGCCAAACCGGCCAGGGCTTCTTTTTTTTTTTTTTTCAGCACACATTTCTGATAAAAACGCTCAGCAATGTGGGAATAGAGGGATCATATCTCGACATAATAAAGGCCATATATGAAAGACCTACAGCCAACATCATACTCAATGGGCAAAAACTAAAAGCATTTCCCTTAAGAACAGGAACAAGGACAGGGATGCCCATTTTCGCCACTCTTACTTAACAACAGTACTGGAAGTCTTAGCCACAGCAATCAGACATGCTTAATTGAAGAAAAAATGAAAGGGATTCAAATTGGAAAGGAGAGAGTGAAATTGTCATTATTTGTAGATGACATGATATTGTACACAGAAAACCCTAAAGACTCCATCAAAAATCTACTAGATTTAATAAATGAATTTGGCAAAGTAGCAGGATACAAATATAACATTAAGAAATTGACGGCATTCTTATACGACAATAATGAACTCACAAAAAGCAAAATTTAAAAACAATCCCATTTACCATCACAGCAAAAAAAAATTAAGATACCTAGGAATAAACTTAACCAAAGACGTAAAGGACCTGTTTGCAGAAAACTACAAGATATTGAAAAAAGAAATAGAGGAAAATATAAAAAAGTAGAAGCATATACCTTGTTCATGGATTGGAAGAATTAACATCATTAAAATATCCATACTACCCAGAGCAATCTATAGATTCAATGCAATCCCCATCAAAATACCAATGACATTATTTCACAGAACTAGAACAAATACTCCAAAAGTTTATATGGTACCAAAAAAGACCCAGAATAGCCACAGTAATCTTGAAAAAGAATAACAAAGTAGGAGAGATCACAATACTGGATATCAAGTTACACTACAAAGCCATTGTAATCAAAATAGCTTGGTACTGCCACAGGAACAGGCATATAGATCAATAGAACAGAACAGAGAACCCAGAAATTGATCTAAGATATTATGCTCAATTAGTATTTGACAGATGTGGCAAGAGCATACAATGGAGTAAAGACAGCCTCTTTAATAAATGGTGTTGGGAAAATTGGACAGCTACATGCAAAAAAAAAAAAAGAAACTAGACCATCAACTTATACCATACCCAAGAATAAACTCAAAATGAATAAAAGACGTAAATGTGACTCATGAATGCATAAAAATCCTAGAAGAAAACGTAGGCAACAAAATTTCAGACATCATATGCAGCAGAATTTTCACTGATACTATGCCTAAGGCAAGAGAAACAAAGGAAAAAATTAATACATGGGACTACATCAAACTAAAAAGCTTCTTCACAGCAAAAGAAACAGGCATCAAAATGGAAAGGAACCCCACTATATGGGAGACTATAATTGTCAATGATACATCAGATAAGGGGTTAATTTCCAAAATAGAATATTCATACAATTCAACAAAAGAAAGACAAAGAATCCAATTCAAAAATGGGTAGAGGACCTAAATAGATACCTCTCCAAACAGAACATACAAATGGCCAAGAGACATATGAAGAAATGCTTAACATCACTAATCATCAGAGAGATGCAAATTAAAACGACTATGAGGTATCACCTCACACCTGTCAGAATGGCTGTCATCAACAAATCATCAAACAACAAGTGCTGGTGAGGGTATGGAGAAAAGGGGACTCTAGTACACTGCTGGTGGGAATGCAGACTGGTGCAGCCACGATGAAAAACAATATGGTGTTTCCTCAGAAAATTAAAAATTGAACTGCCATTTGATCCAGTGATCCCACTTCTAGGAATATATCCTAAGAAGCCTAAAACACAAATCAGAAAGTATATATGTACCCCCATGTTTGTAGCAGCACTATTTACAATCACTAAGGTCTGGAAACAGCCCAAGTGTTCAACAATAGATGAGTGGATAAAAAAGCTGTGGTACATATACATAATGGAACATTATGCAGCTGTAAGAAAGAAAGATCTCTTATCCTTTGAGATGACATGGAAGGACCTGGAGAATATTATGTTAAGTGAAATAAGCCAATCAAAGATAGGTAAATATCACATGATCTCACTTATTTATGGAATATAATGAACAAAGTAAACTGATGAACAAAATAGACCTAGAGGCATAGAAGTAGGGTTCTGACTGACAAACCTCAGAGGAGGGGATGAGGGGGAAGGAAGAGATAAACCAAAGAATTTATATGCAGGTATGCATAACCAATGGACATTGACAACAATGCTGGGCGGGGAGGGTCAGGAGGAGGGAGAAAAAGGAGAAACATCTGTAACAAAAATAAATTAATAAAAAAAAGTTAATGAGCTTGTTAATTGAATGAGTAAAATAATCAGTGGCAGCCCTGGCCAGTTTGGCTCAGCAGTTAGAGCATTGAGCCACGGAACAGCGAGTCCTGGGTTTGGTTTCCGCTAAGGGCACTTGCCTTGGTTGCAGCTTGTTCCTGGCCCTGGATGGGGTTGTGTGGGTGGCAACCACTCGATGTGTCTCTCTCACATCGATGTTTCTCTTTTTCTATTCCTCCCTCACTCCCTCCCGCTCTATCTGAAGATAAATGCAAAAAAAAAGGTTAAAAAAATAAATATATAAATTAATAAGTCTTGCCCTGGCCGGTGTGCACAATGGTTAAAGCACCAGCCCACACTTCCAACCCCTATCTAACCCTAGTTGGATGGCCTTCTTGGGGGCCGTCTTACTTGCTGGTCTTGCTAATGTTTGGCCACGCTGTTCTGTAGGGTCAAGGTTGCCCTCTGAGTTCATCTCATACAACTGAAATTTGGTTAGATGGCAGGGAGGCGCTGCCTTCTCAGTGGCTGGGAGTATAAAACATAAATATATGAGGAGGCTCTAAGACTAAGAGGGATTGCCCATGAAGCTCATAAATAGCATTAAACATTTTACATTTTGTGATGTGAAAACTGCATTAAAGATATAGTATTGAGAAAACAAAGGCCTTCAATATCAAGTAGCTTCTTCTATTTCAGGTACTTTCTGGAAGACAGCCACGTACTACTTGGCAAATCTAATTCCTCATTCAGCCTACGTTAGACACGGTAAACCTGGATGAAGAGCCATGAAACTGGTAACACACTAAAAGCAATTCAAGGATAGGATGAAACTTTGCCTAACATAACGTACAAAATAGGAACGAATCAAACAAACAAACCTCTTACCTATGTCCACATGGCTTCAACTGTGTGTCTGCTACCTCGTCACAACACAGGGAGCAGCAGTTTTCCCGGATACTGACTTGCTTCAACAGAGCAAGACGCCTGTGCCTGAGTAGAAAACACAATGTGTCCACAAATAAATGGGACCCGTTTGCAGTGTGGCGTAGGAAATGCTTTGAAAATGCTGTGTTGTGAATGAGAAAGGGGCTACAGAGCAGGCCTGACATGCTCAGGAGGCCATATGGCAAGCCTGACAAGAAGTGGACACACAGGGTGATTTGACCATAAATTCCTAACTGGGCAGGTCATGGTAGGTAGTCACATCCTAGGCCTATCAATCTCTCAGTAAAAGATTACTACTCTTTACCTTAATTAGCCCTGTACATTGTTCTTAGGCATCTGGGATACCAAATTTTTGACACGTTGATCTTCTTTTTCAACTCTCTGGGAGGCATAACCAACTGTCTGAAACTCCTCACAGTTATCTCGTTGCCTGCATATAATCTCTCTCTGTACTGTAAATGTTAAATGTTAACTATCCTGTACCTACCAACCCTAGAATCTCCCCACCTTTGCTTATTCCTGCCTCAATCTACCATCAATGGATTTCTTGTACCTTCCTTACTTTTCTCTTTTGATTCTCATTGCATAAAAAGAACTGCAAAACTGCCCTTCTCTGGGTAAGATCTTGATTCTGGGCATGTTCTCAGTTTGGCTCAAATAAATGCTAAAAACTTGTAAACTTTTTCTATAGATTTGGGTGTTCTTGCATCAACAGTGTGAAGTACAATAAGCTTTTGCCCAGTAGTTTTCTTCGTTTTTAATTTTTTTTCTTTTATTGATTTTAGAGAGAAGAAGGGAAAGGGAGAGAGATAGAAACATCGATGAGAGAGAACATTGACTGGCTGCCTCCTGCATGCCCCCCACTGAGGATTTGGCCCACAACCTGGGCATGTGCCCTGACTGGGAATCGAATCAGCGATCTCCTTGTCCAGTAGTTTTCACACACAACATTTTATTTCATTCTTATAAAGATCTGAAATCATTGGATTACATTTGGAATAAAGGAGACATGGTCATTCCCATTGTACAGACAAACAGTTCAAGAAAATGATTTGCATAAGGTCACACACAGTAAACAGATTTGAGAATCAAGTTCAAACCTTTCGTTCTAAGGCCAGTGCTCTTTTTATTTTACCAGCAAATTTTCAACCTTATAAGTCACACACTTTGATGGTTTGATGAAAAGCATAAGGCCTTCCCAAGGGGAAAAAAAAAGCACACATGTAAGTTTCCATACACTTTCAAGGTTTTTATGATAGTCCATCTATAGACTCCCTGGAAGTCCAGGCACCTCAGCTTAGACCCCTTGTCTTGTGCTTTCACTCAGTTTGGAATGAAAATGCAGACAGGCAGAATTGTACTGCTGACAGTACAACCCTGACAGATGGGCAAGAGAAAACAGGAAAACATTTTTCAACCATGGAAGGCCTCACTATGTGCCAGGCACTGCTCCTAATCCTGGAGATTCTTTGGTGGAGAAATGACTAAAAACATATCTCTGCTTTCAGAGAGCTTACATTCTAGTTGCGGGGGAGGGAGGGGGTGCGGGGGGGGGCGGACAGACAATGAACTAAATAAAACAGTAAAATATACAGAATGTTAAATGCTCATGAGCAGTAGTATGAAGAAAAATAAAGCAGGGAGAAGGATAAGGACGGTGTATGTGAGAGGCAAGGAGTTACAATTTAAAATGTGGCCACCAGAGCCCGGCCAGTGGTTGAGCGTTGATCCATGCACCAAGAGGTCGCCGGTTCGATTCCTGGTCAGGACACATGCCTAGGTTGTGGGCCAAATCCCCAGTGGGGGGATGCAGGAGGCGGCTAATCGATGTTCTCTCTCATCGATGTTTCTATTTCTCTCTCCCTCTTCCTTCCTCTCTCTCTAAAATCAATAAAGAAAAAAAAATTTTTCAAATATGGCTACCAGAAAAGATGACATTGAGGTAAAGACATGAAGAGTGAGGCTTGAGTGAGCTTTGTGGACATCTGGAGAGAGAACATTTGTGATACTGTGATTTATAGTAAGAAATGCATATATTTGGTCTTCCTCCACATTCCTGGCAAGAAGCTCCTAAAACTCTTGAAATTTCCTAAGACATGAGACCAACAAACGTCTTTTGTTATATTAATAAGGTTACTCTAGAGAAGTCCCCAAGTAACCTAAGATAGGAGCTAGATGCCAGGGGAACTGACCTTGTGATTGGAACATCAGAATTTTCAGCTCCATCCTCTGATCTTAGGGGAAGGGAAAGAGGGTGGAGATTGAGCTCAATCACCAATGGTCAATGACTGAATTAAACATGCCTATGTAATGTGGGTATGGGAGCTCTGTGCCCTTTCGCAATACCTTGCTCTATGTAGCTCTTCCACCTGGCTGTTCCTGTTACATCCTTTTATAATAAACCAGTAAATCTAGTAAGTAAACTTTTCCTGAGTTCTGTAAGTTGCTCTAGCAAATTAATCAATCACAAGGAGAGAGTCCTGGGAATGTCCTAGTTATGGGTTGGTCAGAAGCACAGGTGAAAACTTGGACTTTTGATTGGCATCAAAAACGGGAGGAGAAGGCAGTCTTGCATATCTGTGGGATCTGACACTATTCTCATGTAGATATTGAGTTATTGTTTGGTGGTGTTGGAAAACACAAAGGACCATTCTAGTAGCAGGCATGGCAAGTGCAAAGGCCCTGAGGCTACAATAGACCTCAGTATGTTTTAAATGTTTAAAAGTTTAAAACTATGCCCTGGCCAGTTTGGCTCAGCGGTTAGAGCGTCGGCCTGTGGTCCGGAGAGACCCGGGTTCGGTTCCCGCTAAGGGCACGTACTTTGGTTGCGGTTTGTCCCTGGCCCTGGTTGGTTGTGCGGGTAGCAGCCACTCGATGTGTCCCTTCACGTCGATGTTTCTCACTCTCTCTCCCTTCCTCTCTCTCCCTCCCACTCTATCTGTACAAAAAATGGAAAAATATCCTCGGGTGAGGATAAAAAAATTTTTTTAAAACTACAGTATGTTTTGGGAGCAGCAGGGACGCCAGGTGACTGAAGAAGGAGCATAAACAAATGGGAGATGGCAGGATATAAAGCAAAAGGAGAAATGGAGAGGAGGGGCAAACTGTGTAGGGCAGGGTAGATCACTGTAAGATTTTAAGCTTTTAGCCCTGGCTGGTTTGGCTCAGTAGTTAGAGCATCGACCTGCGGTCCAGAGAGACCCGGGTTTGGTTCCCGCTAAGGGCACGTACCTCGGTTGCAGTTTGTCCCCAGCCCTGGTTGGGTCGTGTGGGTGGCAACCACTTGATGTGTCCCTTTCACGTCGATGTTTCTCTCTCTCTCTCTCTTCCTCTCTCTCCCTCCCACTCTATCTAAACAAAAAATGGAAAAAATTGTCCTCGGGTGAGGATAAAAAAAAAGAATTTAAGCTTTTACCTTAAGTGAAATGGAAAGCCATTAAATATTTTCAGCAGAGAAGCACGTGATCTGATTTAAATTGTAACACAATTATTCTGGAGGCTGTGTTGAACAGTCTGAAGAAGGTCAAGGTAGGAACAGGGAGACTAGTTAGAAGCCAGGGCAAAAATAATCTAGGTGGGAAATGAAAAAGAATTGAACAATGGTGGTAGCAGTGAGAATGATAAGTAGTAGTTGGATATGGGACATAATCTGAAGACACAGCCTGTAGGATTTGCTGAGGAATCAGCAGAAAGGAAGGTGTCAAGGATACTCTAGGAATATGGCCAGGGAAACTGGAATGGGAATGGACTTATTAACAGAGATGAAAGAAGACTGCTGGAGAAGCAGGTGGCCAAGAGTGGATGACTATTGCAGCTGAGAGGTAGATGGCTATATGGTGCTTCATTGTAATATTCTTTCTTTCTTTTGTGTGTATTTGAAGTTTTCCATAATAAAACGGTTAAGAGGAAGTAAAAAGAATGAATGAAAGGAGAAGTATTAGAGAGAGTGAGAATATACACAATATAGAACAAGCTACAAAATCCCAGGTAGTAACAGGGCCACAATCTTCTACTCTGAAGCCAGGAAGCAATACTATTCCAGTGAGTAGAAAACTATCCCTGAATATAAGATTTGGACACAGGCTCAAATATTAATGGCATAGTAAATGGTCTTGGGCATGTTAACACTTAAGGCCACAATCTGTAAGTAAGTTTGACTGAAATGTACCAGCAGGAAGCTGGTTTTAAGAAAACCACCCAATTAGCCTTTGACAACTCCTATCCTGGTGTCATGGTCTAGTGCAGCCCAGGCTTGTCCTAGCTTGTAACTCTGCTGTCCTTATTCAAGGGAGGCTGCACTGTTGGTGCTGAACTGACAAGGTACCCACAGAGTACCAAAGCTGGCCATAAAAGGAGACTTGCCGATAGATGATGCCTGTTGCCGTGATTTTCAGAAAGTCTGATTCTGCTGGAATGGTAACTAAATGCTGAAGTAGTTTTAACTTTAGCCAACTTCCAGGGAACTCCAAGATGGATCGATTGTATCTTTTTAAAAACATTTTTTTGTTGCCTGGCCGATGTGGCTCAGTGGTTGAGCATCAACCCATGGACTGTGAAGTCCCAGTTCGATTCCTGATCAGGCACATGCCCAGGTTGTGGGCCTAATCCCCAGTGGGAAGCATGCAGGAGGAAGCCAACTGATGTTCTCTCTCATCGATGTTTCTAGCTCTCTCTCCCTCTAAAACCAATGAAGAAAAACATATTAAAAGAAAAAACAAAATAAAAATAAAATTTTTTTTGTTAATCCTCATCTGAGGATATTTTCCATTGATTTTTAGACAGAGTGGAAGGGAGAGGGAGAGAGAAAAAGCATCAATGAGAGAGAGACACATCAACTGGTTGCCTCCCGCACAACCCCCACTGGGGCCGGGGATCAAAGCTACAAACCAGGTACGTGCCCTTGACCAGGAATGGAACCCATGATCCCTTGGTCTGAAGGCCAACACTCTAACTGCTGAGCCAGACCAGCCAGGGCTCAATCATACCTTTCAGGGTGTGAGTGAGAAGGCAGACTGATTTATGAGCTGCACCCAAGAAGACAGGCTAAATAAAAAAGTGATAGGGTATGACAGATGAGAGAGCTGTTACTTCAGACTTTCACCAAGAGGTACTTAAAGTTCAGAATCTCTGTCAGGCACCAAGACACGTTAAAGGGAGGTTCTAGGAATGAACTTCGGGTCCCTAAGCTGGGCTGTAAGTAGCCCTTCTGTTCTTGAAATATTCCAGAGGTTCTGCTGCTACAGACAATGCTGCTGTTACTATGTGACATTTTCTAGTTCATCTGGAAACTGCTGAGGCACTCTGAGTCTTGAGGCACTGAGTCTAAGGGGAAACACAGCCCCAAAGGGCTGTTTATAGACCTGCTTTTTGAGCCAAAACAGGAGCTAGCATTTCAACATTATGTTACAGATACCTTCAGGGGCATAATAGCCCAACACTGGCTGTGCCAAGGCCAGTGGGGTCTATACTGCTAGGAGAGACTCTGTCATTGATATAACATATGTGACATCAGTAACAGGACCACCCTTCCTCACAAAGGCCTAGAAAGCTGCTCTGTTAAAAAAGTGGTAGACTTTGGCTCATATTGTGAAACAAGCTTTAACTTGAAGTAAGTACCAGGAAGTAGCTGGAGTCTTTCCCGCTTAAGGACCAGCCCATGATCAACTAGTAAGGAAGAAAAGCAGCTTTCATCCACGGAGACAATGAATGCCAATCACAGTTTTGGGCAAATAAGGGCTGAAATTTTACCCAAGATGGCATTCACAGTCCTAATGGTTGCAGAACAGTCTTGATATCTTTACCAGGCAGCTAAAACCCAACAAGCAGTCTGTTTCAATAAACCCAAGTTTGTGAAAAGATGCACTTGATTTCCTATTATTTAGGATTTTTACATGGATATTCAAGTGAAATTAGTTTGCAGGTTTGTTTGGTGTATATGCATATGTTATACTGTCTAATTTTTATAACCAGTGTTATTTTAGCTCATAACAATTATTTGGAAGTGCTCTGTCTTTCTGGGTTTGCAACATTTTAAATAGCAATGAAGTTATCTGTTACTCAAAGAATTGATGGAGATTTCGTATGAAACCACCTGGGTCTGGTCCTTTTTGGAAAAATAGCTTTTAGTTTCAATTAATTTTATAATAATTGTTTTGTTTCTATCTCTTCTGGCATGTGATTTAGTCATTTATATTTCCTAGAAAGTCACCATTTTTCTCAGGTTTTCAAAATTATTTGTATTTTGAAAAAAGCCTATTAGAAACTGTTGTCATTTCTCATGAGATACAAGTAAAAGTCTGAAGATCCCTTACCTTGGCAAAATGATTTTCTCTTCTGCTGTTAGGAAGGCATAGTCATTAAAAGTGCTAAATTTCATAGATGGTGGATATTTGAATGGTTTTGCTCCAAAATTGAACTCACATTGTTGATATGACATGAAACTAGCTGCAGCAAAAAATCCAGATCTACAAATAAAAACGAGTACAGAGGCTAAGAAAATTCATAAAAACAAAGCAAAGCTCACACATGAAGTGGTTTTCAGAAGTCAGAATGAATCACATCCTAGTCAAAAGGAGGACAGGATCTCCTGCTCTTATCTTCCTACACCCAACTTTGGAATAGCTTTAGGTATGATCAAATGGGTCCTCATCCTGCCCGGTTTTGCTCAGCGGTTAGAGCATCAGCCTGCGGACCAGAGAGTCCCGGGTTTGGTTCCTGCTAAGGGCACGTACCTTAGTTGCACTTTGTCCCCGGCCCCAGTTGGGGTCGTGTGGGTGGCAACCACTCGATGTGAGACACATCTTCCTCCCTCTCTTCCTCCTGCTCTATCTGAAGATAAATGTAAAAATGTCCTTGGGTAAGGATTAAACAAAAATGTTTTCTCATCATAACTGACTAAATTAACAAAGTTATTTCTGGAGAAAAGTACACTCAGTCCATCTCCTGAAATTTTGACTGGGAAAAGCTACTTACACAGTAGATGAAAAGACTTGCTTCTCAGGAGGCAGCTGGTTGCCATTTAAAAAGAAGATCATTTGCTTTTCATTCAAGTCTAACAGAAATCCTACTGTATCTCCTACAGGATAAAGCAAAACACAGTTAGGATAAGGGTGCATACCACTGGGATTCTGCTAAGTATCTCAGGGTTTTATTGTCACTGTATTGAGTCTGCATTTGTAGCCATGGATTCAACATACACATCTTTCCTGTTTCTTCTGCAACTGCTCTGACCCCTACATACCAGCATTTTAATGTACCAGTAAGAAGAAGGTGCTACCAATTAATCTATGACAGGACCAATTTCAAAGATGTTAAAAATGTGAAAAAAATGTGCACTTTGGGAGCAGTGAAATATGGTAAAATCAAAATCATGTGCTTCTTTGCCTGTTGGGTAAGATGTAAGAGTCTCATGCTCTACCGACTGAGCTAGCCGGGCGCTTGTTGGGTAAGATTTAAAACTCCCTATGATAACAACTGCCCAGAAACATGTTTTTTAAAATGGCATTCATCTGTTTTTGCTTTTTAAATTGTTAAAGATGGTCCAGAGTGTGTGGCTCAGTGGACTGAACGTCCCCCCATGGACTGAGAGGTCCCAGTTTGATTCCTAGTCAAGGCACAGGCCTGGGTTTGGGGCTCGATCCCCAGTAGGGGATGGGCAGGAGGCAGCTGATAGATGTTTCTCTCTCTCTCTCCCTTCCTCTCTCTCTAAAAAATAAAAAAATATATATTAAAAATAAGTAAATAAATAAATTGTTAGAGATGAACACATGAAATTACACAATCATGACAAGAAAAATGGATACTCATTGCTGCTGGAGGAAAATCTGGTAATATAGAGCAAACAAGTTTTAAAAATGCAATTCTTTATCCCACTTGCCAGAGAAGTTTCACTTTAAGCATTTATCTGAGAAAAATCCAAAATGGTTTAAAATATTTTTTTATAATAGTAACTTAAAAGGTTAAAATGTAACTATCCAACCTTGAGGCATTGATTAATATAGTACAGTTATATAATAATATATTTACACCAGATTTTAAGTTTAAAAAAAAAATTTGTGAATGGGGGAATACAAGGGATTTTAGTTTCATTTTGCTCTCCCCCACATTTTCAAAATTTTCAATAATAAGCACCTTACTTCATTAATCTTTAAAAAATTACTATAAAAACAAACTAGACAGCCTTTGTAGGCAGTGCTTCTATCTTATGCTCTGTTAAATGAGGTTTTATATTCCTTTAAGAACCTGCAAGCCATTCAAATGAAGGCTTATATTTGGCTTTTAAGGTTTTTGCCTTCCCACACTATCGGTTTAGTTAATTAAGTGGAGCGTCCCTGCATGGCAGTGGTCAATTTCCTGCTCCCTTAGCATGCCTAACAATTCAGTGTTCATTTATAATGCTGATTGGGGCAGGAAACAGAGAGAGAAAAAGGCTTGGAGAGGAGCCGGGCTATACCCTATCCAGCTCCAACGCTGGGGATATAATCTTTGAAGAGGCTCTATGTCTTGAGTTAGTGTGTGTGTAGGAGGATGGGGTGGGGGTGGAGGGACAGCACCAGGAGGCCCCCTGAGAATACCACTCTTCAGTGCAGTGGTGCTGTGGAAGGAAAAGCCTGTTTTCACCGTATTTAGCCAGAGGTGAAAAGACTTAATAACCTTAAATCTTTCAGTCTATGTTTAACAAACCAACACTGTGACTCTAACTTTGCTACTTGAATCTTTCGTTAATAAGTGTTTTCATGGGTCAAGGGTCTTGGGTACTGCAAACACGATGAAACAAAAATTGAATGGGGTGAAAAAGATCACACTGTTGCTAAGATACATTCCTGCAAAATATCTTAGAGCCATGACTGAGTATTCTGGTACCCTATGGCCCCTGCAGCATCCTGAGCCTGATGTCTGGAGAATGGAGGCTGAGCAGATTGTTTGAGGCTGGAAGTGCTCAAGCCATCCTTAAAGGCTGCCCTAGCAGTGCCCAGAATGTGTCCAGTGAATAGTGCCTATTCCACAGCCATCTGGTCCATGAAAATATCTTTATTTAATTGGCATTACAATTTCAATATCTTCAATATCTCCACGGCTGCTTTGATTCAAAACATATCCGGAGAGGAAATTAGAATTCACAGTAGTCTCAAGATGACCATTTCCCACTAACTTAAGACTTTTATATTCTGAGAAGTTTTTGCTGAAGGAAGGGCTCCACCAGAGGTGAACTTACCAGATAAATACCATTTACATCCATGGCAGAGGATATGAAGGTTAACTAACACTTTTCATATTTAATGTTCTTCCATTAAAACATTTTAAAGCCTAACATAATAGAAGCTTCATATTAACCAATGTCTTAACCAGGTTGATAAATTCATAATGAAAAGAAATGAATACCTTCTTTCCAGCATGGGTGTAGGTGAGGCTTGCTTCTGGCATTGTACCAAATCAGCTGCCGGCAACCATCGTATGCACAGGAGTATTCATCATCCCCAATGCCATAGCCTTCCTGGAGGGAGACAGGGCCCAGAAGATTAGCAAGACCTGCTGTGTAGTGTGAAAAGAGTGTGTCTGTTTTAACCATTAACCCGGTGGCCAGAATTTTAAGCTTTTTCTTTGGACCGCAGATGCTCTAACTGCTGAGCCAAACCGGCCAGGGCTCTAAGCTTTTTCGATGAAAGGAGAACCTATGTTCTTAGCAGATACCAAAATTCTGATCCAGAGGTCTGGTTCCAAGTGAATAAAGAATTATGTCACCAACAAATATTTGCCACATCTCACATTTAATTTTCACTAACCACCTTGAGGCTGGTGGCATTAGACTCCATTTTAAGAGGAAATAAAGGCTCAGAGAGGTCAACCAGCTTGCCTAAGGACACATTAATGAGAGTCAAATTTGGACTTTGGAATCTTCTGATTCTAAGAATGGCATGCTGTTCACTTCATTGTGGCTGGGCCAGTGCCATTCTGGTACTGGACTTTAAGACACATGCTCACAGATTTCAAAACTAGTGACAGGACAAAGATTACAGTGGACAATCAGCTAATAGCTACTGTGAGATCAGCTTCGCTCCAGCAACATACAGGTCTTCCGTACCTTCTTTTATTACTTACTGCCTTTCAATTATTTCACCATTATTTTGTTAAACTGAAAAGGTGAATAGGATCTTAAATTACTTTGAGTTATTATAAAAAATAGAAGAAGCGTGCAAATCCGGCAACTGTTACCTTTAAGGGTCAAGGGTGAAAGATTCTAATGGAGAAAGAAATTGAAAATGTGGGCCAAATCCAAGTGAAATTTCATTTCAGGTCCTGATGATGATCTGCTTATTCTATGAGATAAATAATTCAGTGAGGACATAGACTGAAAAAAGTCTCTAACATACTTCTTGACTATGGGACCGCAATATACTGAATTCGGAAGAGTGAATTAGCTGTTCTGAATGCACTATTCAGACTATTTAAGAGCTAAATGAACTTGCATCTGTCTTTAAGCAGAGAAAAAATTCATCCGTTTACTAGAAAGAACACCTTGCTTTCTATCCCTTTAAAGCCTGAACTAGTAAGTAAAACACTTTTTATTTTATGGGTGCTGGGACATAGGCAAAAGGCAAGTGACTCTTTTCTAAATTTTCTAACGTCCTACGAGTCCCCAATAGAACACTTGAAAGAAATTCCTAGAAGATTCCTAGCCACCAAGAGTTGTTAAGAGTAGATTTTACCATGCAGTATTTTCTATGCCTAGATTAATTTCCCAACACAGTGGCATTGTGGGACATAAGGGGAACTCTAATAATTTTAATTTTCACCACAGATCAACTTCTACAGGCTAAGAAGTAGGTGCCTCTGACAAGCAGAAATACACTTTAAAAATCTCTTTGAGCATGCATCTCAGAAAGCAATCTAGATGAACTACACACTCCTAAAGACATTCCCAAGACTAACTATAGTTTCCCTTGGCTGAGACAAATAAATGAGAACAGGGTAGCTAGCCAGGTACTTGGGGTGACAATTTTGATCTGCCTGTTTCCACTCATATATTTAGTATTGGAAACAGTACTAAAACAAAAACAAAAACAAAAACCCAAAGAAAGTTTATCCATAGCTTATCATTCAGGGAATATTTTGAATCCTTCCATACACGGTGGACATTGTCCTTTTTTATGCTGCCCAGCATCCCAACCCCTTCCTGTTACAGGGAATGTAATGAAGATACAGTGTCCCACCTCCTGCTCTGGAGGTGGAGGGGTAAGATGTGATCTAGGCTTGGCATATTGGACCCTCCCAACCGATACCTGGTGTGGTGAGAGGGACCTCACATGGAGCAATGGTTAGGATTGTTTTGTTGCCGCAGTGTTGGCATCCTGGCCCTGAAAATGCTGACTGTTGTAATTCCTGTCTCTCAGCCTTGGAACCTCTCTAGTTCCCAAAGCCCACAATGGTCTGGGAGACCACGACTGGCTTCCAAGTCATCTCTCTTCTGTTTAAGATAGCAGCCATTTTCTCCAAGTGAAGAACTCCTTAGGCCATCTTGACCAGGGTTTGACTTCTTCTTCAGCACTTGGAGGCTAGGTGACTTTGGACAAGTTTATACATTAATTTCTCTAAACTTCATTTTTCTCATCTTTAAATGAGAGAATACCACCTTCCCAAACTCTCTAAAAGATTAGAGATGAGGATATTAAAGACCAGACACATGGTAGACGCTCATGAAAAGGCAAAAGATATTTTTGACAAGTTGCACCCTTGGAAACTTACTACTCCCAACCCGCCATAAAAATATACAGCACAACAAAACAAACTGTTCTGTAGGTGACCTGAGCAAGAACTATCCATAACCTTCTCATTTTAATGCTGTCTCCAAGCCCAACACTTTGATCATTCTTTCAAAACTGAAGGCCAAGCAGTAAGAATTAAAATAAAAGGCACTATCACTGACTGAAAATCTTTAGAAACTGGGTGTATCCTAGGACTCACTTACTCCATAAAACCACACCATCTGTACAGGCAAAAAGATTCTGAATCTCCAGAACACTGTCCATTTGTTATCTATTATTATCATTTTTTAATCCTCACCTTAAAAAGGATACTTTTTAAATTGATTTTTAGAGACAGAGAGAGGGGGAGAGAGAGAAACATTAATGAGAGAGAGAGAGAAAAACATCAATCAGGGATCAAACCTGCAACCTAGGTATGTGCTCTGACCTGGAATAGAGCCTGTAACCTTTTGATGTACAGAACGATGCTCCAACCAACTGAGCCACCCAAGTAGGACAGAACAGTGTTCATTTGAATTAAAGTAGTAAGTATGACAACATCATTAAAATCCTACATTCTGGGAAAAGATATATCAGACTTAATCAGTTTCTAACAGGGAACTGACCAGTACTTGAATTAGGGAAAGATGTTTTGTTTTTTAATTATTATTTTTTTAATCCTTACCCGAGGACATTTTTTTTTTTCATCTTCAGATAGAGCAGGAGGGGGGGGGGGAGAGAGAGAGAGAGAGAGAGAGAGAGAGAAACATTGATGTGAGAAAGACACATCAACTGGCTGCCACCCACATAACCCCAACAAGGGCCGGGGACAAACTGCAACCAAATTACATGCCCTTGGTGGGAACCGAACCCAGGACTTTCTGGTCCTTGGGCCAATGCTCTAACCACTGAGCCAAACTGGCCAGGGCTGTTTTTGTTTTTTAAAGAAAGAAATTAACAATCTATCAAGCAGTTGGGAGGGTAGAAAAACAGTATTTTAAGCCTCTTAATCGAGGAGCCAAAGTTTCTGCAACTACATGGCAGAGCTCCATTGAAAAAAAATATTTGCCACATTCACTTGCAGGTACACTACACCTAGACCTACAGTGTGTTTACTGCCACATTAGGAAAGATGAATTTTATGTTGAAGCTTTCTCCCTAAAGAAATCCATATTTCTTCTAATTCTTGAACAATTTATCTGGAATAAGGAGATTAACTAATTCTCTGAGATTCTCCCCACTTCAAATGCAAAGAAAAAAACTATTATAGAATAGGAAGGTGACTAAATTCTCATCCTAATTTCTTTATGTCCTACTCTCAGTTTCAGTTTTCTCATCTGTGAAATGAAAATTGTGACAGTAAAAACTGTGGTGGGAATCAGAAGATAGACTCTAAAATGAAGGTGCTCGGGAAATTAAGATTTTTTTTTAAAGCCCTAAAAAATCATCTTAAGGACATCATTTAAGGCAGGCTATCAGGGTAATGGATACTACCTGCTTTAAATCAGTGCCCAAGCTGGGAACTAAGAAACTAACTGGCATTGTTCTCCAGACCCACTTACTTCTGACTACAGGCGCCACACAAAAGCCCCAAGCTTCCAGGTTTTAACTGAGGCCCAGTTGACTAGGTGGCCCTGCATCAGGTAAGGTTCCCGACAAAAGCAACAGGATACTGTGGTCTAGTTTTCCACCCTGGACAACAATCGGACCTGACCTCTCCACTGGCCCCCTTCCTCCAATCTGCGTTTAGTAAAATGCCACAAACAGTTCTGGGATGCTATACAGCCTTTCTGAAAGGGCCTGTTAGAAACTATGCTTATGGCAGGGAAATTTAGCTTCATTTTGTTGGATCCCTTCTAAAACCCATCCCAGGACCTTACATAAGGGATGGGAGACTTTAGATGAACAAAATAAGGGGCTTTTCCCAGCTCAAAGGGTAAAAATCATATATCCACAAAATCTTCCTGATCAAAACTGGATAATTCCAAACAGCTTATAATTTGAATAACAGAAGCAAGCTGACTAGATTGGGCATCTGTAGGCAACAGTATCTGTAGGACAGGAGGAACCCCAACCTCTCCCACTTAACTCCTGATAGCCCAACTTGCTTCTTCTGTAGGATTCATCTTCTCTTCTATATCACCGGTTTCCATAACAAAAGGTTAATACTAAGTATTGAAAACAAATGTGCCTACTAATTGCAAGGTAAGTAAGAGAAGTCTACATTTTGTATTTAATGAGAGGAAGAGAATTCCCATGAAGTTCTTAAAGCTTAAATGCAAGAGAAAAATTATCACTGGTCCCAATATAAAAACTGAGTCAGAGATGTGGCTGGGGCCAGAGCAGAGTGTACAAAGGACACATCCAATCTCTAGGTGGAAAATTAGCATGAACTTAAAAATCAAGGGGAAAATAAAGTTGAGGGGCAATTTCACTTTTTTTCTATTTCTGAATCCATTTAGCAAGCCACTGTTAGGAATAGGGCACCATGAGGTTCAGCCCAAGAAACAATTACTGCACAAACCTATCTGAAAAATAAGTATCTTCCATCCACTCAGGAAAAAACCGCTGCTGCACCCACTGGCACAGTTCTCCAGGGTACTCACATGATTGAGAAATTTGCTGTCACGTGTGGCCCAGCCGATCTGCATGACGCCAGAAGTGACCACTGTTACTTCATAGTACCACACCCCAGCATCCACACAAAAGGTGCAGCGCACACTTTCAAAAGAGGAGGCATCACAGCGAGCCTGGCAAAACCAAAGCACGTGAGAGACCATCATTAATGCCTGAAGACCGCCACAGAAAACTGACTGCTCAGAAGGTTAACTGTATTTTTCCTTAATAATGCTTCTGGTGGACAACTGCTTCCTTCTCTGTGTACCCTCAGTGACAAAAAGTGAAAAACTGAATGAAGCACACACTATTTTACAATTTTATTTCCAGGGAGTTCTAATAGAATTGGAAGACCTCAAAGATGGCTGAATTAGTGGTAAGAATTAGTGAAGCCTACTGGCTTCATTTTTAAATACTTACAGAGCTTTGCTCTCATATTAGAATCTTTTACAAATGCATAAACATTGCCTTAACCTATACTTGATATGATGGAGGGAGAGAAGGATATTGAAGGGTGTAAAATAAGGTACTTAAAAAATAATTGAAAGCAGAAAACTACATAAAGCATTTGGCAATATGCAAGATCAGAGAGCTGTTTGCCGCCATTCTTCAGACAGCTCTTTAATCTTGATGTGTCTAGTGCCTTATGGTACCTTCTTATACATAAGTAGCTCTCTCATCAGTCTTCACCACAAAATCAGAAGCATTTCCAACATATAGGGAGGAAGAAAAGCACGAGCCCAAATACAACTGGCTATACAGGGATTAAAAAAAGGAAGGGCCACTTTTAGAAATATTAGTCTTTGTACCTTTAGCTGAATAGAATGGCACAATAAAAAATGGATGCATTTAAACCAAACAGTCAATAAATATTATAGTGCTCCCTATGTGTATAGCACAATGTGGGATATAAAAGAGTAAATAATATACCCCAAACCCTCTCTCCTGCCACATGTACCTCTAACCACTCTCTGAGTATGAAATAAACTTTCATCTACTCTGCAGAAAATTGCCCTGGTTTCAAAACCAGGGCATGAAAATGAGAAAAAGATATTCCCTTCCCCTTCCCCCGAATGGTCCATCTGCAAAAGCTTTACCTCCAAGCCATGAGGCGAGATCTTCAAGTACTCGCTGACATCATTGCTATTCAGCATGGCTTTAATGCTATTCAAGTCTACTTTCTCATAGGTCAGCTGCCTACCTTCTTTCAAAACTGCAAAAGAAAAAGTGGTCATATTTCTTAGGCTGGATATTATGGGGGAAAAGCTAGTGTTATGGCTCTGTGCCATTCCTATTCAGGAGTGGAGGTGCTCATGGATGGCAGAATTGGTAGGGAGACTTATAACCTTGGGTTTGCAACTACACTACCATATGAAGATGAATCAAGCAAACACTAGGAAAGGCAGCACTGCTAGGTTTATGCTTTCGCTCCCCATATTCAGGAATACCTCAGAGATAATGTGGGTTCTGTTCTAGACCACTGCAATAAAGTGAGTATTGCAATAAAGCAAGTCACAGGAATCTTTTGGTTTCCCAGAGCATAAAAAATGTATGTTTATACTATAGTCTATTAAGTGTACAATAAATAGTATTATGTCTAAAAAATGTACATACCTTAATTAAAAAATACTTAATTGCTAAAAAATGCTAACCATCATCTGAGTCTCCAGTGAGTTGTAATCTTTTTGCTGGTGGAGGATATTACCTTCAATTTGTAAAAAATGAATCAAAATAAAGCAAAGTACAATAAAAAGAGGTCTGTCTGTATTTGGCATGCAACAAAATCTGAACTGTACTTTTTCAGAATTATTCTTTAACTGGCAGAACAAAGGCTGTGCACTGAGCCAGTCCCCACGATTGTGGTAGCAGCAGGGGTTACATGTCCAATTGTGCACAGTGCTCACTGTGGATGGGGAGTGAGGAGATACTGGTAAAATAGTTTTATTCCAGGAGCCCTTGGAGGAGAAAAAACCAGGAGCAACCCCATTGTGTAGGGAAGACATGCCTGAGTTTTGAATAGCAAAGTTGGGACAGGGAGAAGAGTAAAGAGAGGAAATTCCAAGTGAGGGAACAGGCCCAGAAGCAGGAATGACGGGGATGTGTGTATGTTGGGAAGTTGATTAGACAGCGCCATCTAATTAACAGCCTTGATGCAGCAGGAAACAAGGGAACAGTAAACGATTTAGCATGAGAGAGTGCTGGAATTAGAAGCATTCCATATGATTCTAGTCTGAAGGGCCCCTGGAATACTTTTCTGCTAGAATACAACCAACCTATAGTAGAGGACCTTATAAGGAAAGACTTGTGCTTACTATTACAAACTGAAGACCAGTGATCCACACAGGCATTTTAATAAAAGATAACTTCTACTTACAGAGATTGTCTAAACTCCACTGCGCGCAGAAACCAACTTGACGTTTCAAATAATCAGGATCATCAGCCCAGGACTCCAATGTGACAAGCCGGTCACTAATACTGGACTCAGAGATAGTCAACTTATTTTCACCTGTTTGGAAAGATATAAACCTTAATGAACCATGAAAGAGTAAGATGATTCTCTGGGCATATAAGTGGTGGGAAGGAGTGAGGAGAAGTAATTAGAGAACTTGGAAACTAGAATAACGGCATAGCTCAAGAGCTCTGATAGTTTCAAGAAAGTAGCAACCTCATCACTAAATGTTTAGCTACAAAAAGTGGGTAGTCACGGTCACCAAGTTTTGATTCTTAGGTGAGAAAACTCTTGCCTTTGTTTCTGTTACATCTCACTGGCCTTGAGGTGTCTACACAGACAAAAACAGAATGTATGCATGTTGGATGGGGTTCCAAGCATAAACTCCTCCAGTAACTAAGAAAAATAAGATTTTTAACAACCGATACATAAGATCATTAGTGCAAGAAGTCACTATACCTACTTGTCTGTGCAAACTTTTCCAGTGCGATAAGTGCAAAAAGCATGACTGTGGGGTGGGACTGTAACTTCTGAAAGACAACAAAAGATAAAAAAACAAAAAACAAAAACATCATTCCCCTGCAGAAGTGGCAAGTTATCAACTTCCTCTTCTTACCCAATATGTGCTAGATTTTTGTTGGAGCAGTCAGAAAAGTTTTACTCATTCAAGTCCTCGATTATCCCTTCACTAATTATTAGTAACGAAGTACCAAAACAGAGTCTCTTCAAGTCTTATATTATTTTCTTGAGGTTACTGGATTCATTTAAAGTTATGAAAATTTCAAAAGTATCTAGTTAAATGCACTATTTTATTTTACTTAGGAACATTTATATTAGGGCTTTATTAAATAAAGTAATGCTGATTCTTACATTCTTTTAAGCAAGCCAAAAAGAAACTAGAATTGTAGCAAAAAATGTCTTTTTAATCAGCACTCTAAAAGGAACAATTCATTATTGCCATGTTCTAAAATAATAATGAAATTAACAATTAATGGCTTAGTTTCCAATCTGTTCTCTGAAAGGAATTCCATAATGCTGATGGCAGGTGGGAGAGAGCAAGTGAGCTCTTTCAGTTACATTTAAGCTCAGGTTACATGTGCTTACATGTAAAAAAGGTCTATCTGCTTAACATCACATCTCACAGCCATCCTTTTGCAGCTATGTTAGGAGCCCTAGGACATCAAATGATTCCACTCAATTCCCTGGTGCCCACCTAGGTTCTGCAAAGCGTGTATAACCACCATCCTCCCCTGCTGCAAAGCCTGTTCAGCAACAGGCTTCTTGCCATATCCATTCCCAAACCCACTGTCTGGCTTTTTAGGCCCTATGCCCTCCCCTTCTGGCTGCTCAGTCTATGTCCTCAGGCCTCTGAACACTATCTTCTAATCAGACAATTCTCTGTAATATGCCAGGAACATGGTGATGTCTATCTCTGGGCTTCTGCCAGTGGTGTGCCCTTAACCCAGAAACCCATTTTTTCCTTCCTGTGTGCACAATCACACGGGACCTTATGGTGTGACCCAGCTGAGGTCTCACCTTCATCAGGAAGTATGTCTCCCATGACTCTCCCAGCTCACTCACACCACCCATACTTCCCACCTCCCAATCACCTCAGAACTCTTGCAGAACTTAGTCTGAAGGAAGCGATTTTGCCCTCTGTCATAAAATATGGAGGCTTACTGTCTTGTCTGAGTAGTTTTGTTCCCTCAACTAACCAGGAAACTTCTTGAGGGCAAAGGACTGTTACACTACTTCTGTATACCCAGAGTGGTTTCCTAACATAGTGTTAAGTTTTAAATACATATCACATAGTACTGAAAAAGAAGATCTTACAGATTTTGAAGGCCAACACTCACTAGTCCTGCAAAAATAACTTTAAAAAGTACAGACCAGTCAAGACTGTAGTCCAGCTGTGTGAGATCTGACAGCAGAGCCACAGCAAACCACAAGCTTCCCCAACAATACATCAAATGCCCAATAACAGTTTTAAGAGCAGTATGTAGTGACAGGGGAGGAAAGGAGGAATAGAGATTTAGATGCACTAGGAATCTGACCTAATGGTTTCGTGGCTTGAAATTCCATGTAATTTTGTTTCTACGAAGAAGGATCCTACCACCATTTGGTAGACTCTAAGGACACATACAAAAAATCAGTCATAGCCACTATCTTATGACTAAATTTAAAACCAGGCTAACCCAGATGTTTTTGCTTATAATAAATTCCTATCCCATCCTTATTTTTTAAACATAGGTGGAAATAAACACTCAGGAAACACCTGCAAATAAAATTTGTAAAATTTGCAACTGATTCCATTCTCTGTGCCAAAGGCTAAGCTGGCAATTTTAGAAAACTGCACACTTCTAAATGACTAAGAATAACTAGCTTTGATGTCTCACTTACCAGACACTGTAGCAAATATTCCAGTATTCCTGGGCTAAGTAAACCTATACTTGCAGGACCTAGACGAATACAACAAACACTGGATATAATTAAATGTGCCATCAACCACCACCACCACCACACTACACCACCAAACCACCACCACCAAAACCACCAAAAAATAAATATTTAAAAAATAAAAAAATAAACGTGCCAGATTATTTTTAATCAGTAACTAGTAACAATACAATTTTTTGGTACAACTCTTACAAAGCACTCTCCTGCACATTATCTTATTTAAGCCTCTCGCTCTGAGGTAGGAAACAGTACTATCCCCCGGGGTGAAGTGACATGCCTGGCCACTTGGGGAGCACATGGGAAGAGGATGAACCAGCACCCATTTGTTCTAATTTCTAATCCATTGTTCCTTCCACCACACATGACATAACTAGTTGAGCTCTTTACCTGTACTTTAATGTTAACTTTCCTAAAGTGGGCACTATTCATAAACAAGTTAAATATCTGCTTCTCTTCTCAGGAACTGCTCCAATTTAAAGTTCCCTTCCTCATCCAGCCGGTGTGACTCAGTGCATTGAGCATCATCCCATGGACTGAGAGGTACCGGTTCGATTCCCAGTCAGGGCACATGTCCAGGTTGTGGGCTTGATCCCCAGTGGGGGGGCTTGCAGGAGGCAGCCCATCGATGTGTCTGTCTCTCTCACATTGATGTTTTGATCTCTCTCTCCCTTCCTCTCTCTCAATAGAAATATATTTAACAAACAAACAATAAGATAAAGTTTCTTTTCCTCTTCCCCCAACCTTTTATGTCTCCATTACCTAGCTAAACTTTATAGTGCGTATATATGTATGTTGCATACATACATACATAATCTTTATTTGTTATACTGAATTCAGCTTTTTCTCCTATTCTTAATTTTAAAGCAAGTAAGTAAAACTTGTTCTTTTGCATTTCCCTCTGAAAATCCTCAAAGCTTAATTAAATTACATTGACCTCTGTGGCCTTTGAGTAACTTTTTTTTCCAGTTATCCCTGTCCATCAATTTTCTGGGGGGTAGGGGGAATACTTCATTCTGGTACAGCAGGTTTGATCAGACCTGCAGTGCAATCTTCCTTTTAATGTCAAACAACTTAAGATCGTCCTTGGTGGAGCTTCCCAGAGTTACCTGCTAGTTTCTCCGCCAAGCAGCCTAGGACAGCTGATGTGTTCCTGTGTTTGGCAGGATGACCTGAGTCCTGGCAAGCTACTTCTCCATTTAAATTGAGAATTTCAGTTAATTTCTGGAGTGCATCCTAAAAACAAAAAATGAATAAGTGTATTTGATAAATATACTTCCTAGGTTTTTTCCCCCCCAAGGTAATTCTCATAGACAAAAGCAATAATCAGGTGTTAACTCAGAATAACCATACAAAAATAATGTACTCAATAGTAACATTATTGATGAGAAATATTATTTGATTAACCACAAAGTTGTTTCACATAAATTGCTAAAGTCCATTTCATTCAAAATGAACCCGTTACAGCAAATATATACTATATACTCTTGAATCATTACATCATTTGGGTAGACTAAATCTACCCAAATGCCATTATAATTTATAACAACAGGGCCAAGTGATGTTGAAGCAAAAAGTTACTTAAAAAATAATTATTTTTTTGCCTGGCTGGTGTGGCTCAGTGATTGAGCATCGACCTGTGCACCAAGAGGTTGCTGGTTCAATTCCAGGTCAGGGCACATGCCCAGGTTGTGGGCCCAATCCCCAGTGGGGGACAAGCAGGAGGTGGCCAATCTATGTTCTCTCTCATCGATGTTTCTATCTCTTTCTTCCTCTCCCTTCCTCTCTCTCTAAAATCAATAAAGAAAAATTTAAAAAAAATTTTTTTAACCAAGCAATAATAAATCTCACCAGTTTTTGAGGGAAATTATAACAGAAGCAAACCCCTGTAAGCCTAAGTAATAGTCAATTCACCAGTAACTTGGCCAAAGACTTTCCTCTTCTGTCCATATTCTTTTGCCATGTTGGGCCTTAATGTCTAAGGCTTAAACAAATAAAATTTTTTTAAAACTTTAAAAAAAGGATTTAAAAACTTTTTTAAATTAAAAAAAAAAAAAGAAGAATTCCAGGGAACATATGGAATAAAGCAATTGAAGTGATATTTTTGTTCTATATAAGGGATAATCAAAGTTATACAATCTTCAATGTTTGAGTCAGACTCAAAAGTGCTTTCAGTATAACAGCTTTTCCTTAATAGAAAACGTGTAAAATTTTTTGTTACAAGGAAATTGATTAAAGATAAAAAAAAAAATCAGCTCAGCAGCTAATTATTCTCTTCTAGTTTCCAAAGATTGTATTTTAGATATAAATGCTTCCATTTTTAACATTTTTAAAATTTTAAACTAAAGCTTTGTAGTAAGCTATTGATAGGAGGATGTAGCACTTCATTAGTAATAAAAAACCAAGTTTACATAATGAAATTAATAGTGAATAAAACACACCTCAAATGTATAAAGAGGAACTAGATTACATCAAATGTTTTTTGTGGTCATTCACCTTAAGCACAGATGACTGTTTCATAAAAGATAAGTGTTAACTTACTTTAGTGGGCAATGGACATTCATCTAGTAACAATGTTATAACAGCTGGTCCCAATGGATCTTCCAATGGAATAACTCTAATTAAAGACTGGACAACATCCAACCATCCTTCATCTAAGAGCAAATCAAGAAAATTATACAATACAGCCACTATTTTAAAAATGTGTAAATATATAACCTATAACACAAGATGACTTCACATTAATAGAAACACTGCTGGGCTTCGTCTGTAATTTTTAAGCAGCTAGCATTGGGCATGGACATAGTCATCAATTGCTAGAAATCATGGTAGAGTCAAAGAATCTGAATTTACAGGAGTCTAGTGATTTCTGGGTATCTTTATTTGGAGAAAATTCAAGCCATGGTCCTGGGTTCTCAAAATATGATTAAAATAGTTTTGGCATTTTATTTACAACATAGGAGTTAACTAAGAAGATTAAGCAGCTGAAGCAGTTGGCTCTATTTTCAGAATTACACTTAAGAAATTGAGGGACAAAAAATTATCATTCCCATTCTAGAAGAGTTATGGTCAAAGATCTGTCAATGCCAAAAATTTTTTTCTGGTAATAATTTCAATGAGATAAAACTATTACTAAGAGGTGCAGCTACATATTCAGGATGCAATATACATTTCTTATTCTTTATGTAAGAAAATTTCCATACACTAAGGTATTTTTTTCTTTGTCACATGTGTTAAGTATTTTTGGAATCTTTTATTTTAAAAAAACATGGTCACATTTCTTCATAATCATTAACTTCATAATCATTAATTCATTAGGAAGTATTTTTTTAAAACTTTAAAAATACCTGTTTCTGCCATTTCGTGCAATGTAATCATTGAATAGGGAGGTTCCTGATCACTGAAAAACAAACAGTCAAGACATCAAACTTGAAGAAATAAGAAATGACAAATTCAAGTAAAAGCTTACACTTTAAGTGTGGGGGGTAGAAAGAGAAATAAGAAATGAACACAGATGAATGCAGAGAAAGAGATGGAAGAAGCAACCAGAGCTATAATCTGTAAGAACAAATGCGTACCACATGTGCTCATTTCTAATGTCACTCTATGATTGCCCACAAATAAAATGGGCAGAAGGGCACACAAAAGGACCAGCATATGGCTGGAAGTAAAAGCACAGGACTAAAACTGGAGACCAGAGCCTACTTTCAGTTTTATCTCTAGAGGCCCAATGCCAACTGAGACAAGCAAGGGAGGTCAACATCATTTTCTTTTTCATTTTTTTTTATCTTTATTGATGTTAGAGAAAGGAAGGAGATGGAGAGAGAGAGAGATAGAACCATCAATGAGAGAGAACATTGATTCACTGCCTCCTGCATGCCCTCTACTGGGGATCGGGCTCACAACTGGGCATGTGCCCTGATGAGGAATCGAACCAGTGACCTCTTGGTGCAGGGGTCAACGCTCAACCACTGAGCCACACCGTCTAGGCCAACAGCATTTTCTTCATATTTACCTCAAAGAAATGTCAGGAAAGAAGACAACAATCTCAGTTGAGGACTTATGGAAGCAAGGGCCTACATAAACATTTTCATTTTTAAGTGTTCTTCTGGGAAAGCATCATTACATGCTTAAACTTCAAAATACAGTGTTAGAATAAAAAGAAAGCAAAATTAATTGAGGAACTATTTAATATTCTAAAAGGGCATTATGCACCTTAATTCAATGGGTTTTCAAACCGTGATCCTGGGAATCCTAAGTGTTTTAGAAAAACATTCAACACTTATTTGTTTACATATTGTGGCTCTCTGTTTTACTATAATAAAAACCATAAAAACTATTGTTTTCAATTATTTAATCCTCAGAACAACCTTGAGATATGGGAATTACTAAATTCATTTCAGGTATTCCTTAGGTACTGGTTATTCACATCCTGTGTCCTTTCATAATAAGGGAAAATTCTTATTTAAAAGAATTGTTTTAGCCTTGGCTGGTTTGGCTTAGAGGTTAGAGCAGCCTGAGGACTGAAGGGTCGCAAGTTCTATTCCCAGGCCCCATTGGGGTTGTGTGGGAGGCAACCAGTAGATGTGTGTCTCTCACATCGATGCCTCTCCCTCCTCTCTCTCTCTCCTTCTCTCTCTCTCTCCTTTCCTCTCTCTCTCCCTCCCCTCTTCCACTCGGTCTAAAATTCAATGGAAAAATATCCTTGGGTGAGGATTAACAAAAACAAAAAAAAAAGAATTGTTTTAAGTGCTATAACTGACAGATACAAACATTTCTGGAGAGCAATGTGTAATTAAGTATGCATATACCCAACAATTCTAGAGAAACTATGCCACAGGTAATAGATGCATATGAGGCTATGTGCTGCAGTGCTATTTGTAGAAATAAAAATTTGGAAGTAACCTAAGTGACCATCATCAGATTACAGGATAACAAAATATAGTACCTTCAAGCATATAAAGGAATATATTGTAGCAGTCAGAGCAGTTGTAGCTTTACATACAGCAATATAGGTCTCAAACATAATGCTGAGCGAAGTTAAAAACAAATAGATTTATATAATTTCATCAGTTTTGTTTTTTTACAATAGCGCACAAGCGCATGTACACACACACACACACAAAAATAAAACAATAAAAAACCTCAAACACTATATAGAAACTTCCTATACCTAAACAAACACATGTCAGGCAGATTGGAAGACCATAACTGGAATGGTTACCCACTGATATTTGGAGGTGGGAGGTACAGAGGAAAATGAAATTAAGAAAGGGGAAAAATAATAAAAAGATGACAAGATCAGCAATGAATAAGGAATATGAGCACCTCAATTCTATACAGGTGCACTTAAAGGACACACACCCCTACACTGAAAAAAAAAAAAACCAAGATAAACTTCTCTGTGGAACAGAAATTGCTGGTGAGAAGCAGGTGCTAAAGCCATAGGACTACCAGGCTCTGCGTCAGGAAATAGACAGAGGTGACCAGGAGTTCTATGTCTGCAAGGTGGGTAATGGAGACCAAAATACCACCTATACAAGGGATGGAGCAAACTCACTAAGTGAGGCTAGGATAGGGTTTCCCTCTCAGTGAAAGTAGTTGAAAAAATTATGTATGATAATCTGAGCTACAACTGGTATAAAGCTGCAAGTTTCTAGTGAACAAACAAAAGCACAGAAAGCCATGCAGCAGGACCTAGGATCCTTACAGTGGGATGAGAACTCAGAACGATCAATTTTAGGTTCAGTCATAGACTGAAGGTACTTGGAACCCAGATAGAGACAACAGCAAAAGTGACATTTCAGATAGGAAAAGAGAAAACACACACACCCACACACACACACACACACACAGAATAACATTTCCATCAAGAGGAGTCTGAAAATTAAAGTTCTAAATCACATGAGAATAACTAACAATACCATGAACGATCTGAGGATAAAGTCATTACCAACAAATGCAAATAATGGAACTTCAAAATGATTTTAAAATAGTGTCTTTATTTATTTATTTATTTATTTTTGGTATGTGGCCCTTGGCTAGGGCCCAGCGGGAACTGAACCTGGGACTCTCTGGTCTGCAGGCTGATGCTCCAACCGTTGAGCCAAACCAGCCAGGGCCTTGAAATAGTGTATTTAAAGTGTATTTGCTTTAGCAACTCTCTCACTATGATTTTAGGAACCGTGCTATCCTATTAGATCAATGTTATCTTTTCCTAAGTAAGAAGAACAATAAGAACAGATCATTTTATAACTGCAGACACCTTTTTAGGTATATTCTTACTAAGCCTATCTTTCATGTCTAGTTTCAAAAGCCTTATAAATTTTATAGGTTATAAAATTCTTCTCCTTTAGTAGTTTCTAAGAAACAAGTTATGTGACTACGTTTGTAGACTGACCTGTTTTGCCATTATGTTCTCCAACAGAGTACTCCACATTTGTTCCATACTTGCCTTATTTTTTCATTTTCAGAAGTTATAACTATAATTCAATACAACAGGTTTAAGGTAAAAGTTACGCTATTATTCAAATGTATACCACTTGCCTCATGTAAGTGAATTATGTGTTTTATCAACAAGTTCACTTGTAATTTGTAATATTTTCTGAAGCTTGGAAATAAACTCCTACCTTGTCCCCACATTCTCGGAATCATTTTTTAAAATATATGGCAAAGTCCATTCTGTATCTGTTTTTCCAATGGGCATTGTTTATAATTTACTGTTTAAATAGCATTGTTTATAATTTACTTCCTCATTTGGAAGGTCACTACAATTTTATGGTATGTTTTCAATTTCACCATGAAGAAAATTTGTATAACAGCTTCTAGTCCTTTGCTTGAGTTTGGGGGATATTAAAAATGACAGATTTATTCAATAGGTATTTCCTACAAATATATTAAAATTATATTAAATTAATTCAGAAACCAGAACTACTTCAAAGGCTGGTTTTAGTAAACTTAGGAAGGTCTTTCTGAACTGGTTATGGAGAATACTTGTAAGAACCACTTTTCCTCAGCATGTTCTACAGCAGGTGAAAAGATGTGCAAAACAAATTTATTTCTATGAGGGGAAAAAGACCCACCTCAATAATATGCACAGGCATACTTTATGCTGTGATTTTTTTTTTTCTTTATTGATTTTAGAGAGAGAAGAGGGGAAGAGGGAGAGAGAGATAGAAACATTGATGAGAGAGAACATCGACTGGCCACCTCCTGCATGCCCCCACTGGGGATTGGGCCCACAACCTGGGCATGTGCCCTGACTGGGAATCAAACCAGTGACCTCTTGGTGCATGGGTTGATGCTCAACCAATGAGCCACACCGGCCGGGCTAGGCTGTGGAACTAAATAAAATCACATTCTAAAAATGTGATTACCAAATATTTAGATACTTAAGTTTATTAGCAAAGCCTGAAGTAAAAAGAATTCAGATATAACTTATAAAAAACATTATCATTATCTCATGACAATCCTTGTAAGAAAGGTTATTATTCCCTTTTTAAAGATGAGGAATCTGAGGCTTAGAGTAGTAACTTACCCAGTGTCCTGTAGCTAGCTAATGGCTGGGCTAGAATTTGAACATGGTCCATCATGGTTGAAAAACTTTGGCTCCTAAATACCTAACTGTATGGTTAAGTTACATTTTTTTTTCCAGTTTAAACAATACCCTTTAATTTTACTGTTATTCAATCTGGGATTTCGTATTTGAGAGTTAGACAAAGCAACCCTGGCTGCTTTGGCTCAGCGGTTGGAGCACTGGCCTGTGGATCAAAGAGTCACGGGTTCAATTTTGGTCAAGGGCACGTACCTCGTTGGTGGTTTGGTCCCTGGCCCTAGTCAGGGTCATGCAGGAAGCAACCAATTGATGTGTCTCTCTCATGTTGATGTCTCTCTTTCTCTCCCTCCCACTCTGTCTGAAGATAAAAATATCCTTGGGTGAAAATTAAAAAAAAAAAGACAAAGCAGAGAAAAATGCAAAACAGTTCAGGTATTCCCAGCAGTTTAAACTTACGAGTTTCCCAAATGGATCTAAGAGGGCCAAATAGGGATAAAAAAGGGAGGAGGAGAGACAGACTTCCGGTCAAGATGGCAGCATAGGTAAACGCGGTATCGCATCCTCCCCACAGCCACATCAAAGTTACAACTAAACTACAGAACAATCATTATTCAAAACCACCTGAAATTGAGCTGAATGGAAGTCCTAAAACTACAGAATTAAAGAAGCAGCCACATCGAGACTGGTAGGAGGGGCGGAGGCGGATGGGCTGGTCCCACACCAAAGTGTGGTGGATAAAAATCAGGAGGGTACCTTGGCTGGGAAGGTCCTCCCTGAGGACTGAGGGGTCCCTGTCCCACACCAGGCGCCCTGCTCAGGGTTCCAATGCCAGGAAGAGAAGTCCCCATAACTTCTGGCTGGAAAAACCAGCGGGAACTGAGGCTCAGGGAGGCTGAGGAGGCTGGAGCCCCAGGCAGCTCCTCTTAAAGGGCCCGCGCACAGACTTACTTGGACTCACTCCCTCTAAACTTGGAGGGGAGGCAGCTCGAGGGGCACAGAGACATACAGGGAAGAACTGAGCTGTTTGGCACTGGAGCAAGGACTGGAGAGGGGGCTTTCTCTGGAACGTGCTGTCAGAGGCCTTAGTTCCTTTGGTGAGCCCTTCCCTGGAGCGGCAGATAGCTGCCATATCTGGGACTCCAGCAACCTGGCTCATACTGGTTGTCCCGCCCTGGTGATTCCCTGAGGCCCCGCCCCACACAACTTTCAGGCCCACCCAAACTGTTGCCAGTTGCTTAACCATAGGATTGGCCTGTCTTGGATCCTGCTTCAGGTTTTCCTAAATTCTTTCAAACAAGCAGCATCTGGTCTCAACTAGCCCCATACCTCTCGTTAAGTAATACATAGAAATAAACACGGGGAGGCAGCCATAAAAGAGGAGACAAAGAAACAGGTCCCAAATGAAAGAACAGAAAAAATCTCCAGGAAAAGATCTAAGTGAAATGGAGATAAGCAACCTAACAGATGCTAAGTTCAAAATACTGCTTATAAGGATGCTCAGTGAACTTAGTGAGAACCTCAGCGAACTTAGCGAGGGCCTCAAGAGCATAAAAAAGGACCAGTCAGAAATGAAAGAGGCACTAACTGAAATAAAGAATAATTTACACAGATTCAATAGTGGAATAGGTAAAGCCAAGAAGCAAACCATTAATTTGGAATCTAAGGAAGTAAAAAACATCCAATCAAAACAGCAAAATGAAAAAAGAATCCAAAAAAATGAGGATAGTGTAAGGAGCCTCTGGGACAACTTCAAGTGTGCCAACATTCACATCTTGGGGGTGCCAGTGGGAGGAGAGAGAGAACAAGAAATCGAAAACCTATTTGAAATAATAATGGTAGAAAACTTCCCTAACTTGGTGAAGGAAACAGACATACAAGTCCAGGAAGCACAGAGAGTCCCAAACAAGATGAATCCCAAGAGACCCACACCAAGACACATCATCATCAAAATGCAAAAGGTTCAAGACAAAGAGAGAATCTTAAAAGCAGCAAGAGAAAAGCAGTTAGTTACCTACAAAAGAGTTCCCATAAGAATGTCAGCTGATTTCTCAAAAGAAACTTTGCAGGCCAGAAGGGAGTGGCAAGAAATATTCAGAGTGATGAAAAGCAAGAACCTACAACCAAGATTACTCTATCCTGCAAAGCTGTCATTTAGAATCAATGGCCATGTAAAGACTTTCCCAGAAAGAAAAAGTTAAAGGAGTTCATCACCACCAAACCGTTATTATATGAAATGATGAAGGGTCTTTTTGAAGGAAAAGATAAAATATATGAACAAACAAAATGGCAATGAATACATATCTATCGACAATGAAATCTATAAACAAAATGAACAGGCAGAACAGAAACATTCTCATAGATACAGAGAACATTTTGTTGGTTGCCAGATGGGAGGGGGGTTGGGGGAATGGGTGAAAAGGTGAAGGGATTAAGAAGAACAAATTGGTAGCTAGACTGACAAACCTCAAAGAGAAGGGGGTTGGTGGATGGGAAGAAATAAACCAAAGAACTTATATGCATAACCAATGAACACAGACAACAGTGTGGGAAATGGCAGGAGTGAGGCTGGAGTGGGGAGGAGGGGGTCAATGGGGGAAAAATGAGGAACATCTGTAATACATTCAACAATAAAGATTAAAAAATAATTAAAAAAAAAAAAAAAGGGAAGTGGATGAAAATTCTCCTTAATCTATGTTTTCATGATGTCAACACAAGTTTTATGTAGCCATGCTCTTGAATCTCTGGTCAGTGGAGTAGACAGGCAAGCAGGATAAAAGTAAGTCTTTGTGTTTGAAACCATTTCCTATTATAACCTGCAATACCAACTCACTCTACATTTACTATATTCCCTATACAGACCATATTTTTAATTTGTGTCTTCTGCTATAGAAATATTTAGACATTTCCAGACAGGAATAGAAGTTAGTAAGTAAAAACATTAAACCATAAAATATACTCTGCCATCAGAGGAGAAATAAAATATTCTTCCTTGCTCTATGAGCACAAGGCTTGGCGAATATATCCCATGAACTGAAGGAGTCCAAAAGTTATAGTTCCTGGCAGAACACTTCATTACACAGTGGGTGACTATAAGTCAGATACTTACTTATCTACAAGAGTCCGTATGACTGCCAGTGTGTCCAGCACTAGCCCGTCTACATTTTGTTTCTTTCTCCTTGGCTCATGTGGTCCTCGGCCCCTCCTTGGTGGCCGAACAGGATCCCGGGGTTGGTTCCTTATGTCAGCAGTGGGTACTGCACTGTTCTCAGCCTGTTGCTGCTGGGCGTCAACACTATCTTCTGCTCCACTGTCATCTCGGCAGATACAGGAATTACCCATGGCAGCAGTGGCACCTCTAGTCCCCAGGAAGTGGGCTATGTGTTCCTCAAGAGTCAACAGCAGACCCTGGCCAAGGCTTCTGCTTGCTAAGAACACGGCCCAACCAAAGACAATCATTTAGATAGGTTTCAGTTTTCCAAGTACTGTTTTCATAATCCGGAGTTGAGACACTTGCATCCTACTTGTTTTTAACAACTGAATGCTGAAGAAAGTTGCAGAGTTGATCTCCAACATTATCAATTACATGGAATCCTGGTCATCCAGCAGCAGTTCTAAAAGAAAAAAAGAGAAAACAAAAGGAAAATGAATTAAAGGTTCATGGCTATTCAATTACTCACACTTTCCTAGATTGATTTTATAGACAGTAGGATTACAATGAAGAATCATCTTTGGTTATTTTTTTTTTCCCCAATTTTTGTACAGATAGAGTAGGAGGGAGAGAGAGGGAGAGGGAGAGAGAGAGAAACATCGACGTGAAAGGGACACATCGAGTGGCTGCCACCCGCACGACCAACCAGGGCCGGGGACAAACTGCAACCGAAGTACATGCCCTTAGCGGGAACCGAACCCGGGTCTCTCCGGACCGCAGGCCGACGCTCTAACCGCTGAGCCAAACCGGCCAGGGCTGGTTATTTTTATAGGTTCTTGACTCAGAGATATCTCTGCATAATAGAACTAACAATGAATAATTTTTATCATTATATTATGAAGCTGATTGCTAAACCATATCCTTGTATACCACAGAGTTGCCATTGATTTTTTTAAAAAACAGTACCTGTGCCCTGGCTGGTTTGGCTCAGCAGTTAAGAGTGTGGGCCCTCAGACCTAAAGGTCGCAGGTTCGATTCCCAGTCAAGGGCATATACCTGGGTTGCAAATTGGATCCTTGGCCCTGGTTGGGGTCATGTGGGAGGCAACCAATATGTCTGTCTCATATCAGTGTTTCTCTTTCTCTCTCCCTCCCTCCCTTCCACTCTATCTGAAAATCGATGGAAAAATATCTTAAGCCAGGATTAACCAAAAAAAAAACCCAAAAAAACCCTAAAACAAAAAAACTGACACGTATGTGTGGTTTTGTCCATACAGAACTACATTAGAAGTATGTGTACAGTTGTTCAAGGGCTTCTTTTGTGGATAAAAAAATGAATTGCTGCCCTGGCCAGTTTGGCTTAGCGGTCAGAGTGTCAGCCTGTGGTCCAGAGAGGCCTGGGTTCGGTTCCTGTAAGGGCACGTATCTCGGTTGCAGTTTGTCCCCGGCCCTGGTTGGGTCCGTGCGGTGGAAGTCACTCAATGTGTCCCTCTCACATCGATGTCTCTCTCTCTCTCTCTCTCTCTCTCTCTCTCTCTCTCTCTCTCCCTCCCACTCTATCTGAACAAAAAATGAAAAAATGTCTTCGGGTGAGGATAAAAAAAAGAAATGTCTCCTTTCTTAATTTACATATATAAGACAATGTAATGTTTCAAATAAAATATCTAATTGCAGAGGTTTGTTGTTTAAAAAGTTATGATACAACTGTGATAGCACCCATTTGATATCAAGAAAAAAAAGATAGAGTGTTCCACTACAATTACCCAAACTGCAGAGGTTTCCCATGGAGGCTCTTTTGAGAATTTACAGAAAGCATACAAGTAGTTACAAAGTTTTTCTGTTATCTAAGCAAGATTCTGTTTGGGGAAAGGCAAATATTTTTCACAAGGTTGCAATTTCACAATGATCAGTTTGTTGTACAACATACCTGCTACAAAGTTAAGCATAAGGATGAATTAATTATCTTTGAAAATACTGACCAAGCACCTTGTGTCAGGCACCATGCTGGCACTGGGAGAACAAGTCCCTGTCCTCCAAAAATTCATGGATGACCATTCTCATCCCACATAGTGTGTTAATCATAAAAAAACTAATGCTAGAACTAGGTATTCATTAAGTTGAGAAATCTGGTTAGGTCTAGAAAGAAGTAAAGGTTTAGAAACCGGAGACTGACATGGGGCTGGTAGCAAAAAGTAAAAAATCATGCTGGGACTTGGAAACTAGGATCCATAAGGACTCAAAGGGACACATAAGGAATAGAGACTAGTGTATTGTCTCTACTCAACATTTGCTTATTTACAATGAAGTCCTCTGATATTCAGCAACGGCTCAGGAATAGATAAAGCAAATGTATAATTCAGTGAAATTACAAGCAAGAAAAAATTTACTTCCATTATTTGGACAGATTCGCAGCAAATTCATTTAAACATTTGTCCAGTTTAATTATTGCTCAGGGGAAAGGGGGGGGGGGTGTGCGACTGAAGAAAAAGAGATAGATGGAAATAGAAAGTCTTTGCATATATAAAATTTAATCTAATATATGTAGAGAGGAGCAGGGACAGAGAAGGGGAATGGATAGAATGTATTAAGATGGGATGGAAGGAGAGAGGAGATTCAACATTCAGATGCATCTTCCTCCAGACACCAAGATCGCAATGGCTAAGTCAAGTAATACCACAAATGTTCTTGGTTCCCCTAAAACAGTCAAGCTACCTTCAAAATTTGGAGGTTGTACTTAAACGGATGTGACTGAAATACAGGTAAGAGCATGATATAAGGACTCAGCTTGAAAAAGCATTTTTTTTTTTCTATCCTCACTGGGGACATTTTTCCATTTTTTGTTCAGATAGAGTGGGAGGGAGGGAGAGAGAGGAAGAGAGAGAAAGAGAAACATCGACGTGAAAGGGACACATTGAGTGGCTGCCACCCACACAACAAACCAGGGCCGGGGACAAATTGCAACCGAGGTACGTGCCCCTAGCGGGAACCGAACCCAGGTCTCTCCGGACCGCAGGCCGATGCTCTAACAGCTGAGCCAAACTGGCCAGGGCTGGAAATAGCTTTTTAAAAGAACACATTCTAAATCAGCAAAGAGTTGAAGTAATATCATTCCCATTACTGTGGGAAATAGGACATGCAATTCCCTTCAAAAGGCAGATAACCAAAAGATTTCAATGCTTAAAAGGACAGGAGAAAGAAATCAGAAATAACTCTGTTAAAGCATCCCTGATATAAATTTCTATTGATCTTATAAATTACGCTGGTTTCTGAGACCAAAAAATAACATTCAAGAAATGATGCTCTGGCCCTTCTCATAGAAAGTTCAGAGAAGCCCAGCCAGTGAGGTTCAATGGATGGAGCATTGTCCCGTGGACTGAGAAGTCCCAGTTGGATTCCTAGTCAGAGCACATGCCTGGGTTGCAGGCTTGATCCCTAGTAGGGTGCGTGCAGGAGGCAGCCAATTGATGTTTCTCTTCACATGGATGTTTCTACCTCTCTCCCCCTTCCTTGCTCTCTAAAAACATCAATAAAAACATTTTTTTTTTTTAAAGGGAATTTCAGAAAAGGTACTGTTGGAACAATTCAGGTGAAAGGAGGTAGGGAGTCCAAGGTTTTCTGACAAGTGTACCACTAGGCAGTAGCCTGGCTGATATGCCACCGGAGCACTTTCTTGAAATCCTAAAGTATTATATTTAAAATTTTCGGTTGCTAATTTTTAAGAGTAAAAAATGAATACACATGCATTTTGAGACCTCAATACAGAACCTGTCTACAGGAAAACAAAAGTTTCTATTCTGCTCTCTTCTGAAAGACTTTCTTCATATTCAATTCTTTTCCCAGAGGCAAACCCTGTAAAAGCTTCATGTATTTATTTCCACACCTATTATCACGTACATACAATTAACTAGAATGATGCTATAAATACTGTTCTGTGATTTCCCTTTTTTCCTTAACAATACATGCTTCTATACCAGTATAAATAATTACATCTTCCCATTTAAGGCTATAAAGAAATCCAAATTCTGGATTATCAGTGTTTCTTAACCACTATGCTATAAAAATCTGTGGCTAAACCAAATAATTCTTTGGGGATGGTAGAAAAGAGTGGTCCAGAATTGTGAAAAGGGAATTTTATCTGGGAATGCTTCAGCTCCTAGGATACTTCATCACCCCAAATTGTTCTGTGGTATCAAAGTTACCAGAGTAGAAGGGAATTCCACTGGCCTCCCTAAGGATCCTGAGCCATTCCACAATTAATATGGAAGTCGGGATGGGTAGATATGCAAACAGTAGATTCACCAACAAGAAACATTAAATTGGAGAAGACATACCTGAGGAAGAGTGACCACTCAGGTATTAAAAATACCTGGCAGTGATTTGAGAATGTCAAGGTGAAACTGAGACCCAGAAAACAAAGCCTTAAAGGGGAGGAGGGGATCCTGTAAAGTTACAGTTTAATGTCAACATTTATAAAGCTATTCAGACCCGGTCTGTGTGGCTCAGTGGTTGAGCATTGACCCGTGCACCAAGAGGTTGCTGGTTTGATTCCCAGTTGTGGGGCATGCAGGAGGTGGCCAGTTGATGTACTCTCTCATCAGGGTGTCTCTCTCTCTCTCTCTCTCTCTCTCTCTCTCTCTCGCTCCCTTCCTCTCTCTCTAGAATCAATAAAGAAAAAGAAAAAAAATTTGTTTTTAAATCTATTCAGAATAATTAAGAAACCATGCTGGGAATGCTTGTGAGGAAAATTGTAAGTTAAAAAGTTGTTGGAGCGCAAATTTTTAAACTTTATCCAAAATTTTTTTGCTAAGGCTTATATAAACTAAATATAGAATAATTGATCTATGCAGATTTTTATTTAATATAGTTTCAAAGTAAATGGAAGATATCTAATATATACAAATAGACATTTTTTAAAATCTGACTAAATTCAGAGGTGAGAAGACAAAAATGGTGGTTTTTTTGTTGTTTTGTTTTTTTCCTATTTCCAAATTGAATCAAATGTATCTCAGGTCAATTACTTCTAAGTCGTTTTCCTTAAATGACCCAGAAAGTGATGTCAACGACAAAATTTGTCAGAAAGAAAAATGAGTAAATAAAAAAGTTTTCAAGTATTTTAAAACCAAAGACTTTCTTTTTCAGGGACTAGGTGTAAAGATCCAGTGCAAAGAAGAGATTAATTAGGTGGGAGAAACCATGAGGCATTTAAAAGGTAAGACAATAAAACATACAAGCAAAAAATAAGAGCTACTATATTTTAAAAATGTCTTGAATGAGCATACAGAGTGCTTTTGAGGTTAGAGCCAAAGGCGGGCCACATAAATAAAGTGTATGATCTTTCAGATTTATCCAGCACTAAAAAATGTACATTTCTTCATCTGGAAATGGTTGTCACTCCTGATACTTTTCTCAGAGAACAAATTATAACTACTTTAGGCAAAAGCCTGGGTAATGAGGTTAAACAAATACACTTTAGATAGCTTTGTTTTATCTCATTCCAAAAAGCATTATGTGGCCCACTTTCCAAGGACCATTGTTTTAAGACAGTAACACAGCCTACAGATCTTGTACAGGATGCCAGAGGCCACCTACAGCACAGGGTAGGGACTTTGCAGTCAGAAAGACTGGGCACAGGTCCCAGCCCTGCAATATATACAGCTATGCATTCTAATTACCCTGACTATAGACCCACTTTAAAACAGGGAGATAGTAACAGTTCCTACATCTCACAGTAGTACTGGGAGGATTAAATGAAATAGTGCTTGTAAAACACATGGCACAGTGCCTAATACTTAAACTGGATCCCCAAATGCAAGATGTTATTGTAAAATGAGTACCTAGCTAATCAAAGGTAACAAAATAATCTGGGAGGTGGGACTCTGGAATAAGACCTCTAAGATAACTAAACAACTTATCTTTTATAGCACTCATCTACCCTGTACTGAAATAACTGTTACTTATCTATACTTTTAGACAAAGAACCCTGGAAGAAATTGTAGTTTAATCATCCCAAAGGTGATGAGCATTAGAATCCCTTAGGTACTTCTTTTGCAAATTCCTGGTTCTACTCCAAATAACCAGAAATAGAATTTCTAAGATGTGCCAAGCAAGTGTTTTTTTAAAAGCTCCCCAGATTATTCTGATGGTGGCCGGGTCTAGAAATCACTGTGCTATATAGAACCTAACAAAGAACCTGGCACAGTAGGCAGGACCTACTACTACTGACTGAATAAAGGGACAAACTGAAACACTAATGGGTAATTCTTCTGGGGTCAAAAAAGTTAATCTTCCTTTCCAGGAAAATGAATTGCAACTATCGTTGGAGTGGTCAGCCAAAATACCCATTAGAATACAGTTACATTCATAAGTGATTATGTACAATGCATATCAACACAATGAATAAAATAGCTCCCTATCTTTCTCACCAAATCTACCCTATGAAGCACCATAATGAACCTACATGGTACCCTGCTCATAAGTAATATCATCCAGGGGTTGAGAGACTGAATAAAAGGAAAAATGAATGAGACTAGAGATTATGTCAATAGGTAATATCTATACACTTCACCTTAACTATAAAGACTACTTAGCATTAGATGGCTGGCCAAGTCAATTTTGAGACCAAAGACAAGCTAGTCACAAAATTTAAACATATTCAACTATTAAATCTGCAGCTATGGCAATCATCAACCAATGTGGCAATTATTGACGGTATTTATGATGATACCACTGGATGCCATTGCTTAGCAGAAAGACTTCTCACCATCTAAATGGCAATGTTTTTATTTTATTTTTATTTATTTTTATTTTTATTTATTTATTTATTTATTTATTTTATTCTCACCCGAGGACATTTTTCCATTTTTTGTTCAGGTAGAGTGGGAGGGAGAGAGAGGAACAGAGAGAGAGAGAGAAACATCGATGTGAAAGGAACACATCGAGTGGCTGCCACCCGCACACACAACCGACCAGGGCTGGGGACAAACTGCAGCCGAGGTACGTGCCCTTAGTGGGAACCGAACCCGGGTCTCTCAGGACCACAGGTCGACGCTCTAACCGCTGAGCCAAACTGGCCAGGGCTAAATGGCAATGTTTTTAAATCATTATACTGTTCATAGCCATTTTCTACAAAAGCATAATTATAATCAAACATTTCCTTTGCAAATCTATTTCTGTGAAGAGTGGTATTAATTTCTATTCTTTTTTTAAAAAAGAGAGACTAGCCCTGGCTGGTTTGGCTCAGCGGTTAAAGCGTTGGCCTGCGGTCCGGAGAGACCTGGGTTCGGTTCCCGCTAAGGGCATGTACCTCGGTTGCAGTTTGTCCCTGGCCCTGGTTGGTCGTGCGGGTGGCAGCCACTCGATGTGTCCCTTCGCGTCGATGTTTCTCTCTCTCTCTCTTCCTCCTGCTCTATCTGAACAAAGAATGAAAAAGTGTCCTCGGGTGAGGATAAAAAAATAAATAAATAAATAAAAATAAAGTTTAAAAAAAAAGAGAGACTATCTCTTCTTCTTCTGTGTCATTTATGATTTATTAGATTTTTATATTTTATAAATTTTATAAAGCTTCTCTGAGAGAGAGAAAAAAATCAAACTTGGGCTCTCAGTAAGTTCTGTGTTAAAGCAATGAGGTCTGGTACTCAAAACACAGACATCTACCATCATAAACAGCTCACCACAAGAGACATCTGGCCAACTGGTCTAATCCTCTGCAACAAATGGTCCAGGAATCAGTGATTGATCTCTTCAAATATCTGCTTACAGTCTATCATAATACAACTCAGTGACATTAAGAACACTTTCTTTTCTCTGAAAATAAGACTTCAGGATTATACTGTCAAGAAAGGAGAGGCTGGTTAAATTAATGACCATAGGAAGAAAAATTTGGTAATGAAATTACTGTTTCTGTTATCTTCACCTTATCATTCCCAAATAGTGTTATAGAATGCAGCATTTTTACCAGTTTACTTCTCATTCTCAAGGCTAAATCACACAGCATGAAAAGTAACAATATATAATGCACTAGAAATTTTAATGATTTTCTCTCATTAGAAAATGTTTCGGATTTTTTCCTAAGACAGTATTATAAGTGATAACTCCTTGCATCATGTTTATTAGCACCCCATTATGAAAATTTCAGACACAGCAAAGTTGAGTTTTATAGTGAACACCTACATACCTACCACCTGATTCTACCATTAACATTTTACTATATTTGCCCTGGCCAGTTTGGCTCAGCGGTTAGAGCGTCAGCCTGTGGTCCAGAGAGACCCGGGTTCAGTTCCCGCTAAGGGCACGTATCTCGGTTGCAGTTTGTCCCCAGCCCTGGATAGGTCATGTGGGTGGCAACCACTCGATATGTCCCTTTCATGTCGATGTTTCTCTCTCTCTTCCTCTCTCTCCCTCCCACTCTATCTGAACAAAAATGGAAAAATGTCCTCAGGTGAGGATTAAAAAAATACATAAAAAATAAATATATGAATAAAAACATTTTACTATATTTGCTTTATCACATATCTCTCCATCTCTAGCCATCATCAATCCATTTAATTTTTTTGAGGCATTTCAAAGTAAATTGCAGGCATCAGTATACTAAATAATTCAGCATACATATCATTAACTGGACTTCAATATATTTTTAGAGATTAGATTTACATAAACTAACTGTACAAGTGTTATACATATATGTGCAGAATTTTGTTAAATACATACACCTATGTAACTCAAACCCTATCAAGACAAAGAACCTTATACAGAAAAATATTTGCTTTTAAAATATAGTGCAAGATATAATTTTCTTACTGAAGACTGTGTTTAAATGGGAAAAGCTTGGAAGTCAACAAGATTATTATTTGGTAGTATAATAAATAGATAAGAAAAGTATATTATATATCAAGAGTAGACTTGCTAGTTGAAAAAGAAACTACCTAAAGACATTTCAACAAGAGTATTTTGTCTCTAGACTCTAAAGCATCTAGTATTGTGGGGGCAGGGGAATTGTGGAATGTTTGGTTGGAACTTCACTTTTCCCCCAAAAGGAAAAGCAGGCAGCTCTGATATTTTTACATGTCACCCCAGTATCCAAAATTATCTATCTGCAGTGACACTGGCCACTTGAGGTTTAAGTCATACAGGGTACTATTATCCCCTGAATTGTAACCTTTAAGTTGTCTGGGAAAAGCACTGGATGATTCTGACACTTATGCACTGAGGTTGGTTTGGAAAATAGATCATTTTTCTGGTTGAACTACTAGGGAAGGAATATTTGCAAAAGCTTCCTCTAAAATGTTGAGAGCCTTTTAACCCTGTAGTACAGCGGTTCTCAACCTTCCTAATGCCACGACCGTTTAATACAGTTCCTGATATAGTAGTGACCCCCAACCATAAAGGTATTTTCGTTGCTACTTCATAACTGTAATTTTGCTACTGTTATATCTTAGGTGACCCCTGTGAAAGGGTCGTTCGACCCCCAAAGTGGTCGCGACCCACAGGTTGAGAACCGCTGCTGTAGTAGATGAGACTTAATTACAGAATACAGTGTGATCTGAAACAGTACAAAAGAGAAAAGACAAATCCTTTCAGCATTAAAAAAATATTAAAAATAAAATTTAGGGATGGGATAGAGTAAAGAATTTCTAGAAGCACATATAGTTAAAAAGAGAGAGAGGGAGAGAGAAGAAAATAAATAATCTCTGCCTGGTCTCAAAGTCTGAAAAATTTGCCTTGGGTTCAAAAGAGAAATACTACAGAAGAACTGAGGTAAGTGCTAATGATAGCTGCAGTACAAAGGAGAAAAACAAATATAATACTCCGTACTTTTTGGGATTTTCCCCTAGGAAACAAAATAATAGGAAATCATATAGACATGTTATTTAAACACGTGATTCATACATCTGAATGATAAGGATTTTTCTATTATAGAAAACTCTTTACTATTAAGAAAAGCAAACAGAATGTATAAACAGCATGGGTAGCAACCCTTTCCTCAATGAGATCTACTTAAATTGTGTCTGAAACACTCAGGTGCACACCCAATTGGATACCCAGACCTAAAAGGTATTCAGTAACTACTTTAAGTAAATTTATTCTAAAATCTGTAAAAATAGAGAATGTTTCCAAAATATTTATCACTTTGAAAAATTGAGACAACATCATTCAGTAAATATAATTCCAATGCTTATATGCCAGGAACTGAGTAAAGATGAAAAAATGATTCTTCATGCCCTTGGCAAGGAGATGAAGAACAGCAATAGACAACACACTGAGTGCCCTACCCATAATGTGATACACACCAGAGAAGCCTATGGATAAGGCATCATCAGGTCTACTAGAAGGAGGTCTCTCATGCCACCATTTTTCCAGTGGAATAGCAACTTAGTATCATCAAGTATTTCTGTACAAACAAGTTTTTAGGTGACTACATATCAGCATTTGCAAAAGGGGTATGGAGGATTTATATTTGCATGCAACACATTCCTGTCTTAAATTATAAGTCAACATATTGTTGGTACAAATATACTGACCACAGTGAAAGATTAACCAAGAGCCCACAAATTAAATTAGTAAAGAAAAATAGTAATTCTAATGAAAAACAAAACAAACAAAAACCACAGAGGAAGCACAATGAAAAATAAGCACCCTTCCTGATAACTGCAGGAATCCCCATGCTGCCTATGACACGTAAGAAGCTTTGCACTGGTGCCAAGTTTCCCAGGCAGAACAGGCTTCCTGGGAGAAAAAGGTGTTAGACAACTGTAAACTCGAATGTGCTAGTTTTGGTTTATGAGTATCATGTTTTAGTAATCCTTAATAATTCACTTGCTAGGTTATGAGTAAGGAACCCTTAAGCATATGTTAGTATGAATAACTATGAAGCAACAAGAACTGGAAAAAAGGAGCTGCTCTTCCCACAAGGTGGAGCAGGGTAGGAGTCAGACTGGGAATCAGTGCATCAAGGGTGCAAAGAAGAGGAAACGTCATTCTTCAGAAGGTAGAGTGGTAGAATAAGCTGACACTGAAACATTAAACCATGAAGTAATAATAAATAGGCCAACTAAGGTATTTCAAACCTTCTTTTTGATGTGTATAGGACCCATGAAATTATGCCTGGAAACTATAATCGCAAGCAATAAGAAAGCTACGAGCTGGGTTCATTCCCTAACAAACTTAAGGAGTGCATCAATTCTTTGCTATCTCAAATATATTCTGTTTTCAAAAGCTCAGAAAGGGAGAAAAGGGACTATCCTCTAAGAGTCCACCACTATTTTTAAGATCAACTTTACCTCCTTTAGCCTTGTAGATATCACAGTTATCTACAGTTAAATATGCTTTTACATATTTAACCAGCAAGCTTTCCTTTTGGAGTGGATACTGAGAGTAAGTTAAAAAAACAAACATGTTTTTTCTAATCATAAAGATTGGCAAGATAACCCCTTCAAAGACTGACTTATTGAATAGATAAACCAAAGGGAAAATATTCTTTATTTTACAATCCTAAAACTTGTTAAGTCTCCTCCTAAAGGCTGTGGCCCAAGTTTTGGCATTCACTACTTCCTGACTATTCTGTTTTTCAATTTTCTAATTTGAATACCAAGGGGGAGGGGTAAATGCCTTGTAAATGTCAAATTTTGAAAGAAGCTAAATTGATAGTTTACTACTCCCAAATAACTTTTTTTTTAACCCTCACCCGAGGATATTTTTCCATTTATTTTCAGATAGAGTGGGAGGGAGGGAGAGAGAATTTTCGATGTGAGAGAGACACATGAACTAGTTGTCTCCCGCATGACCCTGACCAGGGCCCAGGGCTGGGAACTGAACCACAACCAAGGTACATACCCTTGATCAGAATGGAACCCGCGACTCTTTGGTCCAGGGGCAGAAGCTCTCACAGCTGAGCCAAACCAACGAGGGCCCAAATAACTCTTTTGAAATAGATTATTGGTTCCATTGTGGCTCCCATGTGTGGTGCAACGCTGTGGCTATCACATCCTACAAGTATCCCACCACAAAACAGAAAATCTCCAATTTAAAGTAGTGTAATAGTGATTGTCAACCTCAAGAATTCCCAATAATTTCTCAATTATATAGCTATTAAAGTATGGAAGAGAGTTGTGTTTTAAAGGATGCAAAGTAATGTCTCATTTCTTTATAACAAATTACTTCATTATTAGGAAAGTATAGGCAATTCTTGACACAATGACTTAAGCTCATGAGTTAAAATGAACTGTTGTAAGTGCAATTCAGGAACACAGAAAAAAATTTTTGTTGATGTTATTCTCTTGCCAAAACATACTTCAGAGTTGTTTTTCCTATTTACTACAGAATAACAGACTATTATATAAAATGTTAAGTTTTTATTTCCCCTTGATTCTTAGCCAATTTACTAAGTGGAAAGTTATTTTGCTGACAAAGCAGAAAAAGTCCACATAGAGTATGCTGGAACACTTCCTATAATCAATAATTTAAAAAATAATCATGGAGTACAGAAATAATAAAGATTTGTGAAAACAGCAAAAAGCAGGTCACAGAAAGACAATAAGCAGTAGGCAGGACAATGTGTATCCTGGGAAATCAGAAAGCTCATAAAACCACCATAGTGATTTTTTTAAAAAGACCCATGAAATATAAGATTAGAAAAACAGGAAATACAAGTCAGCTTTTTGTAAAAAAATAAAAAATAACAAACTTCAAAGACCATAAATTACTGAATATCTGGAAAACCAGGTCTAACAAATGCCACTAACTAAACATCAGGAAAATGTCATACCTGGAGACAAGTATCTTACAACCTCATTGAGGAGCTACAAAGCAAGATATCCCAGGAAATGCAAACTCTATACATAGTGAAAAATAAAGAAAACCATTGTGGAAGAGAAATTTAAAAGCAATTGCAAATCTATAGTTTGGGACTACTATAGGAAGGCATGATTTTCATGGAGAAAAAAGGGAGTCTCATTTACAAAATCACAACTGAAAAAAGAGGAAAGATTCACTACCAGCAGACATCCAAAGGCCATGAATATATATATGGAAAGAGGGGAGGTAGTTTACATTATTGAGATGAAATTACATGGAGGAAAATGTCAGCTGTCAGGGAAAATCTTCTTGAAGGAAAATATAGTGCTGCCTCCTGCCAGCACCATCAGAATTTCAAAGAAAATTAAAACTCTGAGCAAAAATTGGAAATCCCTCTATCCCATCTAAGCAGGGGTTGAAACCTTGGGTTTAGATGATAATATAACCTAAACTGCTGAGCACCTTGAAACTTTCAGTCTAATACAGCTCTCAGCACTCCAAAGGTAATCAACAGCTACTGTATCCCTTACATCTACATACTGTTTTACAGTTTAGACACTGCTTTCACTTTTATTCAACAGCAACCCGTTCAGGGGTAGAATTACAGTACTGTACTTTCACACAGCTTATAGTCTGTAGAGCACTTTCCACACTGCGTTATTTTACAGGAGAGACCTAAGTTGGTTAAGTCACTTGTCTAAGGACAAGCAGTCAGTAGGTGAGGGTGCTGGGACAACTGCCGGACTCCACTCAGTAAGACACTTGCAGCCCTTCAAAGTTCAAAGTACAACACTCCAGGGAGATCAACCCCAGGGGCAGAAAGGACAGAACTGCAGTCTCAGTGGACCATCTCTGCCCCATCTCCTTCCCCAAAGGCAGGGAAACTGAGGCAGCCAGGAGGGGCAAAAGCCTGATCTAGAGTTATGCAGGGAGTGTTGGTGGGAATGGAGCCCCCCGCCCCCCCACCTGCACTAAGCCTAGAAGCAGCTGAATTCGGTGTTTAAGACACCGGGACAATCTCTGAAAGAACGGACTTACCATTCCTGCTACCCTCTCACGACTCCTCACCGAGGCTTTCCTATGGATGGGGGCTCTTCTTCCCAGAACCGCCCAGCCGTCCCCTCTCCCCAAGGCCCTTACCCATTTTTCACGGCGGGCCTCCGCAGAACGGGAATCCTCTAGCTGCGGCTCCCAATCCCTAGCCCCTCTCTCTGAGGCATCTCTCCACCCCGAGGCATTTTTTTTTGTCTCCCGGGGGAATGTCTGCTTCGCACCCGCGCCACCTAAACCTCAAACTCCACAAAAGGAAACCCTCCCAAAGCGTCCTCCCATCTACCCCTCCCGCCCTGGACACCTCTCAGAGCACTCCTAAATATTAGGAGCCTCCCGGGAGCTACCTGCCTCTCACCTGGGCCCTTTTGGCCGCGGCCTTCTCAGAGGGGCGACCCCCGAGAACCTCCTCGGGTCAAGAACCCCCTAAAGGGGCAACACCCTCTTCCAGGAACCTCTCCAGGCGCCTTCAGAGTGGGCCTTCGTGGAGGACCTCCGGGCTGTTTCCCGAGCTCTGCCAAACGCTACCCTCCCCGGCCCCCTTCCCAGAGCCTCCCCTGACCCCAGCCCAATCTCCCCGCCGCAGACTCGGGGACTGTCCCCTCCCTCACCGATGGCCCCTGCCCTCGGACTTCCCCCGCTCCGCGTCCCCAGGGGCTTCTCGGGGCACGGCGGCTGGGCTGCGGCACTGACTTTCTGCCGCTCCCGGGTCCACTCGAGAGAGAGGGAGGCGGCGGCGGCGCGACTCCTTTGTGACAGGTCCGGGAGAGCGGTAAAGATGGACGCGAGGCCACAGCGCTACCATTACGCGCTGGGCCCTCCCCCGCTTCGTACCGCCCCGGCCCTCCCTCAGTCCCCTAGGAAACGCCCCTTCCTCGTTGGCAATCCCTCTCCCTGGCGACCAATCAGCTGTCCTGGGTGGTGTCACGTGGTCGCACGGCACGGCCCGCCCCCCAAGCGCGAGCTGGCCAGTCACCTGGTGAGGTGTGAATGGCCCAATCCAGTGTCTCCCGCCAGCTTCCTGGGCACCGGATTTCCATCAGACTCCGGGGGAGGAAGAGAGGTGCGGATTGGGTTACGCTGCCGGAAGCGGGGCGGACTTTTGTTGTGGCGGTGAGGAACAGGAAGCTCTGAAGGGTCAAAAGGAATACAAAAGCAAAGGCTATTTTCTTTTTCTTTTCTTTCTTTCTTTTTTCCTAAAGAGCAAGCGGCGGTGGCGGTGGCGGCTCGGGGTGAGCGCTACTGAGGAGAGGGTGTCCCGCCTCCCGCGCGTCGGTAGGTGAGTGTGGCCTGGGCCCTGGCCGGGCTGCGAGCCCTGAGCTCCAGCTTCTTTGCGGAGGAGCCGGGGGGCTGCGTCTGACTTGAGGTTTGGGGCCAGGCCTGTTCTCAGTCTGTGCTTTCGCAGTGTTCTTAGTCGCCGGGGCCAGAGGCTTGCAGAGCCCAGCCTGAGGGGGGCCGAGGGAGCCCGCCGGATGGCCTCCAGGTCGAGTCGGGAGGACACCTGACACGAGGAAGGGGACTTCGGGCTTCTTGCTGGCTTCTCTGCACCTTTTCTGCTAGGTGGGGCCACCGAGGCTCTCGGTGCGGAGCTGGCTCTAATCCAGAGTCCTGTAGCTCCAGGCTCCTCGGGGGATGTGGGTTCGCCTGGCTGGAAATGGTTGAGGCAGTACGTGTAAGATGGGGATGCCCTGGCAGTTGCTGTAGCGTGCTCGTTTTGCAGAAAACTTAGGAACTAAGACCGAGCGTTGAAGCCTAGTTTGAGAGTTGGTGGCCCATGTGAACGTCAGCGTCCGCACGGGGTTAAAGGAGGACACCAGTTCGGACTCAGCAGTGGTAGAAAACAAGATCTTCTGCGGCCCTTTTAAAATGCAGATTCTCGGACCCCATCCCTGGATAGTCTGACTGAGTAGGTGTGGAGTGGGACGCAGAAACCAGGTGTCGGCCTGGTGGTCAGATTTCCCAATGACTTCTTGGGTACCGACTGTGAGGTAAGATTTGTTGCTTCTTCAGCTGTTTGGTTTACAGATGTTAAGAGGGATCCCATAAAATGGTTTGGAGGGCAGTGCTTCTGAAATCCTTGAAAGAAATCAGTGTACAGACTCCTTGATATAAGAATTGATCTGAAATAACAGCAGCATTTATAGTCTTTCGATTAGAGTTTGAGATTAGCTGTTAACAATTTGCAAGGCTGCCCACTTATCTTTCTCAACTGAAGCTTGGTGCCTTTTACCCCAGTGGGCAAATTCTTTGTGGTTCTAAGAAAGGAAGAATTACCTCAACAACTTCTACCTGGTTAGCAGTCTTTTTTTTTTTTTAACCATCTAAGAATCTTGATGTTTGGTTAGAATCAAGCTGGTGCTGCTTCAGACATTGAAATCCACTATCTGGTAAATGAAGTAATTTAAGTGCATGGTTCGGCCATCGGCTCAACAATAATGGAATTATGCCTGTGTGGGAGCAAAATTAAGCAATTTCAGCGTGTTCACTATGGACTATCTTTTGATTCTACTTCTTAAATATGATCTGTTTCACTCTTTACCGTAGGATGCTTTAAAGAGTGTTAGGTCTTTATCTTTGGTTTTCCGCTTTTTCACTATGACATATCCAACTATGGACTTGTTTTTGTTAGATTTGCTTGGTGTTTGTTAGATTTCTTGAACTTGTGGATCAGTGTCTTTTTGAATTCTTGGCCATTTTATATCCATATATTGCTTCTGCCCCATTGTTTTGATCTTCCTTCTTCTTTACTGATTTAACATACACTTTTTTACCCTCTTTCTCTCACTTTTTATTTTTTCATACTACATTCTGGATAATTCATCAATTCTAACCTATTTCTAATGTGTTTAGTGTGTTATTAAACTCATCCATTGAGATCTTAAATTTGGTTACTATGTTTTTTAGTTCATGAAGTTCTATTTGGTTCTTTTAAATGTGGTATACCACTGTTTTGCAGTCATATTCTCTGCTATTAATTTTGAGGCTTAGTTTTTGTTTCTTTAAACATGATAAGCATAGTAATTTTATAATCTGTATGTTTGAAATCCACTGTCTGAATTCCCTTTGGGTCTTATTCTGTTGCTCATTATTTCTGCTCTTTATCTTCCCAGTTCACCTTTACCCTGAAGGTGTAGTTCTTTGGAGTACCAGATTAAGATGGAGAAATAGATGGTTATCAGACTTTACATCCTATGTGGGCTTTTGTTTCTTTTGCTTCATAAAGGCACCAAAGCAACAGCAGCAAAGTTAGAGAAACCCTCAGGATGAAAATGAGTTTGAATACTGGGCTTTATTTCTGGTTTTCACCTTCCTTGGATTTTGGCCACATTCTTTACTATCCTGTTAGGTTTTCTGTTTAAGAGTTATTTTCAAAATTTCTTTCAGTTATTTTATTTATTTTTTATCATAGACGTATAGGATTGGTTTCATTTACTTCACTCACTATTTCTGGAAATGAAAACACCCTTTCATTTTTATTTTGGAATGTGAAATTTGTGATTTCAGGCAATCTTGAGTTAAAGGTTATTTTTCTTTATATACCTAAAACTTCCCCCACTTTTCACTGCAGTGTCACAGCTACTATCACAATTAAGCTTCCTTGATGCTTTTTTCTAGTCTTTCTTTTCTGAATTTCTTAGCTTCTATTTTCTTACAGCGCTTGATCTTACTCTACTTTTCTAAATTACTCATGTGTCAACCTTATCCCTTACTGAATGGCAAGTTCCTCACTTGTTAAATAGTAGAGTGCCAGGTTAGTGCCTAGCATTGTGCCTTCAACCTAATAAATAGGCCCTGTGTAAAGATGTACTTCAAAATACAACTGAATGAGTTAGTTGGCTTTATGTATGGTTATGTAATGCAAGGCCTTTACTTTTTTGTGTTTTTAAAATTTGATCTTAGGGAGGAGTTAAATAAAGCCTGGGGTAGGGGAGGTATGATTTAGTGTAGGTTAGGTTGCAAAGCCAGCCCAGATGGCAAAATAATCAAAGCTACCCTCGAAAATCTTTTAGGGAAGCACTATGTTGGATGTAGGTATACCAGTGCAGCAAAATTCCAGCATGGCCAGGTTTTCCTCCAGCTTTGGAACAGATGCTGTTTTTCTTCCTGTGAGCCCCACATGAAGTAGTTTAGGAGTCACAATGTGTAACAAATACAACTAATATTAGAATCATACATAGTGAGGGAAGTGTTTATACTTTGAGAGGCACAGATGAACTGGGGAACCAAAGATCAGCTAAGAGAACCAATATTTTAAGTTCTCTTTTTTTTCTTCTAATGCATATAGATGAATTCAAGGTAAAATGAACATAAAATGAGACTCAGTTCTTGTGTTAGTGGAAGATAAATACAAATATAGGGGTGTGTTTCTTTTAATAAATTGTTATTGCATTTGTTTTTTGGATGCCTAGACAACCAGAAGATTACTCCCAATTGTTCTTCAGAATCAGCATTTTAAATATGAATTAAATTGCTATTCTGTACCCTCATTTTTAGGTTCTTTTAGTTTCCTTTGGTACTGGGGTATGTTAAATAAGCCTCATTGTTAGGAGATTGATGATTACTTTGCCAAGCAATAAATGCTAACAGAGTGTTCTCTGTTAGTAGTTGTCATTCTCTGAAGTTTTATTATATAGGGAAAATTGGCTTGATCTAAATTACTGTGGCTGGTAGAAGAGTCTTCTGGCCAGAAAGCAGTCTTTATTTGGAATATAGTTGAGTTTGCCAGATGGAAAATTCCTCTTAGTTGCTGTTTTGCATTTTGAAATCCCTTGTGACTTGAACATCAGGGTACAAATGTAGGAAGAGCAGTGCTTAAACTATATTTACTGACAAAAGGAAAGTGAATTGGCCTATTGCTTTTGCTGCCCAAAGAGAGAAGGCTTAGAACACCGTAACACAGAGTTCCCCAGTGTGTTTTTAACTTACAGTCTATCTAATGTTAGAATTGGAAGGGCATGGTAGTCAGTGATGTAAACATTTAAGTCGTCTGCCATCACAAAATTTAATTCCATAGGAAACCAGATCTCATTAACTTGTATCATGGTACTAGCTAAGTGGAATAATTTTTCATTTCAGCGATAGCAATTATTTTGGGGGCAGCAATTTAAATTTTGTATCTTAAAACTTGTATGGCATGCTGTGTAAGACACTGAGCCAATTTTGTCCCACCAACCTGGAAATTAAATACCACAGTCTCCAGTGCAAACACAGTAGAGCAGTGTATTGCAGTTACTTTCGCTTGAAATATAAGAACTTTGTTTTTTTGGCTGTCAAGCAAATGTGAAAACTATGTTCTTCATTTGTATCAGTTTAAAACTTTTAAGTTTGGACAAAGTGATTTTGGTATGGTTTTGGTTTTCAATGAATTCCCTCTTTGAAGAACTTAAATAATTCTTTTAAAAATAATGTAATGTTGAGTTTGATCGTTTAACTTAGGTCACCTTGAATAAAAAAGTAACATGAGTAAAGGAAAGTTGTCAGTATTCTTTCTAAAATTAAACACAGGATAAAATAAGTATTCCCACATGAATCTTTATAGTTAGGTCCCCAAACCCCTCTGGGACTTTGTTTGTTTATGTTTGTTTTTAATTGTTCTAACAAAGGAGAAAAATAAGAGACTTGTGAAAGTGTAGCTAGGCAGCAGGAATTAGGAATAAACACTTTAACTTCTGGTTTTTCTGTCATTTCCAGAAGGAGGTAAATGAGTTGTAGATACTCCATCAACTTGCAGAATAAACAGTGAAGGGATATTGGACTCTTCCAAGAAAAATGCTTTGTGTGGGAAATGCTAATTAATCAGTGTAAGAGAGCATTTTTTAGCCAGTTAAAATTAAAGGAAAGTAGTGAGAGTTATTCTTGAAGAAGATATCAGTCATGTAATAACATGATTTAATTTTGGTCCTGTGTTTCCTACTTTACTAATTGTATGGTGTTTGAATAGAATTCCCCATGGGAAATAGAAGCCTCAGCAAATACTTTTTAAAAAATTACTATTAATTTATTTTTGTTACAGATGTTTCTCCTTTTTCCCCCATTGAGCAAACACTTTTTTAATGTCTGCCATTCCCTGTAACTTACATCAGACAATACCTAGGAATATTATGTGAGATCATTCTTCCCTGCTTAAAGTCTTCCAATCCTCTAAGGTTGGTTTAGTCAATAAGTATTTATTACATACTTATATATGTGAGACACTGTGCTAATAAGCACTGTGGATACAGAGAGCTGTTGGAACAGTCATGAATGATAAAACAAATGGATAAGTGCTATCGTAGAGGTATAAATGGATATGGCAGGGGCCGGAGTAGAAACAGGGAGACTAATGGAATGCTGTTGTGGTAGTCCATGCAAGAGGAGGCCCTGAAAAGAAGAGATTAGAAAGGAAAGGACTCTTCTCTTAAAAGAAAGAAAGAAGAAGAAAGGAGAAGGTAGATTAAAAAGAGGTCATTATGAGGTAGAAACAACAGGATTTCGTGACTGGAGGGATCTAAGTGAGTGATGAAAAAGGTGTAGATATACGTCCAGGTTTTCAGCCCAGGAAACGATTGATCTATATTCACGCCCTTCATTACTGCCCCTTACTAGTATTTTTTCACTTTGGTAATTCATTGTATACACTATTATCTGGTATTAGCTAGTTCAAGAGTACTAACTCTTAAAGTTTATTTCCTTTATGCACACCGTAGAATTTGGCAGTGCTGGACACAGAGTTCATCGTTCAGCACAATGTTGGGTTTATTTAAATTGAACCACTAATAAAGTAAATAGTATGCTAGAGAACCATACTAAAGGGAAAATAATAGAATCACCAAATTATTTATACGTGTGAATTTTTTCTAATTTCTCTCAGTTTAATGTGATCCCTTCCTCACTTCAAGTGTCATGATTGTTTGTATCCCTGACTTATGTATGTCTCCTCCACTCCTTGAGTGCGGACAGTATTTCTTTCCTACAACCTGTCTAGAGCTTAGCATAGTGCTTTGTAGTAATGGCAGACTTTTCAAAGCATTTTTAAGCATGTGCCAAACACTGTATGAAATGCTTTACATGAATTATCTTACTCATCTTCAGAAAAGATTTATGTTGTGCAGTACTGTTTTAGTCCCCATTGATGAGTGCAGTTGTGGATGAGAAAACCAAGGCTCAGAGGAGTTACGTGACTTGCCTAGGGTCATACAATTGGTAATGTGGCAGAATCAGGTTTCGAACCATAGTCTTGATTTTAGAGTCTTCTATACTCTATCATTACCTGTACTCCCTCTTGGTAAGAAGATTGCAACAGAAGGTACTTGTTATATATTTAGTTGAATTGTGTTAAGTTGTAGTGAAAAGTGTTAAGTTAAGCTTATTTCTTGGCAGTATTTACTGACAGTGAAGTTTTGAATTCTGAAAAGACCTGCATATTTCTGGAGAAAGAATATTCTGACTTTTACCCAGAATATTCAGGAGTATGGCCATGTGTTTGTGAGCATGTTCTGTCTCTATCTTTGACCTCTCCAAGCATAGCAGATGACCAAATTAATTAGCCAGAGGGCTACTGAAGAACATGAGGAACTGTATTAAAGGGTCGTGGCATTAGGAAGGTCGAGAACCACTGCTCTAGAGCAGTGATTTTCAACCTTTTTCATCTCATGGTACATATAAACTAATAACTAAAATTCTGCAGCAAACCAAAAAATATATTTTTTTCTCATTCTTTTTTTGTTGTTTTAATCCTCACCCTAGAATATTTTTCATTTTATCTTCAGTTGGAGTGGGGATGGGCGAAACATCAATGTGAGAGAGACACATCGACTGGTTGCCTCCCGCACGACCTGACCAGGGCAGGGGACTGAACTGCAACCAAGGTATGTGCCCTTGACCGGAATCGAACCCAAGACTCTTTGGTCTGCAGGTCAATGCTCCAACTGCTGAGCCAAACCGGCCAGGGCTATTTTTTTGCCATTCTGACAAAATATTCAAGTATTGCATGTATTAAAAATTCTTGCAGCACACCAATTGAAAATTGCTGCTCTTGAGTTTCTATTTCAAATTCAAACCCTTTAAAAAAAAAAACAAAAAAAAAAACTTGTATCCTGAAGTCGTTGGCCCTGAGTTTCAAGAATCTTTGTTAAAGTTAAATAAAGGTAGGATCTTCTCTTTCCAGAAACTCCACGGGCCATGAAAAATTAAATAAATGATTTTCCTTTCTTAATTTTGAGTTATAAGAATAAAATTTTTCAAGAGTCTCTGAATTCTTATTTAGAAGGAAGCATGTAAGATTCTAGGTCTTATTTTGGCCTGCTGAAAGACTTTTTTTAGTATTAACATATATTATTTATTTATTTTTAAATATGTTTTTATCGATTTTTTTTAGAGAAACATCACACGCCCCTCAACTAGGGATCGAGCCCGCAACTCAGGCATGTGCCCTGGGAATTGAACCAGGACCTTTCAGTCCTGGGATGACGCTCAGTGCACTGAGCCACACCAGACTGGCATTATTTTCATTTTAAAAAATGTATAATGAGAGTGAAGAGATGCCAGTGGCATTACCAGATTCTAATATTCATTTCCCAGATTTACATCATGTGCAGTCTGATAAAAATCACTGCTTTGAGACACTTACTTTTCTCCACTTGTAAGATTAAAGGAACTAGGGATGTTTGGCCCAGAAAAGTGACATTATAGGAGAAACATGGGCGTTATCTTCAAACAGCTGACGAAAAAAGCATTTGACTCTTTTTGTTTAGTCCCAGTGGATCAAACCAATGTATAGAATTTAGAAGGAGACAGATTTCTGTTCAGTTTAAGGAATACCTACACTGTCAGTCAAATCTGCTCAAGGAGGGAATGTGGTAGCCCATCTTAAAGTTTTTAAATATGGGGTGGATGAAAATCTCCAGATACCAGATGGAGAATCAGATTAGGTGGGCAGAAAGGACCCCTCCCACTCTGAGTTATTTACCAGGAAATAAGGATGAGGGGGCAGAAACCAGACTGCCAATATTGAGTGAGAAAGCAGAACAACAGCTAATAGAGGATAAGAAGGGGGGAAATTGAGGATCCAGTATGTCTGCCATGCATTAGAATCTTGCATAGCTGACATTGTCTCTGCCAGGGACATTTAAGAAAATGCTGGCTCCTGTTTTATAAGAGATCATTCTGCAAAAATTGAGGAATGTTTGGCATGTTCACAGAGACTGAACAATTTTGTTTCTGTAATAGGCTTCTGGGAGGAGACACTGAGTGATGCAAAATCAAAAGTGTCCATGTGGTAGGCTTTAGGTGGGAGCAACAGCTTCTATTAATTAATTTAGTTTTTTTTTTAGTAAATTTCAAAATTCTCTTATTGTTACACTGAACTAAACTTCAGCAACAGTGGGATTTAGGCTGAGACTAGTCTCTTGTTCTGAATGTTCGGATTTATTTTCTCAGCTTCCTCTTTCATCTTTATTAAAGAAAAATGTTGCAGGACTATTCTTAGCATTGGAATTTGATATAGGAAGAAATGAAATTGACATGTCCTTTTTAACCAAGATCCCTGGTTTCTGGTGAGGGGTATGGCGAAGTGGGTATGAGCCACCAGCTTTATCACTTTAGACAAGTGACCTAACTTCTCTGGGCCTCAGTGTCTTCCTCTGTAAAGAGATATAGTTCTCATAGGCTCAGTGTGAGTGTAAATGAGATAATATACATTAAAAGTTTTCAGTACATGGTAGAAATCAGTAAATGGTTGCTACTTTATTTTTGTGCTAGCAGGAGAGATTTACTCTTTTGGCTGTTAGGGATCACCTTGAAATGGACATTGAGTTGATGTGCCAGTAGTGCCAAACATGTGCTTCCATGTTAGTGTGTAAGGATAGCACATGACAGTTCTTCCAAAGAAAAGACACCAGTGAAGAAAAGCAGAAAATTTTGTTTCAAAGGAGTAATGCATACTCCTTTATATTTATACCCCCCCCCCCCCAACCGCTCCTTTCTGAGAGGTTCAGGTAGAGGTGCATAGATTGGGATTTGGGAGTCTTCTGCATCAAGAAATGTATACAGTGGCTGAGGTCATCATGGGAGTGAGAAAAGAGAAGGACTGAAGATAGAATCTTAAGTGGCACAAATATGAAATTTACAGGGAGGAAGGTCAGGAAAGATAAAGGAGTCAGTTGAATGTAATTGAATCTGAAATTGGGAGATCTGGGTTCCTTGTGTCTTTCTCCATTCATGGTTTGTGTGCCTCTAGGTATATCACTTTCCTACTTTATAACCCAGACTTGATCTTTAAGTTTCCCTAGATACCTGAGTTTCTCCATTCTGAATTTGCTTGGAAATAAGAACAGGTGACTCAAGGTAGTGTAATATCCATGAAACAGGAATTTCAAGAAGGAACAATGTCAGATGTTAACAGAAATAAAGGAGAGTATGAACTGGGGAAAAGGGTACCCAGGAGCCAATCTGTCTAGATTAGAGGGATAGAGAAATACTTGCAATGTAAGATTTACTGTGGAACAGCATATAATGAGACTTATTCCAGATCCTCTCACTGCCTTTGTAGGTAATAACATAGTGTTAATAAAACTACTTCATGTATTAGGGAAAATGTTATCATATGCTTTCATTAATGATCTATAGATTAAACTACTTGAGGATTTCACTTCAAGGTCAAAGGAAATTTTCAGGTAGTCCATTGCTGGGTGAGTGAGCTAAATCTCCTTATTTCTCTTCAGAATTTTAATTATGGTTCTCACTTGAAATATTTTGTTTTCCATAGACTGATTGTTCCATTATGGATGGAGGAGATGATGGTAACCTTGTTATCAAAAAGAGATTTGTGACCGAGGCAGAACTAGATGAACGGCGCAAAAGGAGGCAAGAAGAATGGGAGAAAGTTCGAAAACCTGAAGATCCAGAAGGTATATGGGCTTACATTACCATCTGGGATTCAACATAACGATCTTAATCCTCACAACAAGCCTACAAAGTAGGTATTAATGTCCTCACTTTAGAGTAGAGGAACTGAGGCTCAGAGGGGTGAAGGAGCCTGTGTTAGGCTTCCAGAGCTGGGAACCGCTGGGATATTCATGTCCTTGCCCTTTTTACTCTACCACACTGTTTTCCAGGAGATTCTGCTACTCTATTCTATGTAGACAGGTGTGTCCAGGATCCAAACAACTGAGAATGCTGCTGCTATAGATGGTTTGGGCTGGCTCCTCATTTAATTAACTGTCTCAGACCAGGGGTGCTATTGACATTGACAGTTGGCTCTGAGAGCCAAAGGGAAGCTATGAGCTTTGTACTATTTTTGTGTTATCCTTGCCCTCAGATCATGCAGGGACTTGACTTGATCTTAAAATCCTTTGTGATTCCAAAATAATATGAAAGCGTTCTAAAGTATGTATCTTTTGCCCCCTTCCTTTCTCCCTCTCCCTTCTTCTTCCTTTCAGAATGTCCAGAGGAGGTTTATGACCCGCGGTCTCTATATGAAAGACTACAAGAACAGAAAGACAGGAAGCAGCAGGAGTATGAGGAGCAGTTCAAATTCAGTAAGCTTCAGAAACACAGAGTCTGAGGGTCTTTTTGATGCCTCATGCAACACTTTTTCTCACTAGCCATGGAATTGTCTTGATTATCTAGTCTCTAAATACTTATTTGCTGGGAAAGAGACAAACTTCTGCCTTCTAGACCACATTAAACATTTTTGTTTAGAGCTCAAGATGCATATTTAAATTCTGTGCTAATATCTAGTAATGGGAGAAATGCCTTGATTTTATGCCATGTTATCTATTCAGAAGCCATGGTGTTTACAAGTTCTTTCTTATCCCCTGAAGGATCTGCTGTTTATTAAAAAAGAGGAAAAGGAAAAATCTTATTTTACTATATTTTCCCTTAAGCCTGCTAAGTGTTCCTTGTTTAATTATTTCCTCAGAAAACATGGTAAGAGGTTTAGATGAAGATGAAACCAACTTCCTTGATGAGGTTTCTCGGCAGCAGGAATTAATAGAAAAGCAACGAAGAGAAGAAGAACTGAAAGAACTGAAGGAATACAGAATATCCTTTGTACTTTGAGAGGAGTCTAGAAGATGTCAGTTTTCCCATTAACATTTATGATTTTAGTTTCTTTATAAATAAAATGAAGGTCTTCTATCTGGTGATCTCAAAGTTCCCTTTCCACAGTGGTATTTTGATGACTGAATAACTATGTGGTGGTGATTTATGGAGTATGTTGCATGTAAGAATCTGTTGTAATCAAAAGTCCAGATCCTTTAGGATTAACTAAAGGTCTAAATCCTAACAGTACCAGGGTATTTTTGCCTTGTGGGATTAGACTCTGAAACAGATGGGTTATGCAATAAACCTCATCCAGGAGAGCAGTTGGCTTCTCAGTTTTATTTTATTTTTATTTTTTTATTAATTATCACCTGAGGATCTTTTTCCTTTGATTTTTAGAGAGAGTAGAAGGGAGAAAGAGAGAGAGAGAGAGAGAGAGAGAGAAAAACATCGATATGAGAGAGACACATCGACTGGTTGCCTCCCGTACAACCCTGACTGGGGCCAGGGATCAAACCTGCAACCCAGGTATGTGCCCTTGGCCGGGAATTGAACCTGCGACCCGTAGAGTGCAGGCCAACACTCTAACCATTGAGCCAAACTGGTCAGGGTGGCTTCTGAGTTTTGAAAGAAAATGTTTAGCAACTCTCCTTTGTCCTTAGTAACCTTCCCTGTAGCCTGCAGCCAGATCTGTCCCTATTAGAGGGGTAGAGACAACAACAAAGATGACTTTGCTTTGGCTCAGTATTTCTTCTTCTTAACATCCACTTGCGTGTCCTAATTGGCATCCCAAATGTAACTTGATTAAATCAAAATTCTCAGTTCCATTCCTCATTACCCCTACCCTCATTACACTGCCCTCTCCTCAAATCTCTTCTTTTTCTGATCTTCCCGATCTCAGTAATGGTACTCCTATACCTCCAGGTGCCTGGGTCAAAAATTACCTCCAAAATATACTCCAAATTTGTGTGGTTCTTGCTATCTATACTGCCATTGCAGTGGTCATTGACTCTTCTCTGTACTACTATGGCCATCTAATTAGTCTCTGCTTCTGTTCTCATCCCCACCAATCCCTTCTCAGGAACTTTTGAAAACATAGGTGGGATTGTGTCACTTTCTGTTTGAAATACTAGTGGCCTCCTATTGCATTTAGACTTAAGTCTGCATTCTTTACCAGGCCCTACAAGGCTCTGCATTACTTAGGCCACCCACCTCCCCATAGCATCTTGAATTCACTCTTCCTAGTGTTTGCTGTACTGTACCCTATTGGCCTTGTTTATGTTCCTCTCTCATCGAGCTTTGTGATTCCATCCCAAGGCCTTTGTATTTGCTGTTTCCTTGGCCAAGAACGCTCTGCTCTCAGATTTTATATGGATCATTTCATGGCACATGGGTCTCAGTTCATGTCACCCTTCCTCATAGAGATTTTCCCTAAGCACCCCACCTAAAATAGTACTCCCTTTTATCATTGTCTATAATGTAATTTTATTAGTGTGTGTCACTACCTGAAAGTCTTGGTTTGTTTGCCTCTTTCCTGCTGGAGTGTAAAGTAAGCTCCACAGTAACAAGGACTTAATCATTACTGATTTCCCAGTGCCTGGCATGTAGTAGTTTCTCAGTATATATGTGAATAAAGTAATGAATGACTCATAGGAGTGGTTAATATGGCTACCCTAGGTTTTTTTTCTTCTATGAGAAATCTTTTTTTTTTAGAGAGGGAGGGAGAGAAAGAAACATGGATGTGAAAGAGATAACATCCATCAGCTGCCTCCTGCACGCCCCCCACTGGGGATTTAGCCAACAACCCCTGGCATGTGCCCTGACCTGGAATCAAACCAGGACCTTTCAGTCCATGGGATGACACTCGGTCCTTTGAGCCATACCGGCTGAGCTCCTATGAGAAATTTTATTTGAATATTTCAAGCTTGTATGTTGAATAACTTGACTAGTGTGATTGAACAGGCTTCACTTCCAAGATTGATAAGACACTGTGTGTATTTGTTACTTGGTATTTTATTGCAAGGAGTGTGCAGTAGGTTCCATTAAAGAGTTATATGGGAGGCCCTGGCTGGTTGCTCAATGGTTAGAGCGTCAGCCTGTGGACCAATGAGTCGCGGGTTTGATTCCAGTCAAGGGCATGTACCTTGGTTGCAGTTCATCCCCATCCCTGGTCAGGGTTTTGCTGGAGGCAGCCAGTTGATGTGTCTCTCTTGCATATCTCTCTCTCCCTCCCTCCCTCCCTCCTTCCCTCCCTCCCTCCATCCCACTCTATCTGAGGATGAATGGAAAAATATCCTCAGGCGAGGATTAAAAATAAAAAAGTTATGTGGGAGAAAGTGTACAAAGATTCCTAGGGCTTTGGTTTAAATCAAGGTGATAGTGATTGAAATAAGGTGGCAGCATGGTGCCACAAAACCTGCTCTTAACTGGTAGCAGAAGATCTGGCTTCTAGTCCCAGTTCTCCTAGTGGCTTTCTGGTGTAATATTACGATAGGAATTGATGGAAAGTTATACCTAATCCCAACTGGAGGATCAAGACTGATTCTTCTGAAGCTCCCTGCGTTGATATTTGCAGAGATGGGCAGATATATGTGTTGCGTTGTTTCAGGCACCAGGCATTTTCCTCTAAGGACATACGTGAATTACACCTCTCACTTGAATTGTCTTGTTTTATGTGCTTAATTTGGTAGGCTAGCAAATAAGACCGGGTGCCTCCCAAAGCAGCATTCTAGAGAGCAGTGTTGGTATGGTATGAGTGTGAGAACCCCTTTGGTTTCCAGTTCAAAGGAAAGGATGAACAGGGCAGCATTGAGGCCAAAGAAACTTTACTGTCCTAGTAACATTACAGCCACATTGAAGAGGCCCCTGGAGTACTGACTTTCACTGGAACCTTGGAAAGTTCTGACTGTATTGAAAACCTGAAGAAAAGCAAGCCTTCCAACTCACTGATGTATATATAATGCACACATCCCAAGGGTGCATGCAGCCAGAGACATGTTGAGATAGGATTTGAAGGGTTAGATGTTTGTGGAAGCTCTAAACCAGGAGCTGGTTCTTGGCTTTAATGATTATTATAATATATATTTTATGTGATACTTGTGAATACAAATAAGCTCTGGTTTGTGCCATATAATAACAGATCTCTTGTTTCCTTCAGGTTAACCAGTATTTAGCCATATTGTATATGTTAAAAACTATAATTTTAAAAAAAATGCCTTTTAATTAATTCCTTGAGAGTTTTAAGGTATGTTTGTGAAGGACTTAAGGGAAAAAAGTTACTTATGCTTTGGATATGGATCAAAAATAATAATATTACCACCTTCCTCCCATCTTCTCCACCTCCCCCAAAAGAAAAGGTTGAACACTTTTCTTCACTTTAAAGGAATAAAAAGTTAAGTGTTTTTTGTCTGTGTCCTGATATTATAAATACACATGTACTTTGTTTTAATTCCAATTTGTTTTATTTTTCAGTGTTTAATATTAAGAATTTTCTTTGGGTTTCTATCCCTTAATGATGGAGTTGCAAGTAAAAATCACAGCATGCTCATGATTTTTGGCATTCTGTACCAGAAAGAATTCTTTTTTTCTTTTTAATATATTTTTATTGATTTTTTTAGAGAGAGAGGAAGGGAGAGAGATACATCAATCAGTTGCCTTCTGCACAACCCCTACTGGGGATTGAACCTGAAATCCTGGCATGTGCCCTGACCGGGAATTGAACCTGGACCTCTCAGTCCATGGGATGATGCTCAATCCACTGAGCCACACCTACTTAATTCTTTTGAAAAATGAACATTGAGAGTTTAACATCCTATCTATTTCCATGATGATCGTAAAAACATTAAACTGATGAAACTCAGAGTAGTACTGATGAACATCATGCATACTCCCCATTGAATATTGCAAATATTTGCGGTAACTGGTGTTCATAAGAACAGAGATAGTGCTTGAAGAGTGATCAGAATTAGACTTTTCTTACTTCTGGTACCCAGCGTTCTCCATTGTTTAAAGATACATAAATAAATAGTGTACACCATATACCTTCATCCCCACTTCTTGGGGTTGATAATACATGCTTCTCAGATTCCTTGGGCACTAGATGTCACTATTGTTCCAATAGGGCACTACCGCATCTTAAGTAAGGAATTGCACCCAGTTAGAATACTCATCTATTGCATAACAGGTTGTGAGAGGGAATGAAAGGGAAGGTAGAGAGAAGGTTGGTGGAGAGAACAAAAGAAAGTGACAGACCTCAAAAGCCAGAGATTGACATCAAGCATGAGAAAAGTGATGTTACAAATGAACTGGTTATGCTTCAAATTCTTTTTTTGTTTGTTAATCCTCACCTGAGGATATTTTCCAACAGAGTAGAAGGTTTTTTTCCCACAGAGTGGAAGGAGGGGGTGGGGAGAGAGAAAGAGATAAACATCGACTTGAGATAGACACATCAACTGGTTGCTTCCCTCATGACCCCAACCTGGGCTGGGGATCAAACCCTCAAACCCCTTGGTCCACAGACCGACGCTCCAACCACTGAGCCAAACCAGGCAGGGCTCAAAATCAACATTTTGATTCTTGTGTTGTGTTGTATATGCACAGAGGCTTCTCATTAAAATCACTTTAAGAGACTGTTTAAAACTGGTTCCTGGGCCTCTCCATGTCTGCATTCAGTAGGCTTGTGATGGGAGTGGGGGTGGTGATGGTGATGGGCATGACGACTCTGTTTTTTAATGAACACTAAATGATTTTGATGATGCCTTGCACCAGCAGAGTAGGAGTTAGCCTTGGTCATGTCTTAGATTGAATGCCATTAATAGTCATAGGACATTCTGCAAAATTTGATTTTACCCTTAAGGGGGAAAAAAAGCAAGGGTTTTCAGAGAAGCCATATTTTATTCTGTTACATTTATATTCTTTAAGATCTTTGTTTTCCCAGCAGTTTTCTGATTGTACTCAGATTTTCATAGAGAATAAGAGGGAAAAGTTTGCTTGTCTGTATTATTTTGTGCTTGATTTGCCATCTTCCTCTGCATTCACCTTCATCTCTCTTTAAATCAGCTGGATTTGAATGGCAGAATAAAGAGGAAGAGGAGAGGGCTTTTTTTCTTATTAATAGGCTAAACATTACATGGCAGAGCCAGACTGCTAGTGGATTATATTTGTGTTCCTTCTCTTGATTTATTATTGTTCTGCCACGGCTCTTCCTTTTGCTTAGTTTCACCCTTAACCTATAACTCACAGTAATCTCAGCAAGGTTGGAATATCTCCAGAAAACAAGAAGGAAGTGGAGAAGAAAGTGGCTGTGAAACCCATAGAAACCAAGAACAAGTTCTCCCAGGCAAAACTGTTAGCAGGAGCTGTGAAGCATAAGAGGTCAGCGAGCACTTGCACAACTTAAATCTCCCTCTGACCGTGTATTCTGACAGGCAGCTTATAAGCCAGAGCTAAGTGGAAGTCTCAGTGAAGTTCCCTTGCTAGCCCCACCTCACTCTCCCCTTTCAAATTTGGTTTCGTCTAGTCTTTGACGCTGGTCACTGACTGTTCATTCAACATAATAATGGCTGCTCTTCATTGGGCACCTGCTGTGTGCCAGGCATTGTTAAGTGCTTTCTGTGCATTATCTCATTTATTCCTCTCAACAAGTCTATGAAGTACCAATTACTGTTATCAGATGAGGAGACCAAGAATTTGAGAGGTTGAGAAACTTTATCCAAGGTCACAAAATAATAGGAAAGATGGAGTTCAGTGTTTGAGCATTTATGTTTGTAGGCAAAATGAAGTAGCAAGTTCTATGAAAGGATTTGTATAGGGAATAATAAGAGCAGGGAGAAGGAAACACATAACGCTGCCTGGAGGGCATGTGTGGTCCTGTTGGGGAAGTTAGGGAAGGCATTAGAAAGGAGATGTTGCCCTGGCTAGTTTTGCTCAGTGTTTAGAGTGTTGGCCTTCAGACCAAAGGGTCACGGGTTCAATTCAGGTCAAGGGCACGTACCTCAGTTGTGGGTCGATCCCCAGCCCTGGTTGGGGTCTTGCAGGAGGCAACCAATTGGTGTGTCTCTCTCACATCGATGTTTCTCTCCCTCCCTCCCACTCTATCTGAAAATCAGTGGAAAAGTGTCCTCGGGTGGGGATTAAAAAAAGATGTTGATTAGTGAGGAGGATTAGGGCTTTGACAGGTAGGCAGGAGGTGGAGGCTGCTAGTAGCAAAGGCACTGTGGCCTGTAACAACATGGCCCTGTGACAGGGTCTGCTGGATTGATGTGGAGTGGCAGCACTGCCTAGAGATTTGGTAAGTTTTTTGTTATGAGTGCGCCTCCCTTTCCAAATCTAGAAATGGCACCAAAGTGATTAAATCTAGTCATTTCTTTTTTTTCTTTAATGCTCACCTGAGGATATTTTTCTGTTTTTCTTCAGATAGAATGGGAGGGAGAGAGAGAGAGAGAGAGAGAAACATCCACGTGAAAGGGCTGGGGACGAACCCTCGACTCATTGATCCGTGGCCTGACGCTCTACCGCTGAGCCAAACTGGCCAGGGCTAAATCTGGTCATTTCCATTTGACTACCATACCATGGGCAAATTGATGTAAAATTTGTAATTGCAGTCTATTAGGAAAATCAATATGGTGTATTGTCAACTAGCCATGCGTTTTGAAGGGAATGTATTGATGCAGTCTTGTGGTTTGGCACACCATTCATCTACTGAAGATGTTCCTAGGAACATTGTTTACATGTAAAAATGTCATCATGGTATAGCAGCAGAGGGGAGGAGTATCAGCATCCTAAAAAGGGCCAGTTACCCAAGCCATGAATTATGCCTTTCAAGTTTTCACATAAGCTTTCATGGTTGGCCCGGTGTCTTTCAGGATTTGTAGCTGGGTCAGTTTTACTGGACTAAGCCAAGAAAGGGCTCTCTAGGTGGGCAATTGATTACTTCAGGAGGGTCTTGCTGCTAGCAGAATGGGTATTATAACTATCTCCCGTATAGTCCTTAGCTTTTTCAGTGACCCTTTTTTAGGTTTTGAAACTATATTATTTATTGTTTTGTGCAGCAAGTTGATAAATTAGTCTCCTGGGGCAGGAGTTACTAATTGTATCCAGCCTGGGTTTATTAGAATCACTTGGAAGTTTGTTAATGTGGCTTCTAGGCTTCGCAGTAATTCTCGTATAGTAAGTTTGGAATGAGGTCTGGGAGTCTAATTAAGTCTAGTTAACATCCATCACCACACATAGTTATAATTTTTTTTTCTTGTTATGAGAACTAAGATCTAATCTCTTGGCAACTTTCAGACATATAATACAGGATTATTAACTGTAGTCACCATACTGTATATTATATCCCCAAGCCTTATTTATTTTGTAACTGGAAGTTTGTACCGTTTGAAGGTGGTCAAATATATTAGTATTTTCTTTTATGCTTAGAGCATTTTATATTTTGTTCAAGAAATTCTTCCTACCATGAGGTTATAAGATAGTTTTTCTTCTAAATGTTTTAGAGTTTCATCTTTCACATGTTAGTCTTTAATCTATCTGGAATTGATTTTTGTGAAGGGTATGAGGTAGGGATCCCATTTCAGTTTTTCTCTTCAAATGAAAGGCATAATTTCTAGCAGCATTTACTACATGCTTCTGCCTTTTTTTTTTTCTGGTCTTTAATGTCACTTCTGTGTTATAACAAGTTTCCATTTTCTTATCCTTGAATCTATTGGACTAGTACCATATTGTGTAATTATTGTGGCTTTAATAAATCTTGATATCTGGTAGAACAAGTCATATCTATTATTGGCCACTTTGTTCTTCCATATACATTTTAGATTTAGTTTAAGTTGTTTAAAAACCTCTGTTGGGATTTTTATTGGAATGTTATTAAATTACGATGAATTTATGGAGAGAACAGATCTTTATGGATTTAAAAGTCTTCCTATCCAAGGCACGTATCTACATTTATTGGTTTCCTTTAATTTTATTCTATAAAGTCTTATAGTTATTTTTCAAAAAAGTTGTGTATATTTTTTATTAAATTTATTCCTAAGTATTTCATATATATTTTTGTTGCTGGTGTATAAAAAATATAGTCAATGGAATATTTACATCCAGCCACCAGCTCCTAGTAACTTTATTTTTTATTTTTTATTTTTTTTTATCCTCACCCGAGGATATTTTTCCATTTTTTATACAGATAGAGTGGGAGGGAGAGAGGAACAGAGAGAGAGAGAAAAACATCGACGTGAAGAGACACATCGAGTGGCTGCCACCCGCACGACCAACCAGGGCCGGGGACAAACTTGCAACCGAAGTACGCGCCCTTAGCGGGAACCGAACCCGGGTCTCTCCGGACCGCAGGCCGTCGCTCTAACCGCTGAGCCAAACTGGCCAGGGCTTAGTAACTTTAATAATAACTCTGTAGTGCCCTGGCCGGTTTGGCTCAGCGGTTAGAGCGTCCACCTGCAGTCTGGAGAGACCCGGGTTCGGTTCCCGCTAAGGGCATGTACCTCGGTTGCAGTTTGTCCCCGGCCCTGGTTGGTCGTGCGGGTGGCAGCCACTCGATGTGTCCCTTCCACATCGATGTTTCCCTCTCTCTCTCTTCCTCTCTCTCCCTCCCACTCTATCTGTACAAAAAATAAATAAATAAATAAAAATAAACCAATTAAATGTTAACATAAAATAATCTTTAAAAAAATAAAAAATAATAATAATAACTCTGTAGTAACTCTTATTAACTTTAATGATTTACCAGTGGATTCTTTTGAAATTTCTATGTAGAGAGTTACCATCTATAAATAATGACAGTTTTTATCCTCTTCCTTATATCTTTTAATTCCTTTTTTTTTTTTTTAATGTTTTTTATTGATTTTACAAAAAGGGGAGAGAGACAGATGTTTGACCTGCTGCCTCCTGCATGCCCCTACTGGGGATCAAGCCTGAAACCCGGGCATGTGCCCTGATCAGGATTCGAACCGTCAACCTCTTGGTGCATGGGACAGCACTCAACCAAGTGAGCCACACCAGCTGGGCTTAATTTATTTTTTTTATCTTACCTCAGTAAAATGTTAGATAGAAACAATTCTGCATATTCTTGTTTTAGCTCTAATTTTATTTTTATTTATTTATTTTAATATGTTTTTATTGTGTGTTTTTTTTGAGAGAGAGAGAGAGAAACATCGATTGGCCGCCTTCTGCACGCCCCCTACTGGGGATTGAGCCTGCAACCTGGGCATGTGCCCTGACCGGGCATTGAACTGGGATCTCTCAGTCTGTGGGAGGATCTCAGTCCACTGAGTCACACCTGCTGGGCTTAGCTCTAATTATAAACAATGATTATAACTTTTTCACTATTAAGATTAGTATTTATTGTTTTTTCTTTTTTTCAGATATCCTTTGGCAAGTAAGGAAGTTATTTACCTAGTTTGATAAGAGGTCCTTTTATAGCCATGAACTGTTAAATTTTATCTATTCTTTTCTGCTTTTGAATTGATCAAATAATTTTTTTCTTTGGCACAGTGAAAAAATAGTTACATATTTTTTCCTAATGTTACATTCCTGTGAGAAACCCAGCTTGGCAGTGATATATAATTTTTCTTAACTCCACTGGCTTGTTTTGCTCATATTTTATATCGTTTGTTTGATCTTTGTTCTTAAATGAAACTGGCCTGTGCCCCCCCCGCCAATTTTATCTGATTTTGATATGAAGATTAAAACTAGCTTCATAGAGTGATTTAGGGAGTGTTTCTTCTTTTTATTTTCTCTGGAGGAGTTTGTATAAGATGGTAGTATTCTGCTTTGTGAAAGTTTAGTGGAACTATATAAAGTCATTTTGGTCCCTCTTTTTAAAATTTGTGATTATAGGGCTATTTAAGTATTCGTATCTTTTTTTTAAATCCTTACCCAAGAACATTTTTGCATTTATCTTCAGATAGAGCAGGAAGGATGGAGGGGGAAAGAGAGAGAGACTGATTGCCATCGCATGACCCCAACCGGGGTCGGGGACAAACTGCAATCAAGATACATGCCCTTAGTGGGAACCGAACCCAGGACTCTGCTCTGCAGGCCAATGCTCTTAACTGCTGAGCCAAACTGGCCAGGGCTTTCCATATCTTTTTGAGTCACTTTTATTTGGTTATATTTTCTGGGAATTCATTCATTTTGTCTCATTTCAAATGTATTAGCTAAAGTGTTATTAGTATTTTTTTTCTGATTGTTGTTCTATCTGTAATTGTTTTATTTTGTTAAATTTTTAGGTGTATGTTGTAAGTAGCTGATTTAAAATTTAGTCTGTTGATCTCTTTTTGCTGGTAGGTTTGAACTTATGAGAATTTTTGATATAGTTTTTTTTTAATTACTTATGTATTTTAAAGAGGAAGGGAGAGCCCTGGCTGGTTTGGCTCAGCGGTTAGAGCGTTGGCCTGCGGTCTGGAGAGACCCGGGTTCGGTTCCCGCTAAGGGCATGTACCTCGGTTGCAGTTTGTCCCCGGCCCTGGTTGGTCGTGCGGGTGGCAGCCACTCGATGTGTCCCTTTCACATCGATGTTTCTCTCTCTCTGTTCCTCTCTCTCCCTCCCACTCTACCTGAACAAAAAAATGGAAAAATGTCCTCGGGTGAGGGTAAAAAAACAAAAAAAAACAAAACAAAAAAAAAAAAAAAAAAATAAAGAGGAAGGGAGAGAAATAATCAATTTGTGTTCCACTTATTTATGCATTCATTGGCTGATTCTTTTTTTTTTTATCCTCACCCGAGGACATTTTTCCATTTTTTGTTCAGATAGAGCGGGAGGGAGAGAGAGGAAGAGAAAGAGAGAGAGAAACATCGACGTGAAGGGACACATCGAGTGGGTGCCACCCGCACGACCAACCAGGGCCAGGGACAAACTGCAACCAAGGTACGTGCCCTTAGCGGGAACCGAACCCGGGTCTCTCTGTACCGCAGACCGACGCTCCAACCGCTGAGCCAAACTGGCCAGGGCCATTGGCTGATTCTTGTATGTGCCCTGACTGGAGATGAACCCCCAACTTTGGCATATTGAGACAATGCTCTAACCAACTGAGCTACCCGGCCAGAGTGATATAGTTTTTACTCTCTTAATGTTATTTGTCTTTAAAGCATTTTTTATTGTATTCTTGCCTTTTTTTTTTAATCCTCACCCAAGGACATTTTTCCATTTTTTGTTCAGATAGAGTGGGGTGGGGGGGAACATCGACATAAAAGGTACACGTTGAGTGGCTGCCTCTTGCATGACCCAACCAAGGCCTGGGACAAACTGCAACTGAGGTATGTGCCCTTAGCAGGAACCAAACCCGGGTCTCTCTGGACCCCAGGACAACCCTTTAACCGATGAGCCTAACCGGCCAGGGTTTATATTCTTGCTTTTAAAGAAATGAGATAAAACATTCAGTTTTTTTTTCTTTCTACTTGTCTGGATTTATGTATGTTTCTGTTCTTTTGATGACTAACCTTGCAATTGACCAGACATATTTAGCAAAAACATAAAGTAAATAGCTATCTTACTTCCCTGCAAAATAATACATCGACCTTAGGACTTTTAGCTACAATCACCTTCTTTCTTTTCTTACATGCTACTATACTACTGCTTAGGAATTTAGTATGGTCATGTTTAACACACAAATTAGATTTTTTGTGTGTGTTTTTTTTATATACATACAGACAACATTTGCTTAGACTTATATTAATATTTGCCTGTGATTTTTGTTTGTTTTTTCCACCATCTCTTTTTTCTGGTATTAAGGCCCTCCTGGGATTATTTCCTTCCTCATTAAAGTACATTGTTTAGGTATTTTTTTAGTGAAGGCCTTTGGATGACTTTCAGAATCTCTAGCATGTCACTAAAGATGTTTTCTTCAATCTTTAATAACTTAACTAAATTTTTGTCATTTATGAATGAACATATCCAGACATTTCTTGAAATCCATCAGTGGTTCTAAGGACAATGACGGATCTGAAGTTTAGGTAATGGTTGTAGATATAATGAATTGGTCAGGGGTTTAAGTTGTTTTTATAAATAATAATATAACCAGAAGGAGACTCTGAAGTGAAGACTTTTAATTTCAGATTATTTCAGTTCCTTGAGGCTGCCTCATAGCCATATAAATGGTTATTAGAGCTCCTGATTTCCCAAAGCTTTGATCCTCAAGATTGGACTTAGCTCACATCACCATGTTTTTTGTTACAGCTCAGAGAGTGGCAACAGTGTAAAAAGACTGAAATCGGACCCTGACCCGGATGACAAGAATCAAGGTGGGTGGCAGCTTTCATTTTGTTCTTTACTCATAATACACATGACCACAGTAAAGGGCTGGAATGCATTGCACCTATGAATGAATGCATTTATCTCTAAGCAAGCCTACCTAAACTTAATTTGCCAAACTGTTTTATACCAGGCAGGATTTATACCCAAGAGTATGTCAGCTATCCTGCAAAGTACTACGGTAGAAACCAGTGGAGCTGATAAATGACCATTGTGCTCCCTAAGAATGAATACAAACCCAGAGCCCTGGTCATATCAGCTCTTTTCACAAAGGATTTTTCTGTTTTCCCCAAATGTCAAGTTTCTTGATTTCACCTGGCTTGCTAACAGTGAGAGGTAGAATACCTGGCTCCTGCTGATGGTTTGATTGGATGGAGCCTAGTTTTAATACAGTTTCCAGGAGTACACTTTCTTTGGTGGTTGCTTTTATGTGATCAAATCTGACACTGTATTAAATGACACAGTTTTAAGTGAAGGTGAGTGTGTCCTGGGTGCTGAATCAAGAATAGGAAATCCAAGAGTGTTTTCAGTTCTACCCTTGACTCCCTGTGGGATTGAGAGACTAAGCTAAATCAGTGGGTCATCTATAAAACAGGACTTAATTTATTTTTCTCTCAAAAAAATAGCCCTGGCCTGTTTGGCCCAACGGTTACAGCGTTGGTACACGGTCCAGAGAGACCCGGGTTCATTTCCTGCTAAGGGCATGTACCCCGGTTGCAGTTTGTCCCCAGCCCTGGTTGAGATTGTGTGGGTGGCAACAGTCCATGTGTCTATCTCACGTCGTTGTTTCTCTCTCTCTCTCTCTCTCTCTCTCTCCCCCTCTCTCCCCCTCTCTTCCCCTCTCCCTTCCTCCCTCCCTTTATCCCTCCCGCTCTATCTGAAGATAAAGGGAAAAATGTTCTTGGGTGAGGATAAAAAAATAATGGATGTTTTAAAATATGTATCTACTGAGCACCAGTAATGGTCAGCTATTGCTGATTCCTTTTTGCTGTAGAATCTACTTTTAAAAAGGACTTTCCGTGCAGAGTCCCCCCTATCCGTATATTCTCTTCCATCCAGTTTTCCTTCTCAGAGGGAAATAGCATCATACATTTCTTATGTATCCATCCAGAGCTATTCTATGTATGCACAAGCAATTATAAATATATTCTTTTTTTAAAGTTTTATTATAGATAACTTAAAACATATTCAAATGTTAAAATAATAGTATAATGAACCCCATTATATAACTTATACAATTTGTAACACATACCCAGTCTTTTTTATACCTCCTCAACTGTGGTATTGTGAGGCAAATCCCAGACATCATATTCTTTCATCCATAATTTTTCTGTATGTATCCCTAAAAGGTAAGGGTTCTTTTTTCATTTGTTCATTTGTTATAACATAATTGCAATCCCATTATCACACCTAAAATAATTATAATTCCTAAATATTATCAAATATCAAATTAGTATTTATTTTCCCATAAAATTTTTTTCCTGACAGTTTTTTTAATAGGATCCAAGTGAGGATCAGACATTGTATTTGGCTGTATGGCTTTTAAAATAAATTATTGTGATATAATTCACATGCCATATTCTTTTTTAAAAAAAATTTTTTATTGATATTAGGGAGAGAAGAAGGGAGAGGGAGAGAGAGAGAGAAGCATCGATGAGAGAGAATATTGAATGGCCACCTTCTGCATGCCCTCCACTGGGGATCAGGTCCACAACCTGGGCATGTGCCCTGACCAGGAATTGATCCGGCGACCTCTTGACGATGCTCAACCACTGAGCCACGCCGGCCAGGTGATATGCCATATTCTTATATTCATAAGAATGTATATCATTATTATTGTCTAATTCTAAAACATTTTCATCACCCCAAAAAGAAGCCCCATACTCATTAGCAGTTACTCCCTATTCTTCCCTCTCCCCAGCCACTGGAAACCACTAATCTGCTATCTGTCTGTATGGATTTGCTCTTTCTGAACATTTCACGTAAATGAAATTATATAATACATAGCCTTTTATGTCTGGCTTCTTTTCACTTAACATGTTTTCAAAGTTCATCCGTGTTGTAGCATGTATTAGTACTTTTCACAGTTGAATAATATTCCATTGATATGCCACATTTTGTCCATTCATCAGTTGATGGACTTGGGTTATTTCTAGTTTTGGCTATTATAAACCATGTTGCTATAAACAGTCAGATACAAATTTTTGTATGAACATGTTTTTAGTGTTCTTGGGTATATGCCAAAGAATGGAATTGCTGGGTCATAGAGTAAATCTATATTTAACATTTTATGGAACTGCCAAATTATTTTCCAAATTGTACCATTTTTATATTCTACCAGCAGTATCAGCAATATATGAGGGTTTCAGTTTCTTCACACCCTTATCAATACTTGTTACTAAATTTTTATTATACTATTCATCTTGTGGGTCTGAAGTGATGTTTCATTGTGGTGTTAGTTTGCATTTCCCTAAAGACTAATGATGTTGGTATCATGTACTTATTGACCGTTTATATATCTTCTTTGGAGAATATTTACTCAAATCTTAAGTCTGTTTTTACATTGGGTTGTCTGTTGAGTTTTAAGAGTTCTTTATATATTCTGGATACTAGACACTTGTCAGATACATGCTTTATGAATATATTTTTTCTTTCTGTGGGTTGTGTCTTCACATATCTTGATAGCGTCCAAGGAGCACAAGAGTTTTAAATTTTGATGAGATTTAATTTATCTATTTTTTATTTGTTTCTTACTTTAGTTGTCATATTTAAGAAACCGTTACCTATGAAGATTTATCTCTATGTTTTCTTCTAAGAGTTTTAGCTCTTACATTTTGGTCATTGATCCATTTTGAGTTAATTATTTTATATGGTATGAGGTAGGGATCTAGCTTCATTCTGTGCAGACATCTGATTGGTCCAGGACCATTTGTTGAAAAGACTATTCTTTCCCCCACTGAACTGTAGTGGGGCATTTTTGTTGAAAATTAGTTTACCAAATGTGGTCTTATATCTGGACTCTCTTTTCTTTTCCATTGGTTTATATATGTCCATCTTTATGCCAGTACCACAGACTTGATCACTACAGCTTTGTAGTAAGTTTTGAAATTGGGAAGTGTGAGTCCTCCAACTATGTTCTTTTTCAAGGTCCCTTGCATTTCCATATGAATTTTGGAATCAACTTGTCAATTTCTGCAAAAAAGGCAGCTGGGGATAAAGAGATTGCTTGGATCCATAGATAAATTTGGGAATGTTGCTATCTTATGGCATCTTAACAATAGGCAAATATGTCTTTCTTATTTATTTATTTATTTATTTACTTATTTATGTATTTTTATTACAGATATTTCTTCTTCCCCCCCCCACCGGAAGCAAATATGTCTTTTACGTCTCATTTAACCTATAGGTCTTCCTCCTTTTATAATTTAGTTTTTGTTTTGTTTGTATTTTATTTGTTAAAAAACTATGTCCTGCCCTGGCCGGTTTTGCTCAGTGGTTAGAGCGTTGGCCTGTGGTCCAGAGAGACCCAGGTTCGGTTCCCGCTAAGGGCCCGTAACTCGGTTGCAGTTTGTCCCCGGCCCTGGTTGATCGTGCGGGTGGCAGCCACTCGATGTGTCCCTTTCACGTCAATGTTTCTCTCTCTCTCTCTTCCTCTCTCCTTCCCACTCTATCTGAACAAAAAATGGAAAAATGTCCTCAGGTTAGGATAAAAAAAAAAAAAAAAAATGAAAGAAAGAAACTATGTCCTTACCCGGCCAGTGTGGCTCAGTGGATTGAGCATTGTCTCATGGACTGAGAGGTCCTGATTTGATTCCCAGTCAGGGCACATGCCTGGGTTGCAGGCTCGATCCCCAATAGGTGCCATGCAGGAGGCAGCCATTCGATGTTTCTTTCTTACATCGATGTTTGTATCTGCCTGTCCCTTCCTCTCTCTCTAAAAAAATCAATACAAATATATTTCTTTTAAAAAAAGGAAGAAGCTATGTCCTTGTCCTTTGAAGTTTCCCACACTCTCGATTTTGCTGATTGCATCTCCATAATATTCCTTTACACCCTGTGTTTCCTGTAAATGGTAATTAGATCTAGAACTTGAGCAAGTCAAGTTGGTGTTTTGGCAAGAATACTTCATATATTGTGTTTTTGTGCCTCCTATCATTATTTTAACTAGCATACTCTTCTGTTCATTGCTTACTCACTTATTGTACCTTGGGAAACTATTGTATATCTATACATAGAGAGCTTCTTCATTCCTTTTTAAGGCTGTTGTAGTATTTCATTATATGGTTGTACCATAGTATGTTTATCCCATTTTTTTACTGATGAACATTGAGATTGTTTCAATTCTTCCTGTTATGATGTTGTATTAAATAATCCTATACATGCATCATTTTTAATATTTAAAAATATGTATCAAGTTAAATACCTAGAATTATTGGTTTAGGAAGGATATACATTTGTAATTTAGGTAAGTATTGCCAAATTGCCCTGCAAAGAAGTTATCCCAGTTCACATTCCCATCGGCAATGTAGGAGCTCCATTTCACTGGAAACTTGCTAACCTGTGGCTACTTAAATAGAATAAGTGTATACTTTGTGTTTGTAAACACACATGTATATAGTACTTCATAGAAATCTTAAACATGTTTCAACTAGTTAATTACTAGCTCTGTATCTAGTGCTTATTCCCTGGTAGGAAGTATTTGCATCAATCAGTGGAAAGGAAAACATGTGGGGTCTTTACACTGAGGCAGACACATGTTTCAGAGCCATCATTTTTGGCCTTTTAAATCCTTTCTTCCTCCTTCTTTTTACATTCTCTCTCTTTTTTTTTTTTTTTAACTTTATTGTTGAATGTATTACAGATGTTCCTCATTTTTCCCCCATTGACCCCCTCCTCCCCATTCCTGCCCCCTTCTGCCTTTCCCCTCACTGTTGTCTGTGTCCATTTGTTATGCATATATGCATGTAAGTTCTTTGGCTTATTCCCCCCG